AAACATTAGAAAAGCTGTCAAATCGGAAGCATATGGTGTGCCAGTTATTTTAAGCATATTTAATAGAGAGCAATGGTATTTTTCCCCATACAGTCAGCGAGCGACCGTCAGTTGGTGTCACACATAGAGCGAAGTGGATAAAGAAAGCTTTTTTAAGGCTGAGTAAACGCAATCCTTAGGGAGAACACAGTGACCAAAATTTTCATTCATGCTCGAAGGTTCATAAGCTCGTGTTTCTCGACGTGCTTTACAAACAAAAGTTCTCAACAAGAAAAGGTAAGTTTGATTTGCTACAGTTGCTAAGAGCTGTATCAGATATTTGTTAACTTTGTGTCAACATGACAAGACAACACTAATTTACTTTAAAATCGCACCTTTGCCTCTCTGGTAAACATTTGCTCGTAAAATAGGTATATTTTGGATAACTATTTGATTTTATGTATGATGTTTCAGGATATTGCCCATCCCAATAGAATCGACGGATTTTTTCGCATGGTCTTTTTGAAATGGTGAATGATATCTTTCAAAAACTCCACTTTTAGAGTAAACATAACTATAACGATGTTTTTCATTCATCAAGTGCTCCGCAAATCTTTCTCTACAGAGTAAACAGGCTTTTATTAATTCTGCTTAACAAAATGGGACATTTGACTTCTCTGTCAAGATCTATCGCATGCTCTCTAGCACTGTAATCATCAGAATAATTTTTCTATATACAAAATATATAAATACATTTGTGTTTCTTTAATGTTGCACACTTTACATCAACTAAAGGATGCTTATGTGGAAAAGATTTGCACCGTCATTAGAGATGTTTTTGAGATTCTATGATATTGAAATGAATAAAAGCATTACTTAGAAGTAAAGAACTTTTTCATATTTGTCTTACGATTAACGTAAATTATGGGGTCCCAAATTGTCCCTGTTCTTGAGTTCCAGTTGATGTGATGTTGCGCAAAGCTGCAAGGCAACTTTCCGCGACGTACTTCATGATTGTACACCGTAGTAGTTGCTATTACGCTGACTCCATATACAGAAGAATCTCATAACAAAGCTTCTACCTAAATACCGGGCACAAACATAGCATCCATGGCCAAAAGTATCGGAGGTCATTTTGTCATGTTTGTGATGTGAAACAATACAAGATGTTGTTCAACACGAAGCGCGCTGTATGAAGCTGCGCACCTCGCATTGCCTGCAAAGTTGGGGGCATTCCGCTCACTCTGTTCCTTTGAACATTAAAGCGCCGTCACTGTGTAACTTCAAAACAAGCGCACGCGTTGTTCTCCCTGTACTTCGAATCATTCTTCGTTCCTATTCTCTAACGAACAACAATAGGCAACTTTGTTTATACGTCGAAAACTACTGCCAGAAAGGATCGCTTCGAGTTCTGCAACACTTTTGCCCCGGCATACACAATATAATTGACGTTATTGTGACCATTCTATCAGCCGAAAGTCAGCTTCAAGTGAAAACAACTACGCATAACAGTCAGAGGTAACACGCATTAAATTTTTCATACTCTAAACAAAAGATTTCACCTTGATATTCTGCAAAACAACACTGGGTCGCAACATCACCCTAACTCCTTAAACTTGTGAAATTCACAGATAGGTGTCACTGGAGAAATCTTAATTCAAGGCCATTCGGAAACTCAAGTCTGATAAGAATCAAAACGCTATCGGATTTGAATTTGGTTTTTATCATAGAATTGAGGGTTTTGTAATCAGAATACTCTAGATATATTTGATATGAAAAATATGTAGTTATCGTGGGTTTATTGATACAAGACTTGCAATTTTAACTCTGAGCCAAAATATCTTAGTGCTTTTGCTAGCCCAAACACCTCTTGGGATATCCCCTGATAAAAAGAGCCGAGTTTTTGCGTCTTAGCTGAGTATTGCATTTCGGTTTTGCTCGTGAATTTTTTACAACTCTGATAGACATTGGTAGCAACATTGAGAAGGACTGATAAGACGGGGATTTTCATGAGTCTCAGGTTCCAACAGCTTCTCAAATAATTACACTTTATCCAGTCACGTTATATTGTGTATGCGCAACCGTAATTTGACCTACTGGTGACCTATGCCCTTGTGAAAACAACTCATAACAGCTAAAAATAGATGATAAATGATAGGGAAGAAAGATTTCATAATTTGACGTTGTTTTCATGTAGCTTTTTAAACCATTTGCTTGAGCCATAATGGGGTGGAGGTAAGGCTTGTCTCTGAGGCCTGATCTGACCACAAAATGCCTCGACAAATGCTCTTTCAAAAAAGCAATCTTTTAATCGTTTTAATGCGATGTTATCAATGAGCTCCGACACAGGTTGAAAAATTGGGGGAGGGGGGGTAAGCAAATATTTTGACATAAATTCTATTGTTTTCCAGTAAAGTGGGGGGCATGGCCCCCGGCCCCCCTTCGTCGGAGGCCATGTTATCTTAATTTTGATGTTTTTAAATTTAATTGATAGGTGAAATCTATAATCCTATAAGTAGGCAGTTATGTTGTTATAGATGATAGTTGTAAGCAAAAGAGTTTCAGTTATAAGGCCACCGCGATGATCCGGTGATAAAAGAGATGAAATTCTGAATCATGTTATTAAATTATAAGAACAATACAAATATGATCAAAAGATATATTCAGAACATAAATGTCATATCGGAAATTTTATTGATAATCTACAAAGAGATGCAATGGCCAGGTTGGGCAAGTAATTGCATGTCCCATTGCACCCGTACATCTACCCCAGTCTTATAAGTCGGCCAGTATGGAACCACAGACAATTCTGGTGGAGATTTATCGTCACAATTTATGGCGATATGTATGGCCATACAAAAGTGCTACAATATTCACTTATTGCCACAGCCCTAAAAATTTCCCCATTTGCCAGGGGAGTCAAGAACCATATTGAGCCCCAAGGTAAGACTTGGGCCCCAGGGTATAACTTGGGCCCCTAGACGCCCCGCTTTCTGGCCCCTCTTGCCATGTGTTTCATACATCGACCATAAAACGTTCTTGTTTCTCGTATCATTTCCTTAATTACTCCTATAAATCGTAAGCTAAGAGGGGTAGAGCACGTTTGCCTTGTGATGAAGGTACAATTTGTTTCTGAATATGGATCTATCTTGAATCCGTATCCCCATGAGAAGTAATCAAAGACTGGAGGTTACTTGGTGTTTTTGCGACAATAAAATGCCTTGGACGAATCCATTCATTCAAACGAATTGCAAATCCAAGGAGGATCTAGAGAAAGAGTTTATGTCAACATAGGTTGCTGATAGTGAGGACTCTATTAAGTAAGTTTAATTGAAGCGGTTTGTATTTCGACGAGGAATTTTCCAGCAGATTGGGTTTTAGTGAAGGGGTTGGACATGTCAATTTTAAAAAAGCAAAACACAAAGTTATGTTTATATTTAGAAAGTAACAATCAAGTTGAACCTGAGCTAGTACGACGAGCTAATACCGCAATGAGACCGACACGTGACATAAAAACTCGACAATATGTACGGCAAAATGAAACTTGGATTTGGAGCTATAATTACTTATCGAATGACGCATACTGAAAGTTGTTTGTCGAGAAGAAATCTGTTTCAAAGGTTTTGTGATCCGCGTTTTCAGCACATGAGAAACTCAGATGGAAGAGGTGGGAAATTAGTGATAATTTGGTAGCTTTGTTGTTTTGTTGCATGATAGAAAAGAGTGGCAAACGTAAGGCATTTATAGGCTACAGATATGATATTATTGGCATGTATCCCCTTGTTACTTAGTAATGGATAACGCATTACATTACACTCGCTATTCGTTTGCCTCCCGCCGGTGCTGGTTTGATTCTAACATTTCGGGCATTTTTTAAGATAGGGCTATAACCCCTCCAGTCCCATATGTTTCAATCATAAGCTATTGTCCATTTGGTTATACAAACAAAGGCTTGCCCCTGCAGTGAAATTCACTTCAATAAGGCTATGCTAACTATGGTCGAAGGTATGACTAAACTTGAAGAAAAAATTAATCAAACGTAACAAAAGTATATCACAACTTAGTAGAGCATTTTAAAACATTGTGAAAAAATAGCAGCATGTTATGGTGCATTTTAATGCCGTCAACTTGAGCCTCCCCCCCCCCATTTTGAATTTCTTGGCGCCACCCTTGAATAGGACGCACAAATCAGGTTGGAGACCTAGCCTAAAGCAAAAGACGTAAAGAAAAAATATGGTTATTAATGTAGGACATGTAGATATGAACATGATATGAAATATAGAAGATGTTTTGAATAGTGGAATTTTTTTGTCATCATCAGAACGAGTTGTGACAAAAATTGGAAATACGGATAAGATTTATTCTGTGCCACTTCTTTTTCTGACTGTGCCACATGTTATATCTTGTCTCTCGAACCTTTACGCAGTCCTGTATGTTTTTATTATGTCAAGGAAAGATGCAATTTTCAAGTGATTCCTCTGAATAGAGAAAATGTTTGTTTTGCTGTTGTAAAATGTGGTTTTGAAGAGTCTTTGATCCCTCCGTTAAGTGGATCATCTCGAATTAAAAGAGATTAAATGTGTATCTATTTGGATACAAAAACCCTTCTTCTATCCCAATGTAAATGGCTTTTGGAACTGTATCATTGTGAAAAGCTAACCACTAAAATGACATGTCATCAAGCAAAATCTACTTAAAAACGAAACTCTTATTACATGACGGGTTAAAAGATGAGCATCCAACGTAAACAAGCTCATCCGAATTTTTGTCATTTTCTATTCAATCGCTTTTCTAAAGATGCTTAGACAACAAGGCATCGATGCAACAGACGCATTTGACAGAAAGGTTTGTTACTATGGTTTCAGGAAAATGATTTCTTCAAAGAGAAAGGTCATGAAGTAGGGGAAAGGTTTCAGAGACCAGCATTTAAATGCAACTGATGCTTCAGCTTGTACCTGATCTTCTCGCACATAGCAGATATGATATTTCAGTTTCAAATGTATATACATTATCTTTCTTAGAAAAGCAAAGCAATAGAATACGGAAGACTGGCGACGAGAAACATCAAAGAAGATGGAGTATACATACTTGCGAAGATTGATTTCAGTGCAAATCACGATGCTGTTTGTGACTCTTACGGCGATCTCGCCTTTCCCCTTGGAATCAAGCTTAAAGACAACAGATTTGCTGGAATACTTAAAATCGTCAATGGAAAAAACTGAGCGTGGCTTGTCGTCAAAGCAAGAGCTGCCCGTCTTACGACGACGCATCAAGAGCCCGGTTCTTCAAGATTATGATGGGTCACCCTACGACTACATTGGGAAAGATGAGCCCCCAAAAAAGGACCCTTTGGAAGGCAGTCCGCAATTAGAATTGGACGAAGCATACAGCATCTTCCTCAGAAATCATCTTCGTGTCACAAGTGAACAAAGTGTACCGCCTAACTTTGTTATTAAAAATCCGGCAAGCATAGAGCACAAGAGAAAGTTATTCTGCAGAAGCGGGTACCTGGTGGAAATACTACCCAACGGCACTGTCCGAGGAACCCAGGATCATAACTCTCCGTACAGTAAGTGGCGCACTACAAATTTTACTCACCACTAGCTAACCTACTGACTATATGAAGATTTCAATTGAACTGAAAAAACTAAGCAAGCAGATAGATTTATTTTAAAAACCAAGCTCGGGATTATGAATCAGTGGCAAACACTACCTCACAGTATAAGAGAGTCCCAATCATTGGCAACATTTAAAAAAGAATTAAGAGCACACCCTATAGAATGCGACTGTAGATTGTGTAAAAAATTATTGCTGGGTTAGGTTTTATTTAGAACATTATACCATAAACATTTTTAATATTGTAACGCTGCATAAACATTTTAGCCATATACCATATCAGTCGTTGCATAAAACTTTTTAATATTGTATCATATATTTTTATTTCATACTAACTCTTTATAGATAGTTGGCCTTAATTAGCTTCTTTATAGCTATCAGCCGTTCATTTAGTACGCCAACTTGGAACAAATTATTTATTATTATTACTTATATTATCGGGGTCAAGGACCGAGATACCGGGGCCGGAGGGCCTGGGCCCCCCAAAACTTACGTTGCATAAGCAAAATATTTTGATCTGAACACTGATTTATCAGGGCTACCCCCCCCCCCCCAAGCAAAAAGTTGTATCATGATCTTTGATCGGAGTGACCATGGTTAATTGATTTTTTGGTGATCTTAGAGCTCTGTCTTTAATTAGATTGTTCCCTAAAAAATAGGGGAACTACTTACTACTTAAGAGGCGGAGGCGCTTTCAAAAGTAACAATCTATAATAATTTTGTATCATATGTTAAGTTGATACCAAAATAAACACTTCTGTTGAATTTTGTGGATTTGCATTCATTACTACTGGGCCTTACTGATAACAATTCTTAGAGGGAAGGGGAGTGAAAGTCATGGAACGATCGCGCATGTTTTCTACGTTTACAATGTAGCCCAATTTAGCTTCAAGGACCTTTAAAGAAAGCCAATTGTTATAAGAAAGTTTATGTTAGCAGGCTAGGCCTAATGACATCACACCTTTCCATCGGATTCAAAATTACGTCACAAATGCCTTTAAATAGTTCGACCTCAAACGATCTGGCATTTTACATGTTTGCTACCAGCTGGAAATGTTTTGCTGAACCGTTAGTTCTCACGTGAGTGAAAAGTCGTTTGTTTTCTTTGACAAAAATAAAGGAAAGCAACATACAAAGCGCGGGAAATCATCAGTTTGCCATACGCTTATACTTCCTGTGTCGTTTGGCTGTTTTCTTCTTCACATGGAACACTTTCTTAATATGACGTCAATGAAATGGGGAAGATCAATTAAGAGAAACAGGGAGAAGAGCACAGATAATTTGTACTGAAAAAACACTTTAGCAGTAGGCTAAAACTAGCCTGTATAGCGACGGTCCATAAGTTTGAGCATTACTTAGACTTGATACCTAGCAAAAAGAAAATACCCAACTTTGCAAAACTATGTCTCAGTGCTCACAACATCAGGATTGAGACAGGTAGATACGGGACGAATCCCATTCCTAGGGCTGATAGAAAATTTCTGTATTGTCAGTCTTTTGATGAAACTGCTGTGGAGGACGAAATTCATTTTTTATTAGTTTGCCCCTTTACGAGACTGCTAGGAATTTTTTGTAATCTATGATTTATTCAAAAATTCTCCGAATCTCATCCCTTGATCTTTGTGATAAGTTTATCTGGTTGTTGAGTCAAGAAGATATGGATTGTCTGATATCAATCGCTAATTTTATATCGTTGGATTTTGAGTCACGAGAATCTTTTGTGAAGTCCTCTATATGTGAAGTCGGCTCCGCTTATAGTCACTCTGGTTAAAGTCACACTAGCCTTTACAGTCACATAAAATTTAGACCCAAATATTGAAAATTATTCAATTTAGCTCCGTATACAGGCACAGTTCCTTTAAAGACACAAATTTTCAAGCAACGTTTAGTTTGACTATAACCAGAGTTTACTGTACTAAATTTGTTATGATATCAGTACTCAACGTTTGAAGTTGCCAGAACTCAGAGAAGATACCTTCTAAAGGGGTGTATACTGATTAAACAGAAGCATTACCTTCATCTCTTTCTAGCATCGTTCATTAAAACAAACAGTTTTGATAAAAAATTGATGGGAACTAAATATTGTTCAAGTACTTCAGTTTCTATAATAATTTACCAAACTAAGCCAACTAAACTAAGCGTGGATCGGAAAGCTTTGAAATAATTTTAGAGAGTGATTTATCATTTCTTTCAATTTCAGCACGGCTAACAATCCTTATGTACGCAAGGCAGCTCGTTATCATTCGGACACAAAACCAGCCGTACAGGTACCTGGTCATGACATCGGACAGCAAAGTTAAAGCCGTGGTAAGTGAAAACCTTTTACAAAAACAATACGAGCAGACGAGGCCCACCTAGCGCTTTACAAAAAGTAAAATTGTTTTCACTCAAAGAACGTAGCGTAAGTTAACACGAGCTTTACACTCTTTTGTTATTAAGACCAGGTAACGTTGGCCAAGGGATGTTCTTGTTCCTTGGATAAATTGAGGCTGCACTGTTCTTAATGTTGTTCATATTTCAGCATGAAAATACATTCTATGAACTGTTTCTAAAACAATTGAAAAACAGAATTGCATTTTAACACGAGGAAAAATCTTAAGAAATACATCTTCTTAAGAGGCTGGGCATATCGATTCATTTTTTGGCAGCCGAGCCTCGGTATTCTTTTAAAAAAGAATGCATACGATTTAGAATTTGCTTTGTCTGAAAATAGGAGAGGGCCAGCGCAGAGTTCAGGAAAGTGTTTAGGAAACAACGACAGGGTGTGGTTTGGGTGTGATTTTGGTTTGGTACACATGGTAGATTGTTTTCAATGACCATCTTCGCAATGGTCAGTCGTGTGCATGCACTTTTTCTGAACATAAGGGCGCCACAAAACCCTAAAGTGATCTGGAGATTTTAAGTAGATAGCAGATTTTGTCAACTAACCAACTGCGCGACTAAAAAATTCAGGAAAAACTGCTGTTTAGTGGTCTTAGAAACAATTTACGCCAATGTAGGTGTAGAAATATCAATGTTAAAATATAAACAGAACAACAATAAGAACTATCTGGTTCTTATAAAATGGAATGGCAAGAAGGCGACATCGCTTTTGACAATGGTCTGATTGCCTAGGAAATGTCGACGTGAAAAAACCTTTCATATTGACTTTGATACAAGATATTTCTTGACATCCGTGCTTTTTTGACGCAAAAGAAATATAAATGATCCTTTTTTCCTTGCAGCCTCAAAGGACGATACAGAGCGTATTCTTTTATCGCGTTGGAAGCAAAGATGACAAGCACAATTACCTATCTTTCGAAAGAGCATACAAAAGGCGCAACAACTGGTACCTGGCACTTAAAAAGAAGGACAACGGGCAATATGGAACAATGAAGAAAGGCAAGAATACGAACCCCAACAAGCGTTCAGCACAGTTCATTGTTGTAAGATACTGAGGGTTTCGAAAAAAATACTATAGGTCTGCAGATACTCGCAGAAGGAGTCAAGTAAGAACCTTTGGCTTGACCTGGAGACCATTCCATGGTCTTGACAGCCTGAGACAGGGAAAAACTGGAAAGCACGGGTCTGCCTCCACAGTAAGTAGCGCTGTGTGCAAATATTCTCTAGCAGTGTATCGTCAAATGGACGACCAATCGTCATATCGTTAGTTTATCAAAGACTGCGTAAGTGCTTCATAGTACTTGGACATGGGTGATAATTATAATCATTTGAACTAGAAATAACTGTACAAAGTAGGTAAATTGTTGAGAACATCTTGCAGAAGTCTAAGGTACTTTTAAAGCAACCTTTTTGCTGACTGCGGATTGGTTTTCTACGTTACATAAATCGCATAGGCCAACAATAAATTCACAAAGTAAGTTTCAAAGTAGAAGTATAATTCTCATTCGGGGCATAAAGCGTTGCCCCACCTTGACAAAGGTATGCAGAAAATGGGCCTCGTCAAAAACAGTTAAGCTGAAAATTCACTGTAAACTTCTAAAAAAGGTGTGCTTTTGGTTTCGGATTATATTATTATTTGGCAAACAAAATTTTCTTCTAAATTCATGTCTCCTTATTCAAGAACTTTCCCACCATTTAGTGATAAAAGAGTTGTTTGTGGTATTCGAAAATCATCAGTCTCTCAACCTACTTCCAGAAATAGGCGGAGATCTCGTGTTTAGAAAGTTTCTCTTCTTCGAGTTAATGAAAGTGTCACTTCCGTAAAACTTTAAATATCCAAAAGGTCACAGAAAAACAGTCTAAAATATAAGCGTGCTATTTCCTTCTATCACTTTCAGTTAATTCGTTTTTAAGCTAGAGAGGAGAGAAAACTGAAATACGTTGGATGAATTAAACTGCAGTAATTGCCTGTCAAGATTCCTGTTTGAAAAAGGAAAAAGAATAATTATCCTGTACGCTACCAGATATCGACAAGAAATTAACTCAAGTCGATTCCCAGCTTCATCTGTAAGGCCCGTCCACGTATTTTCGTTGTTCTATACTTGTTTTGCAATTATGGCTTAAATTTTAAAGAATTGCTCAACTACTTGTACGCTAGATCGTAGCCTTCTATGCTAATTATGCAAAATCTTGTATTTATTCACCATTTTCTTCTATGTTTTACTATTTCAGCTATCGTATATGATGTAATGATTGCGCAGATATCTAGTAAACTGTTGTAAATATAGGTATTTAAGATCCATTTCGGTTTTATGAAATACTTTGTAACTTATTGCATAAAACAAAGAGTGCTTGTATACAGTGATCTTTTCTGAGTGAGAAACTTATCAATCTACTTTACAAAGAGCCTCACCCCAATTAACACCGCCGTTGTGAACTTTGATAAGGTTGCAGTCAAACTTATAGAACAAACAGATATTGTACTGAATGAAAGCATCGAAGTCAAGTCTTGATATGGGTGAGGTGCCAACTGTATCAGGATCTACATAAGATAAATATAATTTAATCATCATATAACAAAGGTATGGCTTTGCTCTCAAATAGACTTGGCACTATTTCAGGGTCCTCCTTTCCTTTTCACCTAGATCAACCTATTAATCTATCTTACGATACGTCACTACGTTGCTAGCAGGGATGCAAAGAAAAATTACATAACATAGATCATTGTCTTGGGGGTGTTTAAAAAAGCCCTCTCGAGTAAAGTCCCCCAGCTTTAGCAAATTAAAAAAAATCTTCGGCGAAAATAACAAAAGAGAAATGTAGCAACAAAGTCAATGAAATTATATAAATAAAAACTACATTAACTAAACAAAGAAGCAAAAAATAAAAGAAAGAAAATATGTACGACATGCAATATTGGATTTTTAATTGCACAATTTTAAAGATAAATCACGAGCTGTTTAGAGCTTGTGTTTGGATGGTAGATTTCTTACTAGAGATAAGCCACTTTTTATAGATTTGGATCAAAAGCCTTTTTTGGTTTGGGCGGTGATTTCAAGTGTTATTTTATTCCAAATCTAAATCCCAATGTTAGATTTGAAACTGCGTTTATAGTTAAGGCTATTTGAAGGTTAAAGACTTATAGATCGTCTAGAGGTGCCGTTATGTAGCCTACATGTAGACCCATCTTCCAAAAGAGGCTACAATTTCCTTTTTTTTTCTTTTGAAAAGGTGGGGGGGGGGTGGGTCTACACGTAGGCCAACGTTATGCCTTTAGATGTCGAGTGAATAAGATCAGCTCCTCCTATCTGTCAATACCAGATTCACAACAGATCAGAAAATAAAAAGTTTATTGACATAGGTTGTTGCACAGATATATCGAAGCGGGGTTATAGGACGCTTTCAACGATTCTTGCAGAATATCATATCATTTTCAACAGCTATTTATCGACACTACTTAGCATTTAAGAGTCAATGCTTGTGGCAGCACAGCACAGAGCCACGATGGGGCTTTACATTACAAAGAATGAAAGCTTATGTTTCAGGTTTACAATTTCCTCACGTAAAGTATCACTGATCCAAAGAGAAGTTTTACCGAATTGGTTTCAGGAAAATTACCGTTGACATTTTCATAATTGGCGTGGCATCTTCTGTTTGGATGATCATTGGCGACTGTAAATTGTTAGATCAAAGATTTGGCCACAAGGCGTGCAGGGGCGTCGCCAAAGGAGGTGGGGTTCCGGCACCCCTCCAACAATTTGTTCGTCGGCAAATCGAGGATTTTTGCCGGGCAAAAGAAACAATTTTTGTACTCACTTAACATCCTTTTCGCAACAATTGTAACGTATTAACATTTCTGTAGTATCTGAACTTTCAAAGTATAGCACTGAAGTATGAACTTTGAAACAGAAACGCATAACACAGCATATAAGAGTATTTATCTTTTGACCACCCTCATTAAGAGTGAGACACGCCCATTTTTGTCGGCAAAAAGCACATCTTTACCTCTCCGAAGATGTTTTTGGTTTCGCCCCTGAAGGACTGTATGTTGGTCCGAGCACCGATCCCTGAAGTACTTCAGAGAACCAATTTAGGTAGCAAACCATGTTCGAAAAAATCACAAGGGACAAATATGGCTGTTAGCATCTGTTTCTTCTTTTGGACATATTTGAAAACTCCCAACATGGCGGGATGGGCAAACGGCATTTCTTGCTAAAAGTAGGTCTCCGTTTCCGCCCTTTATGAAAATCATTTTGACTTCTAAATCACGTGACCAAACTATCTATTCAGATAATTTGACTATGGACAACATATTTTTAGGACATTGTTCAGTGTTGCTACGATTGTATTAGTTTTGTAGTTTGATAAATTGCGTCATTATTAATTATACACGAACACCTTATTGATTGTATATGATTATCTTTCTAAAAGAATATATTTGTTTTCATTCAGGGGTGATTTGTCAGTGAATTCTCAAACAAACAAGGGATGGCTTATTCTGTTTGTAAATGGGCATGAACACTTTTTAAGCACAATAGTATAAAGCGACTGCACTACTTACACCTTATATTTTAAGAGCAAATCAAGAACATTGAAGACTCCAATCAAGAACAGTCAACCAGAACTGTAATTTGCTGGTTCTCGTAAAAAAGCGTGTATGTTCCACATGTAACCTTAGTGCCGCGTAGCACCATAGTTAGTATGAATGTTATTTTACTATGATGGCACGATGTCCTAATTTTAAGTAGTTTATCTCTTAACCCACCATCATGAGTTTTTAAGATGATTATATCGACGTTACAAACGACGACTTTCCAAGATACTTTGTAGGTATCTAGAAAGATAGCATATAATTAGCCCAGTGTTTTTAAAGACTTTTTTGTTTCAAATTTGTAACGGATGATCGACATATCCCGCTTCTTGTCGCAAGGCATTCAGTTTACCATGCAAAGTAGGGTTCCTTTTCATTACGAATTTCCCCGGCTCAACTTCCGGTAATCTTTGTAGAAAGTTCGACAGCGCACTTTTTGGTAATCTTTCAATTTCAACCCAATCCAAGTGGTTTCGGAACAATGCAGGTATTCATAATGCAACGTAGGATATATGGGACCGCCAGAAATATATTTAGGTAATTTGCTAACCTCGTGAAGTATCACTAGAAGCTCCAGTTATTCAATCACGATCAACTGCCAGTTATTCATACCGAAAGTCTGTCATAAAGAAAGAGAACGCCATAGAAAGTACACAATTTTGCTTCAAAATTCATCAAAGTAAAAAATATTTAGATGATGAACTCGTAAGGGATTGGCTCGATCAACTGTGGCTCGTTATTCTTCTGTGATACGATGGCAGCACCACGTGGAGGCTGGGGCTGAAATGAATACAACACACTGTCAAGACGGGGATCAACAATGGCACTGATGCATGCTGGATATACGGACGACCCTTTGCATCATTCTTATTAATTTAAATATTAATTGTGATTATAAAATAAAAAAACACATTTTGCTATTTTAAGGAATATTATCAAATCAAACATCGACTACTAACCTTTATTTCTACTAAAATTAAGATACCAATAATCCAACTCATGGAAAACTTTAAACCAACTTTATTAGTTTAGCTCTCTTAAAACTCTTAAAAGTGTTTATCTGCTTTAGAATAAAAAATTTTTGCTTTACTATTAAAGCTTCTGAGTTTGGTTTAACCGTTTAAATTGAAAGATACTTTATTGTGGTACTTCATCCAAATAGGGATAATATAATGAGCAAATAAATCAAATATCAACTATATTATTTGCTCACTATATTATCGTTACTTTATTTGATGATTAGAAAAACTATTTATACTTAAACATGGAATTTGACATATGACTTGTTGCAGTTCAATGTCGAAAATACAACACAATGGAGCCAAAAGAGACGGCTGTGATCGTAAGTAAATACAAAAGCTGTTTAAGTTGCCTGTTTATTTATCAAGTTTTAGAACAGGTAGGGTCAGAAGAAGGTATTTGCATCCAAAAAGATCATTGTGCATAGTAATCACAAAATTAACACAAAAGATTTGGTACACTTTAACTCGGCCTTTTTTGTCATCATCCCTAAAGGGATGTTTACAAGAAACCTCAGCAGGAGCAACAGACTACTGGGAAGGATTCTAATATTTTAATTTCATAATTGCATGCAACATGCAATATACCTTATATAATCTATTAAATAAGCAAGGCCACCCCCTTTTATCTTGCTGAAGTTTTTTGTCAACAACCCAACGCCACATTGGCAAGGTCAGAGTAGATTAATCGCTTTCAGGAATTTTGATCACCGTGTACCTTAAACCTTATGCATCAAAATGCAATAACACACTTCTCAATGCCTATATTTCATCACCCCCTACCATATCACAGAAGTGGTAACTAATTTATTTGAGTTTTTATAAATTATTTCAACTAATTTATTTAAGTTGATTAATAAACACAGTCCTATCTGATTATTGCTTTGACATACTTTCTAAAGCAAAGCTTGACAAACTTTGCAAAGCTTGAGACACTTTAACTTTACATTGACACTTAACCTTACATTTAAGAGATTGAAATTACACTCACAATGTACCAAAATCAAGAAAAATTAAAAATACAACCAATAAATATTGGTTGATATTTTGATGAATACATGATAAAAGTTTTGGGCAAATCAGCAGTATCTATTAAGAAGGCACAGTATCTTATTAGAAAGCAAGATGGAACAAAATGTGGACATAAACATTCAAAAAATGATCTAAAATTGACAGCATGTATCCAGAAAGATCCATGTGAGAAGCATAAGTAAATAAAATTGTATCAATTTATATAATGGCCTTTGAAGAAAGAGCTGCACTTTAATTTCTAAATTAACATGTAAATCAACTTCTTTAACTTTACCTTCTACATTTTTCAAATATTGAAAAAAGAAAACATAAAATACAAACCTTTCTCTTGCAATCCACCCTGATACCCTTCTCTTTGGCCTCTCTCTTTTTTATTTCATTTTCCTTAACACGCCTTAAAAAATGAAGTTTACGTTATTACAAAAACTTTGGGTATTTGGCTAAAAATTTAGAGTAATCATTGGATAACTAATCATCGGCATGAAAACAAGAATTAGCATGCAAGCATGATTCATAAAGGCTTACTGTGCAGTCTAATGGCTAAAATATATGAAAATAGTTATTTAATACAACATCGTATTCTAGATGTAAACATCATGCAGTTTTTACTTACAACATCATTGTGCATGTATATACTTTACAACATAAAAAAATATAAATTGTTAAATATATATATATAGTGTTTATATTTATACATACAAAATTTAAACATTTAGCTTCTAATAGCCAACAAAAACATTTGATAGATGCAAATACAATACCTTAAGAAGAAAATATGTAAACAAAATACCTTAAGAAGTCATCTCTGCACTTTGAATGTTTTACATGCTCTATTCTTACATTGATTCTTTTTGGAATGATACGGTTTCTGTGGAAAAAAAGAATTAAAAAATAGGTTAAAAATAGACAAAAACAGGCTTGCTGTCCATATAAATTGGACAGGTTGGCAAAAAAGTAAATGACAATGTGAAATGACAGAGGCTTTCAACCCTGTCAATCTGGCACATTTTCTTTGCTACCAGAATCTTGAAACATATGAATTTATATGAATTTATAGCTTTTGACATGAGTTGGCAGAAAAGATAATGCAAATTACCCAAGCTTTTTATTGACAATTACACCAACTGCACGCTTTGTAACATTGTAAACTCTGCCAGTTTTTCCATGATAGAATTTGTGTGGCATGCCCTTTTGGAAAGCACCATTTCCCTGTAGGTAGAAGAAAATCACAGTAAAGTAAGATGCTACAAAAAATTAGGAAAGCAGTTTTTAAGTTGCAAAATAGCAAATGCCTATTGCATCACATTGTTTCCAAATAATGTAAATCAATTTACATATATACAGAGAGAAAGTGTGAGCAAGTGACACAACAAGGGCACAAGTTAAACAAACAACCACTGACATTGTACAACTTTGCTCACCCACTGTGCTACCTAGCTATGTTTTCCAAATCCCTGTCAATATACCTTCACTCTAATAACATAGCGCATGTAAAAAACTCATAGAAAATATGGCCAAATAAATTGTACAATACATCCTTAGTTTTTGTCAAAGCTCTTACCCAGCCACATTGGGCTTCACAAATACCGAATGTAAATATATTTCTTTCCATATTATCTATCTGTGCATTTTCTATTTCTGTACGCCAGCCATTCTTAGCCTCTGGCTCATTGGCCAACTCCAGCCTGCAACAAGATTTTATCCTGCCCACCAAATACTTTTATCTCGAAAATATTTTTGGCTTACCAATCAAAATTTGGAATTTGATTCAATTTTTTTGCCTGATCTGGCATCTTATTTTTCTCTGCAGTAAATTATTATATGCGCATATTAGTCCGAAAAGGAGTACCAAAATAAGAAGTGCTTTTTTATCATTTGAATGCTTTATAGCGAAATATTTTACTGTAAAAACAATAAGACATGATTTCCAAACAATACCATCATCTATTTCAAGTGGTTGTTAACGTTCACACAACGAACTTATTTCTTTCTCCCATTTTATGCAATCCCAGGCCCAAGGCCTTTTTCATGTCAAAATTGAAATAGATGAAACAATGAAACCTTATTATAAAAAATCCTTAAGAAAATTGCCTTGGATATTTTTGCACTAAAATCTATTTTAGATCCAGTTCTGGCCATCCCCAGATTAAAGTAATCTAAAATTTTTCTTGCCACTAACAATGATGGCAGCATTTATTGAAAAAATCCGGAATCATCACATTTCAGCCTCTTTCTGAAATTTGTTTTGCAGTCCCTGGACACATTTTGTGTCCTGGAATCTAACATCAAGTGCTGCAAGTAGCACAGTGGGGGCAAACACGACCTAGCCAAAATGTAGCACAGTGGGGGCAAACAATGATCTTCTGCCTCAACCTGGTACAAAAAAGTAAAGTTACATAATTTTGTGTGCTAAACTATTTTCTTGGGCCTTATATACTATGCTACAGTTTGACCTTTTTAGCCCTGCCAACCACCCAGCCAATCTGTCCAGCATCCGTCCAGCATCATGTCCTTCAGAATTATCATTGGCCTCCCTCTTTCCCTTCTATCACTCATCTTTCCCAAACTTATTTCATGAAAATAAGTAAACTGAATAGATTTTATGAACATAGAATCTAACATGAAATAGTAGGCCTGTCTATCTTATCTCTAATTTATTTTGGTAAGTATGAGATATGAATTTCATTTTGACCAAAAGTTGAGTTGAAAACTCAGTGGCCCCAGAAGAAAATATACATGTTTTCCTGGCCCCCAACTCAAAATACTTAAAAACCCCTTCTGTAGGCTGTGTGTCATGCTTTGCTTCAGAGGGTAGTAAGAGGCCTAGCTGAGGGTTATGGGTGATTTTCTTTACATTGTTCATTATTGTAATTAAATCTTTTGAGATGATTTTTATGTGTGAAACCAAAAATATGAAACAATTTGTCTAACATAATTGCTACCCAACTTCCATATTCCCCAGGGGGAGCTGAGCCCCCTAAAATTGCTGTCAGGAGGAGCTCAAGCCCTGTAGCCTCCTCTGCGCCTATGCCTGCTACAACTAGATAGGGGTGATAAGAATAAGTGTGCCCAAAAAAATGATTGGAGAAATTATACTCTGAGAGAAAATGGATTCAAATCAATCACATTGAAAATTGTCACGCTACCAACTGAGCTACCCAGTCAAATTTTCAAGTAAATCCCAGTTGAAGTAAGTGAGAGACAATCAAAATGGCTATTGAGTAATGGGAAACCAAACAACCATTGGAATAAAAAACAGCTCTGAAAAACAAATATTGGAAGTTACCTTAATATCAATGATGTCACCAACTCTGTAGACCTTTAAATATGTTGACAAATGCTCTACACCTGTATAATAATTTAATACAAATCAGTAAAATATGTAACATCTATATATTATGTAATTAAAAAGATGCTCAACAAAAAACTTGCTAGATGCTACGCTGTAAATTTTTCCAGATAATATTCATAGATATTCTAACCAGTATTTTAAATTGGGCAGTAACCTTGTGGAAACAATTTCCTTGTGTTAGTCTTGACATACTGAAGAAATATATATGGCAATATGACAGTGACAAAGGCTTACAAAGATGAAACAAAAGAAACAAATTCCTTGGCTAGGGTGATCCCTGGGAGTGGCATCAAAATTGGCTAAGTGTAACAATTCTCTCATTTAATACCACAAACTGAAGTCTGATTACGACCAAGTGCAGTAGTTACAATTGGGCAACACCCTTATGGTACTAGCTTTCTCCTGTCAGCTATGTCCTACTGAATAAATCAATCTCCAGTTTGCAGCATCAGAGAGACAATCATTTCCAATAAGCCAAATGAAATGATTGGCAATATAAAAAACTGCTTTGAAGATATTTTGACTAAACATCAAAATAAATTTACAAATATATAGTTCCAGAAAGCTTCTGGTTCTGACTCATGACTTCTTTTTGGCCTAAGTCAGTTAGACCATTGTATATAACGAGTTAAAAAGACAGTTGAATTACCCTTCTTCTTGAAGGCTTTTGAGAAAAGATGTCTTGTCCCCCTGCGGTAACCGTGAGTTCCACCCATTGTCACTTGGTGCCCTTGATTTCAAACTAGGGGAAAAACAGCTGATGATACAAATACAGGCATCAAATGGAGATGGAGCTTTTTTTACTATAAATAGAATTTTCTTTAATATAAATATATACACATTAAGTGCTGCTTCAAGTCAATAAACAAAATTTGGATGTAATTAAACCAGCCACCTTATGTCAGCAGCAAAAAAGTTTTACTTTAATTAATAGCTTGATAATCTTGTAATAGATATAGCCTTCTACAAACAGAATAATAATTCATAGCTAAAGAAAACTACAAATACAGGTACAACTGAATTACTGAAATAACTGAATTTTCAAGTGTTTAAGGGGAACAAATCAAAGATAAATGTCAACTTCTTTGTCACCAACACAACTGTGCTGCCCAACATTCTCTTTATAAACAAAAGAGTTTTACATTTGAGGATAAGGTCATTCATTTGAGGGATGCATTGCCTAATCTCTTGAAAAATACCAATAACCTTTATCATGCCAACCTTGTACTAAATACCTTAGACTACGCACAAAACATCTCTAGTCTAGATTATCATATAGGCCAGGATGAATCTCAGGTTTCTTTTGAGAACGGGGGTTTGGCATTTGATATTGTCTGACCTTAGAAAAGCAATTGATATTTTTGGCACTAGAAGTTAAAACTTGTTGCTTTATTATTGCATGGAGCGTGGTGAAACATCGGAGAAACAAAATCAATCATGGAAATTGAATAAAGGGAAAACTGACTGGAATTTGCGCATATCGTTTGCTGTGTGCAGTAGATAAAATATTTTTTGCAATAAGCTATCATTTTCCTTTCGCTTACAATAAATATTTCAATTTGACGAGGCCAATTCAATTAATATATTTAGGCCGTAAAAGAACTCTAACATCGTAGCGATCGGTTTCCAAATACCACACCAAATGATTTCAGCCTATGCAATCTATACGAGCCTATATTGCTTAACTATCGTAAACAGAACCATTCACGACGTTCCTTATATCAATTTGTTCAGTTAAAATAAGTGAAAATGGCTGTGGCCTGACTTACACGTGAATCGAAATTGGCAGAGCAAGAAAGGACATGGGAAGCATCGCGCACGCTCGACAGCCACTTTAGTACCCAGACTCCCCTACTTTGATTTCAGAAAGAGGCACGACAGTAAAACTTGAGACGCAGCAACGATTATGCCGGAGAGACAGCCCAGTGCTGCATACTTTAGCCGGAGAAAAACACTGAATTTTCCATTCAATTTAATTCATCTCTGGGAAAACCAGTTGAGTCTGTGTGCAGGCTTCGCGTACTTGGGCTTATCTTTTAAGTTATTGTGATTTCAAGAATTTTACTTATCTATTCCTTTTGTTAAGTATATATAAGAAAAACAAGCACCCTTAAAGTGCATATGACACGAAAATTTTTATTCGCTTGAATCATCAAAGAAACATCGCTGGTAACGACGGTGAACTTAGTTTTTTCATTTGCGACTTTTTTTTCCGCAAAAAACGGGGTTTTTCGACACCCACTCGAGCTAAAATGTGTCACAAGAAAAACGCGGTCGAACCTGTGGTCACGTGACCCCTGTGACGTAAAGTGGTTGTGTATCCGTTGAATAGAACAAGGCTTCTGTATGGTTTCACCATGTGCGGGCACTACTGTTGTCGCCCTAAAGATTTTTTTCCTCCATAATTGTAATAAGTTTTATTTAGATAACTCAAGCAATGCCATCAAAGGTCGGAAAGTAATTTAGAAAAATTTTTTGGTTCATTATAAAATTGATAAAAATTGAAATAAAGTGTTGTGCATGACTTTATGGAACGAATACCCCCTTGAGGAAGATACCGTTGTGCTTGACTACCATCCTGGAAAACCTGCCCCAACAGAAGTTCGCCGCTTGGCATTACTTATTAAAAATGCAGCGTAAAGATATCGAGCCATCATCTTTTTCAAGATCACCTTTTTTACACCGAAAATACCAAAACATTTTTTCGACGTGATGCTCTACCCTCAGTCCGCAAACCAAAACAAGACAAAGAACGAAGCAAGAATGAAAAAGCATGGTGAGTAATAAGTTTCCTATTGTTTTTTTATAACTGCCTAACAACGTTCTATTGTGTAACAGCTGAGATACGTTATTGGTAATGACTCGACAACACCGGGGGCACTCGCTTTATGGAAAAAAGGGACTCCTTGTCTCTCTGTGTGGAGTCCATATCACCGTTTTTAATACATAAAAATAAACCATTTAAACAAATGTAAACTACTTCAATATTTTATACAAAAGCGAAAAAGGTTTTGGAAACTAAAAAAGCAGGGGGTTGGCAATTCAAGAAATATTTAAGAAGCAGGGAAATGATATTCTATGGGATAAAGATTCAAGATGCAAGTGAGAATCGATTAACAATAAACAGAAGTCACCAAGTAACAAAACATGATATAAAAACTTTCAATTAAATCACGGACTCAGTCGTTTCTGTATAACAGAAATGGTGGTCTTTGACCTGGTCAGCCTTGGTCAAAGACCAAAAAATTAATCTTGGATCATGTTTGTTGTTAAATGTAAACATTGAAATTTGTGTTCCTTGTTCTTCACAGGCAAGCAGCGTTAACGGAAGCTCTGCACAGATGGAGTTGCTTTGGCATCAACAAGGTTTTGAATCTCTCAGAAGTTCTGGAATTGAAGTATCTACGTTTGTCTCTGACAGACACCAAGACTGTATGCCATTGCACAGAGATATCTATTGAACAAAAACATTGTATGACTTAATATAATGGTTGATTTGAGTTTCTCTTACATTCTTTAGAATCGGCAGGATCATAACATTACATATATATATTATATGTATATGGTATACTCTTTTCTGCCAGATTTAATGAAAATAAAATATTAAATTTACTAATTCTAAGAATTGAAGGTGCCAAACAGAATTTGTATTTCTAGACAGTATAACTTATACGGTATAACAACTAGACAGTATTTGTATAACTTATTCTTCATTCGCCCATACAACGCAATAGGCCAGGTCGCTATGATCAGGGAATGGTGGCCTAAAAACAGCAGAGATGTACAGGGAATACTGAATTTATAACACTAAAAAACCCAATGACAACTTATTTCACTCACCATTGACTCAAAGTAATAATTCCTCGCCATCGATCACGCTGTTGGGATTTTTGTATTCCATCTTCGTCCTCTGCCCGGTCATGAAAGCTTCGAGCCATGCCAGCTATGCCTGGTTCCGCGTCTGAATTATCCGCAGAAAAAAGACTGGTTCGTTCTTGCAAGGCAAAAATAGCCCATCAGCATCAAAAGCTATTCCCCTTCACTTTCGTCAAAAGCTGACGCCCTTGAGCTTGAATATTTGCCGTGAGACATGTTCATAGACTCTCAAGTAAAACTCCGCCGTATAACTTCTTGTTAGTTAGCAATCTAAATTTTCGCTAACACAACCACTTTACGTCACTTCCTGTCAAACTCGACCCAATCCCTTATGACAGAATTTGAAGCAAAAATCGACCTTGAAACAGCTGTAATTACGAAAGTGTTTGTTTTTCGAAAATTTTATGGTGATTTTCGTGATCAGCATACTCGATTACGTGATGGGGGCGAATAAAAATTTTCGTGTCATATGCACTTTAAAGAGATAAACACTTAGGGCAAATGATGGGGCTTATATGAGAAACCTGTTATTTGCTCCCCTTTTATGTACCCAGACTAGAGACCTATTACATTTGAGATTTAAGGAAAGATAGAAAATCAAGAAAAATCCCAATCAAGACAATTATCAAATATCATTTGTAGGACAGCCCAGTCCTCAGTTTAATTTAGATAAGAAAATAAGCCAGGCATGGCCACCCATTCTGAGAGGCATTACTAGCCCTATAAAGAGATTTCAAGAAACCTCTTTAAATTGTTTACCTTATTTATTGGGCTTCTGAAAATTAAAGTTTTAATGTATTTTTTAGTTTTATTCACTAAGACCTCCCCTTTTGGGGCTCGGATGTAGAATAGACAACATAACTGAATAGACGCAACCAGTTTTGGTAGTTGCTGAATGCTGAGAGTTTGAAACTAGCGGGGCTATTAGAAATAACTGGACCCTTATAAGAAATCTCAGGCTGAGATTTGCCCAAAAAAGAACGACATAAGAAACAAGGCAGGCTGAGATTCAACAAAACTCAAGCAAAAAGATACCAGCAAAAATTGAAAGATAAAAAGATAGCAACAGGACTGCAGGAACTACAGGTAAAAGTACAAATTCCTTGAGAGTGGCTTTAATTGCTTTATCAGGCACTTTTTGTGTCCGGACACTTCTATGCACAGGAAGTTCTATTACAAAATAAGAAAAAATAGGAAACACGTGAGGCCGGAATTATCCGAAAAGTTAAGAAACGAAAGGCTGCAGCTGGAGCCGAGTGTTCTTATAAAAAGGTGTGTATCTAAAAACATACAACAACGCTTGAAATCGTTAATAAACTCGAAATCAGGGAAAAAGCCAGAAAAGAATTATTTTTTGGCAACTTGAGGACAATTTTTGGAGGGAACCTTTCGCATAAGCGCCCTCCCTCTAATAGTCTAATAAGCCCCCATCTAAAAACTACATAAATCGATAAACCCCCGCAGGGCTAATTCGAGGGTTTACAGTAGCAATACCATGTCATCTGGGCGCAGGGGCGAAACTACTGGGGGGGTATGGGGGGTGCTGCACCCCCCCAATCTTCAAAAAAGCAGATTTTGTCGGGCAAATTTATGGAAATACCATCTAGAAATACGTTGTTGAGAAAAATCAATCAATAATTTTTTTTCTAAATGTATGAAACTTTCATCATACATTCATAAGGAGTTATGCTCCAAAATTCTCTTAAGGTTTTACACTTACGGTTCGAAAGTATTGCACCCTTCGCTAGAAAATGGTCATACAGACGCCAAAGTTTTTTAACTAAAAAAATTCGAATAACCGTAACAAGTAACAGAAAGTTTTGATCAGTTCAAGCGGGAAATAATATAAAATTTATCAAGAAATTGTAGTTAAGATATGAATTGCAAAAAACTTTTGAGTTTATTCTATTTCTGAAAAATATCCATGATTACAAAAACACGAAAATTGAGCTTTGATGATAGGTGTACCTGTAAAATACCTCCAATAAAAACTTTCCCTTGCTTGAGGGATTTTGTTATGGTGAATTTAGAGATACGTACTTTGTGCTTGGGTGTCTAAAAATGTTGAAATTGCTTCTGGAGCAACCAAAAATTGAAAATGAAACTCAGAAAATGCAACTGAAGCTCTTTTTTGCTGAAACATTGTAATCTGCGTAGCTGTTTCTAAATTCCGAAATTTCCAAGCTGTCACTCTCATAATTTTTTAATTTTAATTTTTGCGGCTCTGGTACCCAGGGTACTTGACTTTAAACAAACAGCCTGGGCCGATGATTTCAGCCCTTGAGGCGATGTGCTTCAAAAATGAAGTTCATGTATGACACCCCCTTTCATCAAGCATGCCACGCCCTTTCATCGGGCATCTAAGCTTCATACCCCCCTAATGAAAATAGTGAAGTTTCGCCCCTGTCTGGGCGGGGCAAGCTGAGCCACCTCAGTTACTGTCTTTCTTGCTGAGGCTCCTCCCAACTTCACAATGCCACGTGATAGCCTCGAATTGGCACAATCTCCAAGAACTGGCAGGCAAGTTTGTCGTACGAAGGTAAAGAATGTGTGATCAAGAGGAACAAGATAACGAACTGATTGCCCTAGAGGCGATTTATGATGCAAGACAGTTCGTTCGTTCGACTGATGAGCCAGGTGGTGAGCTGAGGGTTTACCTTCATCTAGAAGAGCCGTTTTTAGTAGTTTTTAAATCACTTGACGATGGGACCAAGCATTTCGAGGACATGCTAGTGAAATATCTACCGCCCATCATTCTCAGCTTCAGTTACCCACATGATTACCCTTCTACTTCTCCGCCACTGTTTGCATTATCATGCAAATGGTTAAATACTTCACAGGTAAGTTGCTGATTATGTTTTGTTTTGCAACATTGAAGACCAGAACTTTCTGCATGACAAGGTTTTATAAGTTTAAATTGAGGCATGCTTTGATTACACCGCGGCTTCGATCCAAGCTATATAAGAAAGCCCGTAAAAGTGAGAAAGTAAGAGCGATTTATGCATGTATGCATCAAAACCATTATTCAAACCCTAGTCAGTGTTGGCATTTTATTTCAAACTTGATACCTTTCTGAATTGCATAACAAATAGAAAGTTACTATGGTAATCTGATTCTACAGGTTTTCCAAATTTTCTTGTATTTTGAGCAAGAATTTCAAATATTCTGAGTTTTAGATTTGTCCTGTGCTAACATGGAGCTGTTCTCCTTCCAGTTGTCTTCCTAGCAAACCTGCCAAAACCTGGTCAAAGCCCCTAGGAAAAGTGCCACATTCTTGTCTTCATCCTTTTTGTTTGGGAATGAACTTCAATAAGCAGAGATACAAAACATTTCATGGTGATCAAAAGTATTTTGCAGGAAGTCTTCCCTTAATGTAAAACATTATGTTCTATTCTGAAAGTCTTTAGGCCACTTAAAATTTGCAAACAGATTTGGCCAGTGGGCCATAGATTGCCCATTCCTGTCGTTAAGCTTATACAGTTTTTTGTATCATTGGTCAGAGATGCTATCCGTAAATGCCCTTTTCTTAAAACAAAGAAATTAAAAGAAAATCTCAAATAAGTTTGTTCTCATGCTCAAAATTTTGATATTGATAAGTTACATATGGACTATAGACCCAATTTGTACATGTAGTTACACAAGTTACAGATGCAAATATGAACCAATTTTGTGCAAGTAATCTTTAAAAACCAATCTTGTGTATTTAGAATCCATTCATTCATGATGATTTTCTGCATTTCAGTATAACATATTAAGTGATTGGGCTGTAATTCCATGGCAGTGTGAACTTTTCTGCATCAATTCGTTACTACAGACTATTAATAATACTTTTTACAGAATCACCCCTAGTAATTCTGTCCCTGAGTGCACACTTTCTTTAGCTTCTTCAAGCCATAAGCATTGCACAAAAATCATTGCTATTTTAGGTAGGGATGTACCAAATCAGTATTTTCAGAATCCGGCCGGAACCGGATCTCTTTATAGAATCTGGCCAAAATATTTGGCCATTACCGGATTTTTCTGTAATAAAAAAATTTTGAGATTCTTTGCAAGAAAATGCATAAGGAAAAGAACGAAGAGAACAATTTTATGAATATACCATCCCATCCTCATGTTTCCAGATGACAAGCACTTTCAATTCAAATCTATTTTCAAGGTGCTTTTTTTATCGTCAAAGTAAGTACTGTACTTTCTCAAAAATATGCCACAGCCTACTTTTTATTTGAAATGAAATTTTTTGCCCTACATTTTAGTCAGCTTATTTTCAAGGTGTTTTTTGAAAAGACACTATCCATTTTATACTATCTGTGTTAATACTATTCATTGATAAACATGATCCTCAAAAGCCCAATCTACACTGCACTTCTTAACCCGAGTTAAATACAGGTTAAATTAACATGGGTTAAACACTAAACGATTTACACTTCAAATTAGCTTTTCAGCGCTCAAAGTGAATCTGGGGTGAGCCTGGGTCAAGATTTGGCGCTCTTTAGTATATCAACTGTGAACTGTAATAGCTACAGAGCCTGAGGGGTATATCAACATGCCATGCATACCACGCAAAGAAAGTCCTTTCCTTTGGTGGAAGCAGCACCAAACTACCTTCCCCCACATTATCAAACTAGCCCAACAATATTTGTCTACCCCAGAATCTAGTGTATATTCAGAGCTCTTTTCAGAAACTGGAAACTTCTTCTTAGAGAGGCTCTTTCTAAGGGATGTGAGAAGTTCCTTTTTCTGCATCCTAACCTTGGGCCACTTTAACTTTTGAAAAACTGCTGTTAGGGGCGCTTTTAACTTTTAGAATTATGTTCAAGTTTGTTCTATTGCTTTTATTTCTTGTTTGTTCGTTGTGTTTACTTTTTTATAAGCAGTTTCTCTAGAAATTTTCTTTCTTCTAATTAAAATTCTGGAAAATCTGGCAAATGGCCGGATTTTGGAGACATTTGGCCAAAACTGGATTTTAAAAAAATCAGGGATCCAGCACCGGATTATCCGGCCTACCAGATATCCGGTACACCCTAATTTTAGATGTAAATATTTGTAAAAATATGAGGATAAGTGGGCACTTTTCATTTCAATTTTCAACAATATGAAGGGTTGATTAGTGGATTTTCTATTGGTCTGGGGCTAGCCCCGAAAGCTCAGGATCTGATACACATTTTTGTCTAGTTTTCAAATAAAACACAGGCAGTATTAGGTTATTTAACAAAGGATCTAAACAAACCAAAGAACGGGCAAGGAGTTTAGGAAGTGTGGCACAAGTCATTCCTATATAAATATATGAAATATATGCAAAATTGCCCTTCTACGAAAATGATATCCATTAGTTAAAGCCACCAAATTAAAGAAAATAGCTGAAATGATGAAAATGCTTAAATTAGCTGAAATTGAAGAAAATGCAAATTTGTTACAAATTTGTAAGTATATAAATCTAAAACTTGGAGGGGGCTGAGTCCCTTTAGCCAAAATACACAGGTCCCCATAACTTCCTGTGTTGGAAAAATATTCTCTCTTCATTATAGACAAGTCTTGCTTAGCTGCAAGTAGATGTGCAATATTGCTTTGATGCAATCACAAAAGCTCATTCTGTTTTATTGCAATATTTTGCAGCTCTCCATCTTGTGCAAACAGCTTGATGCATTGTGGGAAAATGGTGGTGAAGGATCTGTTATAATGTTTGAGTGGATGAGTTTTTTGACAGATAATGCAAAGTCTTTGCTGGGCATAGTTTCACCTTGGGAAATAAATGATGTTGAAATTCAAAGATCACAAAGTTTTGGGGCAAAGAACCTCGATATTGAAAATCTAGAAGAAACTGATCGCAGGGCATTTCAGGATGTTGTTTCTTTGGCAGAAGTGCATTGTTGTCTGGAAGATTTCAACCATAATGAAAAACAGCGTCAGTTTAGCTTGAATGTTTATTCCTGTGGTGTTTGCTTTCTGGAAAAACTTGGTGACAAATGCATCTCATTTTATCCCTGTTCCCACGTCTACTGCAATGATTGCATGTCTGAATACTTCAGCGTTAAAATCCGGGATGGTGCTGTGAAGGCACTTACATGCCCATTTGGGAAATGCAATTCACAAGCATTTCCAAACCAGGTGAGGGATCTGGTAGATGCGGATGCCTATGAGAAATATGAAAAATTTCTGCTCCAGTCAAGTCTCGACTGTATGAGCGATATCATATATTGCCCCCGAGAACTTTGTCAATCGCCAGTATTGTTAGAGAGTGGTTCTTCAATGGAAATTTGCGCCAAGTGCTCATTTGCCTTCTGCATTATCTGCAAAAGGTCCTACCATGGAGTGGCACCATGTCCATTTGATGAAAAAGAATTAAAAATGCTCCGCAAGACCTATGCTTCTGCGGGTCCAGCAGAGCGCGATGCTTTAGAAAAACGGTATGGGAAGAGAAACCTGAAGTTTGTAGTTGAAGAAGCATTTTCTGAAGCCTGGATTAAGAAAAACTCAAAAAAATGTCCTTACTGCAGTGCATTAATTCAAAAAATTGATGGTTGCAATAAAATGACTTGCTTCCGTTGCAATGGCTACTTTTGCTGGATGTGCCAGACAAAACTGTCCAAATCGTCACCATATTTACATTTTAACAATCCTCAAAGTGCTTGCTTTAACAGATTGTTCGAAGGCGTGTTGATTAACGGAGATTTTTATGAAGATGAAATCGGATTCTAAATTTAAATTCAATTATTCTTTAAAAACTGTGTTTCTATTTTTTAAATGTTTGCGCGATTTTGCAGCCTATTGCAATATATCGTAGTCATTAGTCTTAGTGCAACTTCACATCCCCAACAAACAGTTGACTTGAAATCTTGTCCAAACAATTTATTGTTGAATAAGAACACCTTCCCCATTGCCATGAATTTACGCGGTGTTATCTGGATGCGAAAATTCTAGGATTTTAATTCCTTAACTAAAACGAAGCCTAGCCTAGGTACATTTCACAAGTGTAACCCGTTTTATCATATGATACATAACTCAAGCTAACTCTTAAGCCCATAGGGTATTGCCAGCCTACGAACGTTGGGGGCTGAGTTCTAAGCAGGTTGAAAAATCTTTGGTCATACGCCATTGTGTGGTAAAATAAAAAAGTTGTTACATTTTCAGATTGTTTCTATCCTATAATGGCAGTCTGTGAATCAGTTTACATAAGTGACACTTTGTTCGCCCTACAAGATTTTTTGTTGTTTTATACTAGTCGTGAGACCAAAATCATCTCACGTGTAGCAAGTTTGTGGTCATGTGCAAACTAGAATCGATATTTAATATTTCTTCATGTGCAATTTCGTTTTATGATTAGAAACCAGTGACGGTTTTAAGGGGGGTATGACCCCTGGCCCCGCGCTTATGGTAACCAAAAGGGGCTCGACACCGAAAAAAGAGAAATTGTAAAGTACAAGGGTCCCACATCCCACAGATGTTTTTGGCCCCGCAGACCCTAAAACCGCTGCTGTTAATAACTGTATATATTCGTTTATAGTTTTGTGTTAGATAAAAGCTGTTAATTCTGTTTTTGTATGTCAACAAAGCTTTTTAAGCTGTTTATGGTTATGTTTGCTATTGAGCATTGAAAAGACAACATCCACAATACTTGTATTCTATCCCCTTTCCTGCAAAGTGGCTCTTCCTATTCCTCTCTGCTTAGGGCAGGTGTATGGTTGAAATGATGTTCTATCCTTGTTTCAGTGTCTACCAATTGGGTATCCAATTTTCAATATCGAAACAAATTCAAATGCGGGAAATATTTTCAAAACATCAAATGGGTAAATGAAATTTGTTTTAAACATAGGCGCGCTATTAAAAGAAGTTATTTGCGGTAGAATTCTTTGCGATTCAGTATATCAAAAATATTATACTTTGCGGATGAGGCCTTTCCCCGAAATCCTGAAGAGGTATTTTTTGTGACTGTCCGCTATAATTCGGAGTCTAAATTTTTGGATCAAGAGATTCTGACACTGTCAAATTTCAATTCTTCAAAGGTCAACGAAAAGCAATTCTTGCGCAATTAATCTCTTTCTTAAAGGTACACAGACTGACGATGAAGCGAAGAATGCATATAAGAAGCGTGATTCTCTGATCTTATGAAAGTTTTGAAACTTCAAAGAAACATTGGCCTGCTGAACTGGGATACCCTATTTCTATAGAAAATGAAAGAAAGACGATTCAGAATACTCTTTCGTGAAAGGTTCTGGCAGCGTTTGGCATAGTGTAGGGTTTAGAAGACTTTAGAACAAAGTTTTAGGTGGTAAAGGAACCAATCTAAAACCGCGCCCCTCTACCTAGAGCGTTTCTCCAAAACTTTGAACAAAAGGTGGACTGGGAGTGGAACGATGAACGAGTAAAAACCTATTATTGGGCAAACGAGTCGAAACCCCTCTTATTTCAGGCTATTATTCTATCCATTGGTCTGAACCAATGAGAAAGTGCATCATATGGGCCTGCGCAGTAGGGCGAAGGCAAAATCGACACCTTATGGCGCTTCACAGCATTTTATAAAAACTAATAAATATCATAGTTACACGAGTTTCATTCTCAGTCTTCTCATGACACCCTTTAATTTCATTTCTGGTAAATTCCTATAACGGCCAAGGATAAATGTTCTACCAGATACTATGCGATGTGAAAATGACAAGGTCGATTGTAGCTGCGCTTGCGCATACGATCAGGGGGGCTATTGGAGAAAAGACTGCTGGTTATCAAACTCTTTCTATTTAAAATATGACTCTAAACGACATGGTAACTACAAATCACTTGAGGAAGGAGCCAAGCATCGGGCCTGCCCCAGGAAACGGCGTGGCGGCACTGCTTGTAGGCACTAACTATTCGAAAGATAATCATGCAGAACTGTATCGGTGGGGAGACACAATTTGGCAAAACTAATTAGAAATTATTGGCAAGTCCTTCAAAACCAGAGTGAAAGAAGATAAAAACCATTTAATGTTCATGAACAAATGAAACCCTACTCTAGTTACACTTTTTGAAACTTGAGCAAATGATTAAAGATCATCAAAATATGCAGCTGAACTGGAACATATAAGCGATAGAAGAAACATTAAACTACAAAAAACTGATTTGACGTTCCTTAATATGAATACCGTATAAAAGGGCACTACCTTGCCAAAACTTAAAGAATTTTCTTCAAAATTTGGCGCCATCTCATCAAAACCCAGCACTAGCCAATTTACAAAAACGTCAATGGAAAAAAGATTAAGACAATAATTGAAGGGAAATAGCCGAGAACCTTAATGACCATCTTTTTCAGTGAAATATTTGGGTTTACTGACAAGTATCACTAACAACGTACTTTAAGGTAGGATGAACAGCCAACACATTACTTTACTAAAAGAAGATGCAGCTGCAGATGTCAACAAAACAGCCAAAAGCAGTTGTACAGCAACCAGAGTTAGAACTTAAACTCAACATTGAAAGTGAAAGGTCTAGACAAGTAATATTTTTTAATTATCGACAAGACGCAATTGAATGGGAGTTGTAATGACTACTGCAGATTTTAAGACGGGTGATAAGGAGAAACATAGCTTCGTGTTAAGTTTTAAAAACAAATCGTTGCAAAATGTATACTTATCTAACTTTGAGGAATTCCAAAAGTAAATATCAAATGTCTAGGAAAACCTAAGCACAATGTTAGTGAAGGTATCGGGCCGACAATTTACTATACATTGTAACCCTTAGCTAACTAACCAGATTCGAATTCGACCACTTCTTTGCATTGCATCGTTTCGTTGATTTACAAAAAACAATCCATATGATCTCATCAGCATAAACTTGCATCTTCTTTCAAAATTTTTCATTCATAATTATCATCGAAAGTGTGCTGGTTATCAACTTTGTTGACGAAAAAATTACCATGCCAATTTGTTTACAATCCATTGAGATATTTTCGATGTGGAATGTCCCTAAATCTTCACCATGACAGCAAACATCTGAATTCTAAGAATTAGACAACAAAATCACCATTTTCTTCTGATAAAACGAAATGGTCATCTCCCTGGATCAGTATCAGCATCTTTCAAAATGGAGTTCGACTATCCAAAACAGCTTTGAAAAGGTTTGTTATGTTATTGTGAAAGTATGTTTCATCATAAACTGACGACAACTTTAATTTCATTGGCAGATGACCAAATTAGTTCCAAAATCACTTCTGCAAAATGAATCCTAAAATCTTCCTTTTAGTTTCCAGTCCACCTTCGAAGCCGTCAGCTCTTTGACATAAAAATTTAATTGGATGGTTGAAGCAAGTTATGCAACTTTAATTGGGTGGTTGAAGCAAGTTATGCAACTTTAATTGGGTGGTTGAATCATTGTAGATATCGTAGCTAGGGAGTTATAGCAGTCTGCAAGTTGGTTAACAAAACTGTTTGATAAAATATCAAATAGATGGTTTTTAGAATCTTCTTATCTGATGAGGCAGGCCGTGCCCTTGAAGTCCAGGTCTACCTACACTTCTGCTGTGAATTGGTCCACGGATGTGAGAGGAGCCAATAATTGTTCCTGAAATCGGTACTTGGAAACCAGTTCCAGAATTAAGGGTAGGTAGCATGTTTCGGCTTCTGTTCCAGTTGTCTTGGCTTGATGGTCTTGAAGCAATATGCGGCTGCCCTGCCGAAACAACCTGATGTGTCATAACAGATGGTGGTTGGTAACTTCTGTTTGGTATGTCTTGCCTTGCCACTACGTCATTTCTTGGAATACCACGAGAATAGGAATCTCTTGAATCAAGCTCCGAAGCACGCTGTTGATATCCCCTTTGGATTGGGACATCTCTGGGTACTTCCCGCACAGGTAGATCACGTGAATGGCCTGACTGGCTTGGTGGAGCCCTTCCTCGTGATTCTTGAAGCCCAGCTTGAGCAAGGAGTTCTTGCGCTCTTCTTGAAACAGTAATATCAACGCTTTGGCGCCTACTTATGTCATCAGTGTCTGGGTAACCAGAAACCAAACGGTCACTTTCACGGCCATAAAAATCTCTTCCACCTCTGGAATCACGGCTAGAAGCAGTAGGCCGATCTCTGTCCTCACGTCTGTCATCATGCCTGTCATCTCTTCTGATTTCCAGCCGGTCGTCAAGCCTTTCATCTCTTCTTTGATCACGACGATCATTTCTCCAATCAGGAGGATCTTGCTTTGGAATTCTGCTTGCTGCGGCAATTGACAATGCATCATTGACAGTCATGGTTACTTGCTGGTCAAAAGCAGAACTTCCAAGAATTCCACTGACACCTGCTCGCTCTAAAATCTCAGTCAGGGTCTTTGGGGGGTTTCGTAATTCTTGATTTTCAAGCCAGCTATCATCTCTCTGCTTCTCTTCTGCATCATAATACTGAATACCTTCTCCATCTCTGTGGGATGGACGATCACCCCTGCTACCAGATCTTTCAGAACCCCTTCCTCGATCAGCATCTCTTAAAATATCCGAAGCCAATTTTCGTGGTGATCTGTCCCTATCATCTCTTGAAGAAACAACCCTTCTCTGATTTCTGGATAATACATCATCTCTCCTTTCATCTCGGCGAGGTACCTCTTCACGCCTGACATCTGCTGTGTGTGCACTGATAGGAGATCTGTCCCTTGTTCTGCTTGTGCTATAGCTAAATGGAGAAGAATCTCTACCTGCCTTAGGCAATGACGTTCCACTGTAGCCAGCATCATGAGAAGAGTGTCTGCTTCCATCTCTTTTGCTTGAATAATCTGAATGCCCACTTGATTCTGGTCTTCCTCTATCTTCCTTTCTTTGTGTTCCAGTATCAGTGACCCTGCTATCACGAGTGCTATGTGCTCCTCCAAAAAAATCTGATGGCCTGCCCCCATGTCCTACTTTTGAAGATTCTAGTGCATGCCTCTTTGGCTCTGGATGATAACCATCCTCCACTCTTTCTCCTCCTGTCTCTCTTCTTCCAGACGATGATGACCTTTTCAAGGCATATCTTCTTTCAAATTCCAGTCTCTCTCTTTCTAAACGCTCTCTTTCAGTCTTGATTTTCTCCAACTCTTCCCTTTCTTTTCTCAATCTATCATAAGCGATCCTTTCTCGCTCCTTCCTTTCACGCTCCAATCTTTCTTTTTCTATTCTTTCTCTTTCCTCTCTTTCTCGTTTTGCCCTTTCCTTTTCTAAACGTTCTCTTTCAAGGCGGGCTTCTCTTTCTCTCCTTTCTTTTTCAAGACGCTCTTTTTCTTCCCTTTCTCTTTCCTTCTCTCTTCTTTCTTGCGCTAACCTTTCGCGCTCTCTCTTCTTCCTCATCTCTCTTTCCCGTTCCAACTCTCTCTGTCTTTCTCTTTCTCGTCTCATCCTTTCCTCTTCTTTCCTTGCTCTTTCTCGTCTTTCACGTTCCCTTGCCTCCTGTGCCTTTCTTCTTTCTTCCCTCAATTGCCTTTCCTTTTCTCTCTCTTTTCTTCGTCGTTCTTCTCTTTGTCTTCTCTCTTTTTCAATTTTCTGCTGCCGTTCCTCTTTAAGTTCATTTAATGATTTGACCTTTCTATCACTGCTAGGTTCAGACGATTTCCCCTTCTCCTTTGATTCATCTGTCTTGCGAGAGTCTTTACTCTTGTCTCTGTCATGACTTTTAGATCTCTGGCGTTCACGACTTCTTGGACGGTGTCTGCTACGACTTCCAGAGCGCCTATGCCTATCTGACCCTCTTCTATCCTTTGATCTAGAGTCCGATCTGCCTTTCTCATCACTCTTTTTGTCTTTATTCTCTTTGTTTTCCGTGGATGGCTCCTTTTTGTCTGATGTTAAGCCTTAAAGAAACAATAGCTCTTAACACAACATTATTTGGCAACACTGTATTTATAAGTCTTATTCAAAAGCTGAATTAGGAGTCATATTTAGATGTTACTAGCTAGTTTACACTATTATCAATTACACACCTTTACTTCAAACCAGGGCTAAAAAATAGGCGTACAAATGATGTTAGTTTCTGATCCACCTAACGTTTCGCTAAAAACAGATTCAAATCATAAAAAATTGCCGAGACCTTGCATAAAACCTTTTCGAAATTTTTCAGAAAAGTTTTTACTAAATAAAGAAAACATGTTTGACAAAACTAATGACCATCAAATATTTTTGGGGAAAAACCTCTGCCATCAATCCACTGAGGAAACCTTTAAACCTGTAAAACTTCTGAGATAAGGACAGTTTCTTAAAAATGGACTGTGTTTTAAGGTAGTTTATTAACTCCAAGTCACATATCTTCGTATATGATACTTGTCCGCTTGTACACTGATTTTCGGGCTGTGACGATACCATACATCTTTCTAGAAAATTTATAAGTCCTGCATCCTTTAAAAGCAGGAAAGGAGAAAAATATTCAAAGTTTCTTGTCTCGATAAATTGACTCAAAGCTGCAAAATCAACCATACCTTTTCAAAATAATCTCACCTTGCTTTTGAGCCTTAACTACCTTTTGAGGTTGTTTTTTGTCATCTGGTTTCTTTTCTAAAATAGGTCAAAACATATCCGGTTTAATTATCATGGATACAACTGGAAAAACAAGCTGGAAAATTTGGAAGCGACCCAGTCTAGCTACATCCTGGTAAAACTTGAAAAGTGCTGTTGGATAAAAATAAGTTTTAGATCCTACCAAGAAATGATTTGGCTTTCTCCTGCGAGAAGAAGAAAACAAAATTCAGGGAATTTTTTGGAACTTTATATTGATTTGCTTTCTCTTTTTAGTTCAATAGATATATAATACAAGACATCTGCTTAAAATCTAAGAACTTAAACAGAGTCAAAAAAGTCTCCTGAAAAAGTGCAAGAAGTCACTTGAGCCAGTAAAAAGGTGCGCCACTTTGAATTTTTGTTTGTTCAACTCCAAACTTCAAGAGTCTTTTTAAAGATACTTTATATATCAACAGGTAAATAAGCCGCGCATGAGATTGATTTAATTGACACAGATGTTACTGAGTTGATTGTCTGGTTGAAAAGGAAATTAGATTTACCCACAATGGCATTATCAATACAACAATATCAACATGGTATGTTATTGTGGAAAGCCTGCATGTTGTGGAGAAAGTGCAGCTAGGATTACCACAATGTTCTGCGCATTGATCTAATAAATATAATTGCTGCTATTGTGAATTCTCATTGACAACTGTTTCTACTAAAGAAACTCACCTTGTTTAGGAGGGGGTTTCTTTGGCGTCGGGTCATGTTTTGCCTGAAAATTAAAACCAAAACGGTAAGTGACAGCAGCGCTTCAAGAGAACAAAAGACATAGAAACAATACATCATGCCCTTATTATCAATTCTCAATCATTTGTCCCAGCATGTATTATGCATGTAAGGGTAAAGACCCTACATAGAACTTCATGTTCAAAATATTTTTACCAAGTAGAGTAGTGATTTTTGATTTTCCTGGAAGCATATGTAGGAAGTCATTGAAGTTGAGGTCAGACCCACAAACATTTTGACAGATAGAGGCACCAGGAAGAAAAAATGGAAAAATCAACCACAGAAGTCAGGATCATTTGAACTTGTATTAACTACTACTTGCATACTCTTTTCTAAACCCTCAAATACAAGCTTACCCTCTCCACTGTCACAATCTTCCCATGAATCTCAGTTTTGTCTAGCTTTTCAATGCATTTAGCAGCTTCCTCAGTTGACGACATTGTTACAAATCCAAAGCAATGTGTGCCAGGGGAACGGGCACTTGTAACAACCTTTGCTCCAATAACCTAGGGAACAATGAGAAATCATTCACAAACAGCCTTGTTTTAATAGGCAAAAATTTGTGAAACCAGGAATATACTTATACACTTGAGTACTTTTACAATGACCAAACTTAAATAAAAAAAGCACGCTAGCTATTCTGTGCAGCATGTCTCTCTCCACAAGGCCTTTCCAGTTACACAATTTTTTGATGGTTTTAATAGGTTGACAATTAAGAATAAAAACCTGATATTTTATCTAATGTGGTTTACCTTTCCATGTGCAGAGAAAGTCATCTTCAGATCAACTGCTCGCGTAACTGACGAAAGACCACTGATCCACAAACTCTTGGTGATTTCCTTTTTGCTGTCCTTGTCAGGTTGAACTGGGCTTTTGGCTGGTGCCTCCTTTGCTTTGTCACTTTTCAGTTCCTGCTTTGTATCACCTGAAATCTTGGTCCCTTCATCCTTACTGAAAACACAAAAGAAGAGGTGCGATTATTATTTACTTACATGATCAGAGATATAAAATGCATCATATTGGGAAAAATTATCTTAATACAAAAAGCTACAATAAATAAAACAAATAACAATTTGAAAGTAAAGGGATGTGTGACACGAAAATACTTAACAACAAATAGACCTATGTTTATAAAAGAGTTAAAAAAATAGCTTGAACATAACATTCACCAACTAGCCTTACTAAATACTTCAGTATGTTTAGGCTTTTCAGTGGTATTCAAAGCAAATTTGATCATTAACTTTCCTGGTTGTGTTCATCTACATCTCTGAATTTTTATACCCAAACTCCAGCTTTGATTGATTGCAGTTGAATTAAGTTTGCAATAATTTACAAACAACTTGGTCTTCACTTTTTCATTATTATACCAAAGACAACAGTCTAGAAATTCTGTTTTTATCTAATATTTTTAAGTTATCTAAATAAGAAAACTGAAAAAAACAAACCGACTGTTTAACTGTTTGTTGCTCAATGTGAAATTCTTATTACTTGCCAAAGAAGGAAGGGGGTTTATCAAGAGTAAGGTTTAAGATAATTGAATACTGGCTTGTGCTGAAGTGCATAAAAACAAAAGGACTCACTAAAATAAATTAATCTTTTTAACAGCTACAAGCTATAGAAACAAAAATTACTTAATGGGAAAATTGCATCTGTCTGTCTAAGACATGAACAAATTCGACATTGCAAAATAAAACAAAGAAGTTCAATTGTTGCCCAAGCTGCAAGGCTGCAAAACCCGAAACAAAACTGACAGAAGAACAAGTATCTCATTTTACAGTTCGTACATAATTATAATTTAAAAAAAAGACAAGCATACACAGATCAAATTTTATATAGACAGAAACTACTAGGAAACAATTTGGTTTTGTGGCTGACCGATTACCCTTTCAGCTACATCTATGTAATAAGAGATGTAAGTAACAGGTAGCCTTTTAAGTATAGTTGTGAATCATGCTAGCTACAACAGTCTTCAAAGTACCAACAGACCAAATTGGTCAAGAACAGTCTCAAATATTTAAAATTTATTTTTACCCTTAAAGAGAATAGTATTTAAGTTTCTCTCAAGGTGAAAATGAGGAACATTTTTAGTACATACATTTATTATAAGAACTGATAGCGGTTAGAATAGAACATCAAAAAAATAAAACTAAGTGAAAAGTATAGCTATCATATATGTAGTTACTAACAAAGTCAATGGTAACTGCCTGACAACCCTTTTGTTACAGTGTACTTACCCAATGAACTGGTCAACTGGAAAAAAATCCTTAGAAATTCATTTTTAACGCACCTGGTTTCTTCTGCTTTAGATTTATCAGAAAGACTTTCTGAAGAATTGTTCTTTTCACTTTCTATACCACTAACATTCGTTTGTTTGTCTTGAATAATAGTTTTTTCTGTTTCATTTCCTTTAACATTGTCAGAATCTTCCACTGTTTCCATTTTGATGTCTTCCTTGGCGTTGACACTACTATCACCCTCGTCTTCATTTAAGGAAACATCTGCATCTTCTGCCTTAGAAGCTCCTTCTGCTTCACCCTGAGAAGACTCTTCACACCTATCATCAACTTCATCTCTTTTTTGCACTAACCCATCTCGATCCTCTACAAGTTCCTCTTGAGATACCTCACTCTCCTCTATGGCAGATTCTCCTTCTTTCTCATTCTCAACCTCATCTCTAACTTGCACATTGTTGGAATCACCTTCTGTGTTATCCTCTTCTAAGTCCCCTGTTCTTTCTTCCTCGACCAATCTTTCCTCCTCTTCTTGATATTCTTCTTTGGTGTCTTGTACTAATTCACCATTATCATCTTTTTCTGCATTTTCTCTTTCTAATTCTTCCTCTTCTTCTTCAGTTTTTTCATCAAGAAACTTCTTCGCAACTTCATCACTCCCTTGGCCATCTTCCAAATTGCCAGTTGCATCTCCATCCACATCTTCCATGACATCATCTTCCTGTTGCTGTTCAACTTCATCCACTGTATCTTCTTCCTCTACAACAGCTTCTTCATCCTCATATTCTTCTTCTTGATCTTGAAAATTGCTTTCATTATATTCTTCATCAGCTTCAAATTCTTCTTCTCCTGCATCTTCAAACTGTTCATCGCCATCCACAACCTCATATGCTTCATCCATTTCACCTTCTTCACCTTCATATTCTGCCTCCTCATAATCACCTTCTTCTTCCTGACCTTCCACTTCCTCATCATACATACCATCTTGAAAAAAGTTATCTGGGTTTTCACAGGAGCCCTTAGATTCATCAATAATGTCCCCACCTTCAGTTTCACAAGCAACAGAGTCATTTGTATTAACGATTAGTGATTCTGAAAGTGTTTGCTGATTTTCTCCCGTATAATCTAGCGCATGCCCAGCATCAGTGCTTATTTCTTCCATGGATCCATCTGCTTGTAGAAAACATGTACAAATATGAAAAGAAATCATAAAGGTTGGGTCCATGTGCAATGGAACAATTTTCAAAGCCAGTACCTTTTCAATGAAGGCATATTTGACAATCAAATAAAGGTAAATAAGACAAGTGAAAAAACCAAGGGCATGGTCATCAAGATTCAAGAAGTTCTGACAAAACATAGTTTTATTGAAAGAAAGCAAAAACTTGTAGAACAACAGGACAAATACTGCAGCTCATAAGATAGAAAATAATCTCTCCATTAATATAATTCACGCTTCTTGCAAACATTATATTGCAAGACATTTGGTATCTAGACAATACTGGCAACAATACCCTGATGCAATAAAAATGATAATCACTAAAAATCTTTTTATCCCTAATCATGCCTTCAACGAACTGCTGATAGTGGATGTGAAAAGCAAACCGAGGCTGTTAAGGATGGTAGGCGGTTGATGACTGTACTTTCAAGAGCCACAAAAACATGCCCAGTGCAGAGAAATATTCTTTACACATCACTTTCTAAAGAGACAGCAATCATAGAGAATATCATGGAAAGATCCTCTGTGGAAGATCCAAGTCATTTTTCGAAATTGAATTGACAAATATCCATGTAAATATTCCATGCTTTTGAGCAAAATCGGGGTGAAGCCACAATTCAGTTAATGAGTGAAGTTTGGCCTGTCAAGCAAATTGATAGCCAGATTTCCTTTCTTTGGGCTGTCAAGCTGTATTTTACCTCCACCTTGTAAATGTTGCATGGAAAATGGTCCTCATCAACAAATGCATTGCCCACAAAAACTGCAGTCATATTCATTCTTTGTAACCAAGAGCAATGCATACTTTAATTCCAATCCTTGGCAATCATTTTCCTGTACAGCATCTGTGACAATTGTCTACATTTACACATTGCCTCTAAAACTGTTTGCTTCCTTGGGCGAATGTGGATGGTTGCAGCTCATCCAAGCAGGGGCACTTCCGTAGCACCTCAATCAAACTCACATAATCTGCTGAAACATCCACCTTTTCAATGGCTTGTGACTTTAGTACTGTTTATATTCTCAATGAATGGCTTTATAGATCATCAAAGAAGAGAATTTAGCTGTGCTTGATGGAAAACTCCACAATCTTTTTCATTGCCTTGCCATTATCTTAAGTGCCTATCACATCCAATATCAGCATTTCAAAACTATACAGTATAATCCCAATAATCAAACCACAAAGGAAACAAAGAAAACTGTTTAAGGCAATGGAAGTTTGAATGTTCATGGGATTTGACATGTTCAAGGCCAAGGCACGAACAGTCCAAGCTAATGGGGGGTTGAGTTAATGAGGGTTCAACTTACCAGGACTATACTGTAACTTTTTATCCAAAAAACATAATTTCTTAAAGTTACCAACTAAGAAAAAGGTTGGAGGTTGGAGGGAAATAGCTGATGAAAACAACTGCCTCTATACAAAACTTTTTATTACCTTCACCTTGAGCATCACTGGCATCATCCTAAATTAAAAAATAAATAATCAGGATATCTTTGCTGTGGTGTTCAAATTGATAATATGTAACAAAAATTTTATACCAACACAATGAGAATAATGGTTCCTAAACATTCACAAACCAAACCTTCTCAGAGTTTGCAATACCATTATTCAATTGGGGTGAAAGCCGCAGTACATACTCTGGTTGTCTATATTATTGGAATTTTTAAATTCTATTGTAGCTCAACAAGGTCAAACAATTCTTCTGTAGCCTAAACAATTCAAGGCTGAATGAAATTCAGATTCTCAGAAATTCATATTGAAGAAGTTTCACAACCAAAATAATGGGAAAACAGCCTATTAAACAGTACGATTCCATGATGGTGTTGCAAACTCTGTGATGGTCCGGTCAAAGACAGCATAAAATTCTGCCTTTACTGGATTTTTTAATACCAAAATGTTCCTATGGATGAAAATTAAGAAAATGTCTAGCCATATCTAATGAATTTTCTCTTTCTTTGACAAAGTAATGACGGCCCACACTTGATGTCATTTCCAAAGGATATTTGGGGTCTGTTTTTTGCTTGCTTACTTAAGTTTTCCAATATCAATGAAAAAACCCAGAAAAGATTTTACAGCAAATAAAATTTTGTAAGATCAAGACATTAATCATTGAACTGCAACTTAGAGGATAAAGAGGGTAGGGATCCTCATCTGATATTGAAAAGACATAATTTGGTAACATATATCAACTAGCAACACCAAAGAAGCTCACTTTACCAAGTACATAAATATAAACATAATAATTTTCTTAAATTTGAAGCTCTTAAACAATGTGCTGATATGCTGAAAATTTTAAGAAATGTTTTTATTCTTGCTCAATCTACCAGATGGTTCAATCAGATAAAACTTCTTGGCTGGTTAGGCAAGTTTGGAGGCTAGGAAAATTATAAGTATACTTACATGTTCAGTTGTTTTTAGCATTCTCTTTCCTTAAAAAATTGGAAGAAATGTGTCAGTGATAATGTTTTTAATTATTTAAGTCAGAAAGAGCCCAAAAACATGGCAGTCTTGCAGCTAAGTAGAATGAGCTTGGTTATGGAACAAAATATCTACATTGCTGTAATTACTTTTGAAAAATTTCACTGCTTGCTGCTAGGGGTGTACCGGATCAGGATTTTCAGAATCTGGCAAGAACCGGATTTACCGGATTTCTTCGTGGAATATCTGGCTGGATTTTACCGGATAATCTAGCCATTTATGGACTTTTCAGTAATAAAAAGTTTTGAGCCACTTAGCGAAAAAATGTATAGCAAGAAGATCAATTTAAGCCAAAAAGGCCAAATCAAAAACTTTCTCAAAAATCCATTGAGCAGACACTGGTTATATTTCCATGCTTGTGCCTGTTAGATAATTTCTTAACTTAGATAAGAATCTCACTTTTTTCCAAAACCCTTTGCTAATATCATGATAATATTTAGGTTAGGTGATAAAATTTGGAATTTGGTTAACACTTTGTAGTTAACTACTAATTATTACATGAATGTAGTAATTACTCATTAATTTTAGACGTTTTGCTGAAAAGGCCAACATGGTCAAATTTAAGTAGTAAGCAAAAAACAATTTTTCCAGGCAATCTAAATCTAAAAACCAAAAATGAAAAATTTGGTCCAAAAATGAAAAATTTGGCCTAAAAATCTGGCAACCCTGGACCAAATTTGTGAATTATATCATCCAGTCTTCCTGTTTCGTGATGACGAGCACTTTCATTTCAAATAGTGAATCATACTCAACAAAACTTTCAAAATGAAGAGAATTCTAAGTTATCTAATCATGTTCAAGAAACACCAACATTGTAGAATATTGTTCAAATTTTGTGCTAAGGCACTATATGGACAAAAAGAATTTCTTTCATGACAGTTCATTCCAATTATGTTATCAGTGTGTTATCCTCAGAAAATAGAATTCCATGAGAAATTCAAGCATATATGTGTTTTAGTAAATTGATATAATAGAATGATTACTAAAACACAGACACCTGGATTACATATCAGGCCATCCTCGGAAAGACATGCAATTGCACATGCACATCTTGACACCTGCCTTGTTTCCCCAAAAAGTGCAGTTTATTGCATGCCTATGAGTTATCACCTTTCACAGGAAACATACTTAGGCCATTTGATTGATAACATTTTAATTTCACATTGTTTTTAGTTTCTCAATCCAACACAAAACTTGTGCTTGTGCATTTTACCGTTTTCCTTTAAGCTTGGATTTTAGGCTTTATTTATTTGAGAATGCTTTAGTGCATGTTTGCCTTTGTTTTAATATCCTTTGCACAATAGTGTTTTGATATCGGATTCAACCATTTACAAGTATCTGATTGGTTTCAACCCGAACAGGGACTTAGCATGTTCAAACTTCTTCATTTTCACCTTTACCTGTCTACTGAGAAGTAAATGTCAGTGTTTGTGCATTCACACTGCTCACAGAAACAGACTGAATAAAGATTCCTATTTTTTGGTTGCGACCATTCACACTGCTTCCATTTTCTTAAATTTGTTTTGGAGCATTTTCAAAAGCCCCCTTTTTAGTGCATCCCCACTGCTCACAAAAAAGGAGAAATAGTATCAGCTTTGTGGTTTTTACCCTTACACTGTTCGTTTTCCTTTTTGTAATGTTTGTTTTCAAATACCTGTTTTCATGGTTTTGATCGTTCATACTGCTTCTGTTTTTCTTCACATTGTTCAGTGCGTTTTCAAAATCATCTATTTTTGTGGATATTCATTTTGATAGCATTACAAAAACCACCATTTTTGTGTTGTTCTTGTGCTTTCAAAAAATTTCATATTCCATTTGTGAAATAGCTTTGAAAAAAGAAAATGTTTACCCTTGTGCAAGATAAGTAATGTAAAAATGGGTAAAAATTTTGTTCTGCGACTAAATGATCTTTGTCATGCTACATGCAAAAATCACCCGATTGCACCCCTTGATTTGCCAAAGATTGTGATTCACTGCATGCCTGGAATTACTGGTATGGCTTATATATATACGATAAGTCAATGGTTCCTGTGAAGTCTTTGTTTTAGATGTGTCCCAAGTATTCCCATATGACCAATAGAAAATGATAATCAAAAATTTATCAGTTCATTAAAAATTGATGTCAAATATTCCATTTCCAATAGGAGCACAAGTGATTTTGCCTATTGTGGGACAGGATCATTAAAATTGTCAGCATTCAGAAATTGCTGTTTACAAGGGAAATATTTATCACTGGACGGGTGATTCATTGATCCAAAGGAAAACACGAGAAACACCAAGTGTGTGCCTGTGTGCTCATATATTCCCACTTAAAGCAGTGGTGGAGACTTGGTAGAATATTGGGGGTGAGCCTAATGTTTTAATACTGTTTTAAAACAGAAAGCCCATTGTCTTCAAAAATATTGGGTAAGCAAATACCCTCTCTGCCCCCCAGATGTCGGCCACTGACTGAAAGCTTTGATGAAAGCTCTTCTACCTGATGAAAGCCTTTCTAAATTAAGCATCAACATGATTGTACAAAAAGACATAAGACATAGTGATATTCATAGTCACAATGGAGATGGCTATGACATTGTGAAAGCACTACAAAACAGAAGTTTTGTTTTGTGAGTCCTCCCCCATGATTCTGTCCCTTGATAAAATACATGGGGCATGTTAAACAAAATATAAAGGATTAATACTAGCAAACATACTTGGTGTACTTTTCCTTGCAGATGTCTTTTTGTCAATATCTTGGGGCTCAGATGTCGGTGTTACTGCCTCAGGAGTACCAATGCTTTCATCTAGAAGTGCCTAAGAAGAACAAGTCATTATATATATTACCAAATGGCTTTACTAAATCAATAGACAAAAGCGTTCTGCTTTTACAAATATGAAAGTTTTGGTTCTTGTTCCTACTTCCAAGAAATGCTTGTGTCTAAGAAATGTCCATATGATTTAGTTCCTTGGCACATGGTGGGTTTGTTTTCACATAGGCTAGAGCATCTCTTCTTGCAAGGCCTGATGTAAAACTGCAATCGAGCAACATTTACTAGAAAACCAAAATTGTGCCAAATGATACAAATGCTATCTACAAGATAATATTCACAGTGTTAGTCTCCAGAGTATGGCAGTGCTTGAACTTGTGCAAGCATGTACAGTCATTTTAGTCATGTTGCACATGCAATCACATTGAAAAAACATTACCAAATTCCAGCTCTATAGCAGCAGCCACTTGTGAGGAATTTATTTGTTGAGCTTAAAGCGACTGTTGCTTATGCAAGAAATTCTAAACGGCAGCTGTCGTATTTTAATAATATTTAGGAAATATTAAACAGCTACCTACGTCTTTGTGATTATAAGAAATGTGTAATTGTCAAGCCTCACACCGTTCTCTGCTTCGTTTGCCCAATTGAAGAAACTTGAACATTTTGAAATATAGTTATATTTGTCGGAGAAAGGAGAGTATCAATGTCTTTCATGTCAAACAGCAGCAACCCTCTGGTTATTGTCCGCATACATGAAGTGTCCGCAGAGACGGGACGGGGAGACCAAATTACCTCATCAAGGACTCCTTCTAAAGATCACATTTTGTTGATATAGCTCAAAACATTTAAGACAAAATTTTTTTTGGATATTCTTAGAAAGACATCCCTTCGCTTGGCATCATAGTCACAAGAAGTAATGGAAAACCAAGCTCACCTTCTCCAGCCTCTTCACGAGGTCAGCCTTTAGGCCTTTGGTGTCAATTCCTCTTTGCTCAAGTTCCAGTCTAAGGTCAGCAACTCTTAGATCTGAAATCTTTTTACCCTCAACAAGGGGACTTGAAGCAGACATTGTCACAGCTTCAGATGCCTCGACCTTGCGATAAACTCTTTCTTGATACCGTCAAAATCAAAATGGCGTGCTCTTCTCGTCTTCTCCTCAACCAACGTTTCTTGAGCTGCACATGCGTGCTACAACCACGGGGTTGCAGAAAACAATAGCAATGACAATAAATCGCCTCCACAGTAAAAACCAAGAGGGCTGAGAGACGGGAAAATGGAATCACAGAATAGAGTAATTTCTTCTCGGTGATGGAACCAGGGACGGATGTACGGGGGGGGGGTGTATGTAAGGGGTTCAACACCCTAATGTTTCTGTGTACTTGGATAAATTTGCTTCCATTCGGTAAAAATCATTCCTTGGTAGTCAATAGTAAACAAAGTAACGCCAGGATTTTACTTTGTTTATCTTCTTACCTCCTTACCTTTAAAATTAAAAACAGAATTTTAAAAATGTGTAACGTTTTAGGACTTGTATTCTTCAGTAATTATTATTATTATGTTTAGCTAGATCTTTGATTATGTTGCGTGTTAATGTCACATGTTTGTTTGTCACGCTGTTGTGTTAGTAACTCCCTTTCCGGGAAATGTGCGTCACTGTCATCGTGTTGTGTGATGTTTCACAGTGTTCCTTTGTTTGTGTTTTAATATAATGTAATCCTACTTAGAATAATTTAGTCTTACTGTTTTGACAATAGAGATAACATCAAAGAACGAGTATCTCTTGTGTGCTATCTATTTGGGGCTAGGCCCGTTGGCCTAGCCCATCGCTCAGCCAACGACCGGATACTTCACCGTCATGACAAGAAACCAAATCGTTACATTTGGTGACAGAGTGGGATGGCGGTGGAATGCGTTGGTCTTTACACTTTTTAATGGAATTTTTATCGAGAATGATTTGGATTCACTGAGTGCTGCTGATTCACAGCTTTAATTTGATTTTCAAAACAGAAACTTTTTGCGATGGATTTGGGTTCAAATTGCTGCTCATTTCGCTTGGTTATTGTTTTTTTGGAAGAAGACATTCCACTAACGGAAAAAGCATTCGTTTTCCAGATGATACAAGATACAGTCAAGATTTCGTGAGAAACTATGTCACCGTTAATTAGCCGATTGTTTGGGAGCTGGCCGGAGAGTGGTTGCAGCTGGGAAGAGCTATAGAGAGCCTTCGTATGTAATAGGACTTTTTAAACATTTCTTTTTGGAGATATCATCACGAAATTGGGCAAATAAAGTGATGTTGTAGGCACTACCTTCGCTTGCCAGTTTATGCCTCCGGGCCGTAATGACACTTCAAACACTTTTATTTATGACGTAGAAGAACTCAGTGACTTTTCAAGGTTGTATCGTGTATTTTAAAAGGGAGGGGATGGTGTAACGTTTTAGGACTTGTATTCTTCAGTAATTATTATTATTATGTTTAGCTAGATCTTTGATTATGTTGCGTGTTAATGTCACATGTTTGTTTGTCACGCTGTTGTGTTAGTAACTCCCTTTCCGGGAAATGTGCGTCACTGTCATCGTGTTGTGTGATGTTTCACAGTGTTCCTTTGTTTGTGTTTTAATATAATGTAATCCTACTTAGAATAATTTAGTCTTACTGTTTTGACAATAGAGATAACATCAAAGAACGAGTATCTCTTGTGTGCTATCTATTTGGGGCTAGGCCCGTTGGCCTAGCCCATCGCTCAGCCAACGACCGGATACTTCACCGTCATGACAAGAACCCTTAACGTTACAAATGGCCATTTCCATCATTTAAGCAGAAAAATTCACTGTACCTTGGACCATACCAATTACGCCCTCATCGACGGGGCATTATGCTCCTTTGCCGTTATAGACACGCTCGGATTAGAACACGGCGTGATGCACATAAAATTCTTTCATTTTCTCCTTTATTCGTAATTTTAAAGCGTCCCACTGCAAAGATTTTGTTTCAAGCACCCAATTTAAGAGATTTCGTCCCGAACTGAGGAAATTTAAATACAACGACGCTAGGAAAACGATCAAAACCATTTCATTTCAATAGTTGCTTGAGGTACTTGCCTCCTGGAGCACAGGCTACAACCATGATGTTGTCTCATGTGAAATATATCATGTTTATTGCTAAAATAATGCCTTGAGCACCATATTCGGTAAAAATGATTCCCATTCTGTCGATGATTGCGTGTAGAAAGTCTTATCAGTTTCCTAGAGTAACCTTTTGTTAATGACTGATACTGATACAGGGTCAACTTTGTCGTTTACTTTTTAACGAGGCTTAGATCTAACTGATTTTCCAACAGTCTAGCTTTCTGTTTTGCATTGTATGCAATTAGTGTGCTGTAAGTGTTAGAAAGGGGGGGGAGAGAAAACTCGTACATTTTGCCGTATCTGGAAAGATATTTGAAACGCACTTTATCTCACCGTATTTCCTCTTAAGAACACCGCGGCGTTTATTACAAACTCCAAATTTTAGACGCAGCGTACAATAGAGGGCGGCATTTATCAGAGGGCGGCGTTCATAAGAGGAAATACGGTATCTCTTTTCTTTATACTCTCTGTGAACTTTCTCAATACCTTACAACCCTATAGATCAGTAGATAAGATCAAAGATACAGCGAAGTTACAATTTGGGCGGCACTGGTTGCAGCCGAAAGGGAAATTTTTCTACGATTTTAGTGCTGAAAGTTCGCAATAATTGCAAATTTTGGTAATAAAATCTTATTCTTAAAAAGGATATCCACTGCCAGATAGCTACCTTTGGTACTGATCGATTTCCTTGTTCTTATTTTCAAATGTTTTACTTTATGCAACATAACTGCAACAATTTCCAAAGCTGGAAAAAGATTCAAATCTGTTGATTGGCACAAAACGGACACTGTCCTGGACTTAAATACAAAATAAAGATGTAATTTACGAAACTGTCATGCAGGGCTGCAGACACTAAAACGTACTATCGGAGACATATAATGAAACCAAGATTACGTTTTTGGTGTCACGAGAGCTGATTTTAGTATATTTTGTCCCATGGTGGAACAAAAATTTAGCTTTGAAGATTCGGATTTCAACTAGCAAAATCCGAGCAGCAAATTACTCTATGGAAATGTCGACTTTTGTTAGAAATCGGTAAATTCCGGGAAATCATTTTGTTTTTGTGGAAATCTAGTACTTTCTTTTAAAGAGTGAATTGCCCCTTGACTATACGAAATTATTTTTATTTGCTAAAAGACTCGTTTTTCTTTTCCTTTGTACCAACAGCTCAAGGTTGAGAATGTTCTGAAATTTCACCAAATTTTGAAAACAGGGGGAGCAATAATGGCCTCCTTGCCCCTTGGCCACGACGCCCCTATAAAAATAAAGTTTCTCATGAAGTTTCTATTCTATTCTGGGACCGAGGCATCCACAACGGTGGCCTCTGTATCGGGTTACTGTCATAACAACGAAACAACAAGGTCGCTGTTCGAGGGTTTTGAAATATTTTGAAATCAATAAAGTAGCAATATTTTACAAAGCGATGAGTGGACTACCAAGAGAAGTGCTTAAATGGCTACAAAGCTTGGATCTAAGCCGCCCTGTAAAGAATACGAGAAGGTAGCTTTGAAAAATTCGATAAATATTAAACCAGTCTGTTCCCACAATCGTGATTGCCTCTCTCCAGCCTAGGCCTAACATTTCATTTCCCTTATCTTTTTAGGGATTTCTCTAATGGTTACCTAATTGCCGAAATATTTTCTTGGTACTATCCACAAGATATTCAAATGCATTCTTTCGACAATGGAATGTCTATCGAAACAAAAATGGGCAACTGGTCAATCATAAAAAGGGTAAGTTTTAATCGCCTCGACACGTACGTGTTATTGGGTAATCCATTATGCTGAGTAACAACTGAGAAGTGTTTACTTCATAAATTCAATTTGAATTGTACCTACTTGCAAGATATTCGCAGCTACAATAGCGAAGTCAATGATGACAGATAAAAGAGCCAGTTTGCTGATAAAAAACCTCTTATTATGTCTTAAAGAAAGCTTCCAAATTTGTTACTTAAAATTACATCAGATACCAAACAATGATGCATAATACTCAAAGTGAGTAAATAAAAAACTTCTTTTTTAAAATAAGCTTTATATATGTTCATTTTCAGTTTTTTGCTAGAGAAGGGTTTGAAATTCCAAAAGAAGAAATTGAAGGAGTCATACACTGCAAACCTGATGCAGCTGTGCTCCTTGTTCAACGGATCTACACAATGCTAACAAACAGAATGTAAGTATTTAATTTTTGTTAATGTAAGATTCACTAAAAGAGTGGTTAAGCTATGGAAAACAAGGATCACTCTATCCTTATTTAATTGGTGCTTATCAGTTATTCTGGTTAACTACTTCAATTGAATTGCACAAACAAATCCCTTTCTCTTTTTGTATCAGAACAAAGCCAATGCAAAATGATAAATCATTGGATTTCACTGACAACAGCTACCAACAGCAACTGCCTCTTCACGCAAGAACCACTGCTACACAGGTAATAAAATATTTCAAAGCATTATACATGGACATCTTTGCCATAGGAGCATGATTCATGATTATGCCTACAATTTTCTGATTTCATTTGATTTGATGGACTACCTGCAGCATTGCTGTTATTTCCAGGAGCCATGCCAATATCTAGTTTTATTCAGTATGCTACATGCTCTTCAACAAAACATGCATTGGATATGTCCCTGTTACATGTAGGATGATAGAGAAAATTTATTAATGGCCATACCATGCCATTGGAGGGCAAGAAAATTCATTAGTATCAAATATCTGTTACAGTGATTGTGACATAACCAACACTATTATTAGGGACTATAGAAGATAGGACATGTAGTATAGAAAAGTCAAGCTTGTAGTAGCAATATATCACTGTGATTAGCTGAAATTGTTTGTTTTTCTAGGCTATTAAAAATAATATTGCAAATTCTGAACTACATACAGATCCAGATAGAATTTTATGCAGACAAAAGGTATTTCATTCTATTTTTTTTCAAATATAAAATTGATAAATTTTAAATATACTACTTCAAGAATGCATTTGAACTTGGTAAGAAAGAAAGCAATATTTAAAAATTCTTTAAAACAGTAGGCCCAAGAGAAATAATTCATTGATTTAAAAGCTGATTCTGATGTAGCAATTAACATTTTTAATAAGGATGAGACAATTTGTGTGACAGGGAAATCTAAATGAGAACCAATCAAAACCAGGGGTGGATTCAAGGTGTCGCACAGGTTTTACAGAAGACCGTCAGATTTTCAGAATTTAGTTTTGTCTTCAGTCATTGAAATTAAGCAATCATGTTTACCACAATCTTTTATTACAGATAACACATTTACCTCTCTTTCAACAATAAACACAGGACCAAACAGGATCGATCTCACACATAATGCTACAATTTAATTCAATATAGAAAAAGTTACAAGACCATCCTAGACCATGAACAGTATAATTTTTAAGCATGTTGCTCATGCTGCACAAATATGCAGGGCTCTTTCTTATTAAAATATTTTAAAAAATCTCCCCAATCAAAATTCAAGTTTTCACATAATTGAGCAGCATGAAAAGTCTGTAAACACTATGTTAGATTACTGTGCTGCACAACTGCTAGCAAGGGAAGGGAAGAAAGTGGATGAGGTTGGAAGTTGTGAAAGAGAAGAATCCAAATTTTTGTTATCTATGCAAAAGAAGTGCACAGGAAGTGTACACTTCTGAGAGATTTTGTTTCATCTGTGTGTTGGATTTGCTAGAAAATTTGGAAAACCTTTTAAAGGGACAAATGTTTGAATGAATAATTTGAACGTTTCAGGGCCCCCAGTCCTGTCACCAACCCTCAAAACTACTAAAAGGCTTGCAAACCTTGTTGGTGTTGCAACTTCCGCTCCTAAAGAGAAGGGCGTCCAATTGAGGCCTTTCATTGATCAAAGTGTATCAGTCTTTCTTAGTGGGACAAATTGCAGGTAGAAAGTAACCGCTTACAAGACATGCAAAATAATATTCTAGACCAAAAGTCAAGATGACTTTCTTGAACAAGGTGAATTTGTTCCTTTTATTTATAGTGGTTGAAATAATCAACATGGTTAACCTATAGGGTTTGCCTTCAAAATTAGACCTAGTTGCTCCGGTTCTGATGGGGGGGGGTTGCTGGGGGCTGTGCCCCCATCATGGCTTCTCCCTTGACCATGAGAGAGGCTCCCTAGACTGCCTGCTGGGTAGTGTTAATGTGTGACCGTCAACTTTCATTCTGTATCTGCCCCTGAATCAAACAGTAAATACACTAATCTTGGTATGCAAATGAAACAATGCTGGAAATCTTTTTTGGGAGTCTTTGGAATTTTTTGGAAATCTTTTAACAAGAACTGAAAGTTTGGACATCCTTGATTTTTCAATCAAAAAGTTTGTTGACAAAAAATCCTTCTTCAGTTGTAAAAATTTGCTTTGTGTTTAGCAGTAATTTGTAAAAATCTGCTGTCAACTCACCTATATTTCTTGTTTGTAGGCACAGGAAATAATCAGAGTGCATGTTAAAAATAGGCAAAACCAAAGAGTCCAGGATCCAGGTAAATATTTACTCTTGATTGTATCAGTTGAAGTTTTTTAGATTTCCTATTTTGATCATTCTTATTGTTGACCTTTGGCTATAACCAAAAGCAATTCTCTACATAATAAAAGTAATAAGACAGATTCCCGGATAAAAGTTTCTTAAAGTCTTGATATGACTACAAAATGAAACGGTCAAACGAGCCACAAAGATCACAAAGCCTTTAATGCCAAGCAAAGGTAGTGTCAACTATCAAGGGTAGGGGCTTTGACAGCGAATATGAAGATACCCCGCCCTATTCAGAAATTTTGCCAAAGGTTTAGTGTTCTATAGTATCAGGGCTTATTACTTTACAATGAACACTTATTATGACATTAGAATTAATTTTAGATAAATGTTTTCATTACAAAAACACAACTTTTGCAGTGTTACCTTGAACAATATTTTACGTCATTAGATTCAAATAACAGGGGGGTCCTTTCAAAGTGTACACATGCAAAGAGGGAGGGGGGTCACTGGGAAAGTACAACTGCCTACAAGAGGGGAAGGGGGATGGTGAATATCAATTTTTATGCGTAGGTGCTATGTTTAATACCCCCAAGAAAAATATCATATATTTTTTACTATATTTTCACAGTATTTTCACAGTACTTGATGTTTCTGGCTCTTTTCTCATGATCTCAAGCTACTAGAAGTTCTGTGGAGATTTACCATTACAAGTTTATTCATGATTCAACCAGAGTTGAAGCTATAATAAAGTGTATAAACTAACTTCTGATCTTTCAGTGGAAAGTTTTATTTTGCTCAAGTCGATATTTTTTTCCTTAGGACGATTTGGAATAAAACCTGACATTTGCCAGAAAAGCCCTAGAAAAACACCATCTGAAGACTTGACAGAGGAAGAGCAGGAGCATTATTATACTCTAAATGGAACTGACCCTTACATTCACCAGCAATTACATGTTCAGGATAATGAATATGTCCCAGAAATCTCTGTAAAACAGTCAGCATACTAATATGCAATACTGAAAGTGTTTGATAGGTAGTATTTCACTGTTAAGTTAAGCATCAATTATTGCTTTAACATTCAATTCTATATTAAGATCACTAGGTTTGTTTTTGTAATGATCATCTACCCATTTTGAAGTGAAAAGCTAGCAAAAAGATGTTTATATTCATTATTTGCAGTAGCGTAGCGGAGGTGGTAAGGTAGGGAGGGCAAAGGCGAGTCTAGCAAGAGAAAATTGGGGTCCATGCCCAAGCCATCAATCAATAAGCATGATACCACTCAGACAATTTTATATTGGCCAATATAAATTTTTATTTTGGACTGAAAGATGACTTGAGGCAGTTTGAAAGATGAAAGATGACAGTTTATTACCCAGACCCCTTTACCAGCTCCACCCTTTTTATTGTCCACCCCACTATTTTCGGGCTGGTGCTGCCCCTGACTTAAGCCACTTTTGTATAATGTCAGTTTCCTTTAAATAAATGCCTCTTTCTTTTAGAGTCTAATAGATGCTTCCTCCCCTCTCCTCCCCCACAAATATGTAAATAAAGGTCTTCCTCTTTCAAATGTCACATACAAGAGAACATGCTGTATCAGAAAATTTACAGAAAATGCAAGAAGAGTTGCATCTTTATAGTGTCAGGTTTTTTCATGTGATTAATAAGAAATAAAGTCTTTGAATCTTTCTTTCTGTAATTTATATTTCAAGCTAAATTATCTGACCATGGTTGTTTTTTCTTTTGTGTATATCTTTATGAAGATTTGTTCATTGGATTTCCTTGGTGTAGAAACAGTTAATAGGAAAGAACAACACACCCTGCTTCTCAGTGTGGTATATCTATCTTATATATTTGTTATATTTTGAGACATTTGTTGATCTCTGGTTTTAGGGCAAGTTGTGTTGTGTTTCAAATTTCTTTGGACAAAATGAACTTCTGGAAAAGACAATAATCATGCTAATTTTTAGCCTGGTATTTGGAATTTAGAATGATTTACAAGCTTTATGGTCTAAACATGTAGTAGACTCCTGTTTCAGTATCACCAAATGTTGCTTAAAACTTACGACTGTGAAAAGATGTTAATTAAACAGTTTTTCTTATTCTGTTTTCTATGCTGTGATAACATTATAAAGTCACACCTTTTTTGTTATCTTGAAAGAACCTTTAAGACACTAACATGAGGTTTTTACACATTATTGATTTGCTTTCATTAATGTAAATTAGACTTGGTAAACAAGTTGATTAAAAATTGAGTTGAGAATAGATTGAATAAATTGAGTGCTGGGCAAAATGGTATGACTTCCTCATCTTCCCCACATATCTAAAGGCAGGTCTAAACTAAGTTGTAAGTGACTGTAAAAGGCAATGTCTTATGATTTGACTGTAATTATGTACTAACCAATGGTGAAATGCAACATTCATTTGGACTTTATTGCAAAAACAAACTTTCTATCCCAGATAAAATTCAGGAACAAAGCAAAACTGCAACTGGAATCCAATGTAATTTACAATAAATTAGACCAAAACGAATACTAATATTTTCCCCCGGCACACAGGGCTTCATTGGAGTAATTCTATCCCAGACCAAGGTAACTTACAGCCCACAGGTTACATCTGGCCCTATGTACGTTCCTGTCTGGCCCAAAGGAGTTAATGAAAAAGTATGTTTAAAATCAATTTTATGATGTTTCATGCTATACAGTGGTGTTATTCTCATTCTGAAAATCGCACCATTTTTCAAAATTTTCATAGGAGTATTTTTTTATACTTGACCTACACTATAATTTCATACATCTATTAATATTAGGGCGTTATATTTTATCTGTAATTTATTTCTTTTTAGATTGGGAGAAACTAAACATCATAATAGAATGATCACTAGTTCTTTCTCTAACACAGTTCAGAATTTTCATGTGGCCCCTTGTAAAAGTTAATTGCCCACCCCTAGTCTATCCGTTAAATTGTCTCCCCCAAAACGAGAATTCAAACGCTGCATCAATATCTTCACAAAATTACAAAAAAAGGGACTGAAAAGAGCATCCAGGGACGCTGGAGAAGGGGGCTGCAGGAGGGGGCAACGGTCGCTTTTGTCCTTTGATGGCAGGGGCAAGGGGGCCAATGTGCTATTTTCATAATAGTGCCCTTGACATTGGCCTTTTTTGTATTTTTAAGGAGATTAATATGAAATCCTGACTGAAGAACCTTTCGAAATTACTGAAGTACTTCATGACGAAATTTCTCAAAACTTGGGAAAAACATTCTTACGGGGCGCCGCTACGGAGGGGGTGGGGGTGTGACATCCTCCTTGGACGAAAATTTCATTGAAAAACGGGAAGTTTTTGCCACTTGGAAATATTTGTCTGCAAAATTTTCAGATATGTCGGCAAATAAAGGATGGCTCGTCCTCTTTCTTGGCAAATGGGATTGGGACACTCCCGTTGTGCACAAAAACTAGCGTCGGCCCAGTACCTTCATAACATGACATAAAAAGACAGTTACGAAAGTATTAGTTGAAACTGGGATTTTTTTTAAAAAGCTTTTCTACAGAAGCCTACCCCTTGCCCTTTGGACGTTCTGGCATCCCTGATCGAAGTTTTTATCATATATAAATATATAACAAAAATTTATTACCCCTTCGCGGTGGCAAATAGCCCGCATTATTTTTTCAAAGAAAGACACTCGCCTCGACTTGATCCAGAGTCCGTTAGTGGTGGTGAAACTAACAGACGGTGATGGTAACTATTCAAGTGTAATTTTATGATATAACACTTAAATGTAAGCAAAATGTCAAATATCGCAGTTGCAAGAATTCAAAGAGAATTTAGAGAGGTCATCAGAAGTGAAGAGGTAAGTTTAAAAGGCCAATACCTACTTGCTTCTGGTGATATGGCCTAGCCACCCTAAACACACTGAGAAAATCGTCCATATATATATGTTATGACCAGTCAATGTTTGCTACACAAAAGAGAGAAGTTTTATTTTATGAAATTGTTTTGGATATTTACATTTGCAGGCTACATAGTGCATAAAGGGGGTAAGTATTATGATTTAACTCTCATGTTTTTAGTTGAAGATTGAAGATAAAAAATTCTTTCGTTGTACATATTGAAGATTAAAAATTCAGCTACATTTTTCCTGATCTGCCAGAAAAGTATATGAGCAGGGAGGAAATATCTATGTTGCTTTGCATGCACAAAGTGCCAAAAAATCTCCAGTGCTACAAGGTGCTAATATCTTCAATTTTCAGCAGACTTGAAGTATAAACCATATGTTATAGAATTGCCTTTCAAGTTTGCATGCTGGCATGAGAGAGGAGCCTGTGTTGATTTCTTTGATGCAATGATGCTATACATCTAATTCACAACCTTTCAAAGTCTTGTGTTTATAAAGTCTCTAAGCAAGCTTTTGGCTTGTAGAAGGCATTGAGATTAGACCATACAAATGGTGGATGTCTACCTGTCATTCTGGATGCATGCACCTTTTCCTGCTGTCACGGATTTCAAAAAATAGTTAATACCCAGTTAACCATATCCTTATAAAAATTTGAAGCTGTGATATCTGAGTTATGATAAATGAGTTGGTCCACAGAAGTAGAGCAAATCACATAACTTTTGATGGTAGATTTGATGTCTATTATACACTAGGTGAGCAAAAGTATTGCACCACTTAGACGAATGAATAATGGCGTCATCATTGTGAACAACATGCCCTTCAAAATTCAAAGCACTTTTGGGAAGCCATTAGGCATTATTTCATGATTAAAACTAAATCACACAAAACTTCAAACCATTGGCAACACTTTTTATTTCATTTTTGAGAAAAAAAAAATTTTTTTAATATCTAAAAAGTAAATTTCTCATTAGACAGTCCCGAAGCTTTGAAACCCTTGTAAAACATGCTAAATTCAATGAAAACTTTTGCAGCAGGTAACTTTCAAACGCCACATGAAACATTTAAGTAAACTTTGGCAAGATCACATCTAGGTCTTTGAGATCCCAGAAGATCATTATTGGCCTTGAATTCAGTGAAAAGTGACACTTTTACAGCCGTTATTTAATGAGGGTTTTTTGGACACTGACGGATCACTGTTTATGACTGTTTATCCAGAAATTTTGGTATTTTCATTCAATGAGGAGATGAAATGCTGTTTTGAACATATTGATGTTTTATTTGTTCCCTAAACAACATCGCAACTGGCTGGAAGAGATGGAGTTAAAGGCTACTGACATGTTTTATTTATTATATTCTGTTGCAACATGTGACGATATGGTATCTGAAATCAGGCCTTTCGCAGGATGAAAAATGTGCTCACCTAGTATAAAGCTCTAAAGGCTATGAATAACCAAAGTATCCAATGGGGCACAAGAAAAGTTAACCCAGTCAAAAATGCCACACAGTCCCTGAAGTGCTTTGTTGATTTTGAACTTCATTGCTCATTTTAATAGTCAATAGTAACAAAACTGGAACTGACTGCAGTTAGTGGTCCCAACTGAAACAGATAGCTATTGTCAGAGCTGCTATTACCTTCCATTTTTGATAGTACATCTGGATTGGTTAACGTTTTTTTTGTTAAGTGCCCTTGAAACTGAGAACAAGTAAAGTAGACACAATGATCCTGGGTGTCTCATACTTTAATTATTTCAAGCATGGTACAGACATAGAAAAACTACATATTTGCATTTGTTATGAAAGATCCTTTAGTGGGATCTTAGCCAGATTTTCTAGAATTTTCAGTTTCACGGAAAGAGCAAAGTTATGTTCATAAAAAAGGCATAAAGCAGTTAGAACCAGAGGCATTCAACAGGGAAATTTTAATTTGATGCACCTTTACAGGTCTAGAGAAAATCATAGTTAGAGAATAAAAATACCTTAAATTGTGATATCATTGCAGGTTTCTGCTGATCATTGCTTAGATAAGGAATGAAGGATTATTTTTTTTCTAAAGAAAACATTTTTTAGGCACAAAAAAACAACATCAAACTTGAATTGGTTGATGACACATACACAAAACTGCGTGGAGAAATTTCTGGCCCTCCAGACACACCTTATGAAGGCAAGTTGTGGTTTAGCTTATCTGTATCTGAGGCTATTTGGCAAAGTGTTTTGCTTCACATTTTATGCAACTAGCTTTTTTCAACAAATTAAATTATTTTATGTTAGTTGTATGATGCTATTTATGTTTGGCAACCATGCTAAAATGGCTTAAAATATTGTATTTATTCAAAAATGAAAGCAAAATATAATACCCATAAAATATAAATATAATATGAGAAGTAGGATGCAACATTAAAGTCATATGTAATGAAATCTGTTCACATAATTGTCATACTTTTTCAGGAAAATATACTTTGTTTGCTATTTTTAATAGTTAAAACCGAAGCTATTTTGACAATCCAAACATTTTTCTTTTCAGGAGGAAGATTTGTAGTTGACATAGATATCCCAGAAACATATCCATTTAATCCACCAAAAGTAAGTGTCAAGGAAAATTTATTTAATAATGCCCAAAACTGAAACTCTAGTTTGTTTTTATGTCACATTTCTTCTTGTATTTTTATTTTAAGCATGTCATTTTGCATCACCACTCTCCAGACACCTTGGGGAATTTGTAACAACAAAGATACAGCTTCTAAATTCAGACATTATATACTCCCCTCACGAAAGTACCCGGACAGTTCAAAGATCGATTGTGCTTTCAGACAAAAACAAATTTAGGCTGGCGATAACCACTTTCTAACTTAGTGATAATAATTTGTTGAGAACCCCTTCCAAAATAAACCAGAACATTAAAAAGCTGCAAAATTTCTGTGCTTTTTGTTCAGTATCGTTTTTTGTTAAAATGAGAAACCTTTGTGCTACAAGCCTTACGCAAATCAACTGATATCAAATAAGCCAAGAACAGCAAAGTCAGGTGACTTGGATCGCAAAGTAGCAACTTAAGAATAGCTTTTTCCCATCATTGTGATAAAACATTATTTCTAAACAATGCTCAGAAGTCAATTCTTTTGTTTTGGTCACTACCATCTTGAGGAAAAACCCTCAGAGTTTGCTTACATATCGATAAGATTATTTTTTTCAACGAAAAAATATATTAAGGGCCAAAAAAACTTAAAGAAAAATTTTGAGGAAATTGATAAAAACGTTTTATGAAAACTGCCTTTGAAATCTGTAAATAAATTTCTCTAACAACAGATTTGCAACAAAGTTCAAAACTGTTTCGATACTTATGTGAGGGGAATGTATATTATTTGGCATTTTAAATTTTAATGCCTCACATAGAATGGAGGAAAAACATACCTCTGAACTATTTTATTACATTTTCATCATTTTTTCTTCTTAATTATGCTTGATTTTAAATGTCGCTTTAAATCGTTACAAAATTATTTCAATGGAGAAATCCATCAAAAAGATGATGAGCCATGGCAGCAGCCAAGTAAAACTAGACTAAGAATTTATTCATGGTTGATTTTTAAATGATAGAAGAGATAGTGATACCTAAAAATTTAGGTATTCAATAGGTGAAGAGGGTTAGAATAAAAAGTTAGAATCTAAAGTGACATATAATGTTATTGAATTTACAGGTAAAGTTTGCAACTCGAATTTGGCATCCAAATGTTAGCTCAGTTACAGGTGCAATATGTTTAGACATTTTGAAAGACCAATGGTAGGTTTTTTTAAATATCGTAAAAGTTTTATCTCTTTTGTACTAATCAAGAAACTAATGATGAGTTTTAATAGCAAAGCAAATATAATTGTCCAATTAATTGCACAGAAAATGTGTTACTGTCAATGGCATACCCAAGTGGGGGAATGGGGGGTCCTGACTATACTGTATGCTTTTGTCAATAACAATTGTAAAATGCTTTGCTATTTACCCTAACTAACATGAATCAAATAATGGTGGAAAACTTTGCAAGAAGGGTGTTTCCCCGCATTTGCAAGTGCTTGAATGGCGTGGTCCTAAAAAATTCCTGGGGGCTGCGCCCCAGACCCCCCCACTACTTTAGCCCTGGGTACGCCACTGGTTACTGTTGAATCTGTTTTTTAAATATGCTTATTTGTTGACTGTCTCAATCTTGAAATAAAAGGCAGACAGATCTTGTTTGTAATTCCACCAAACTTTTGCCCATCATAGTGTGAAGTATTTATGCATGCCCTACATTGAAGGCCATTATGAGTGCTTGGTTTCTAATTTTCATGTTTTTGCAGGGCTGCTGCCATGACTTTACGGACTGTTCTTATATCAATACAGGTATCTTATGATGAGAACGTTTATCATATCATCTTCTGTATGATCATGAAAGTATCTGTCATGCAGATGTTAAGACATGAAGTCTAGGACTTAAGTGTATATTTTATTTTGCCCTGAAAAAATGGAGTGCTTTGAAAAATTTTAAAACTTGAATATAAGCAGCAAACCACACCGTCAACCACAAAAATAAGGTATTTCAAGAGAACACTTCATGTCACTTGACTGAATGCAAAAATATCTTCCTGCCTGAAATGTTATATCTTAATGAAAATGTTTTTTTCTAAGCCATGATCTTTGTGTTGTTATTATAAGCAAACTGGTAGATTTTAATGAAGATTAGTAGTTTTGGACAGAACATCATTTTTTATTTTTGTTTGTTTCAGGCTTTACTAGCATCACCAGAACCATCAGATCCCCAAGATGAAGTGGTAGCCAGACAAGTAAGTGTTCTGCCTTGTGGAGACTATACACTTTACATAAGTTCACTGCCCATTCAACAGAATTACATGTTCTACATCCATGTTATTAATGGTCATCACTCAAGACATAAATGTCCCCAAACCTCCAGGAGCGAAGCCAAACAAAAAGGGGTACAGAAATAATTTTTGCCAACATAAAAGGCATGTCTTAAGGGTATAAGTCATAAGAAAATGTTATATCTTAATGAAAATGTTTTAGTCATAAGAAAATAAGAAAAATAATCTTATATGCTGCTTTAAAGTGTTTCTGTTTCAAAATTTATACTTAAGTGCCATAGTTTGTAAGTTCAACTACTACAAAAATGTTGCAATTGTTGCAAAAATGTTACAGGGGAGAAAAATTTCATTCTTTTACCTAGGGCAAAAATCCTTAATGTGCCCATGCACGCATACAGTACACTTGCCCCCCATACCTCCCTCTTCAGTGACACCCCTGTCATCCTCTGATAACAATAAGGCAAATAATCTGTATCACCCATTTGATTTTCCCATAGCCTGCTTGTTACCTATCAGTTTATCAAGATAAAAAGGGTTAAAAATGGCAAATTTAGACAAATTTTTAGATAAAAAGACAAATATTCTCAAATCTATAGGTTTGACATATGCATACCAGCCTCTGTTTATCCTCTTATTTCTTTTGTTTACTTGAATCTCTGCATCTTTTCAGTATAGAGAAAACATGCAAGCTTTCACAACTACAGCCAAGCACTGGGCACAGGTTTACGGAGGAGGTAAATTTTATGTAGTTCTTATCTCAATTCATTCATCATTATTATTGAGCCACACTCTATATCTATTGAACATCATTATAATACTGTTTAATTTTGTTTTTATGAGGTTTAAATTTTACTCAATTCGTAGATTAAGAGATGTGGTTCATATATGGCCTTTCATCAAACCTCTAAACATTTCACTGTCTAGGAAGCATTTTCCTGCGTGAATTATTAAATAAAGCATTGATGAACATAATTTGTTTGCAAGACAATAGTGTAGTTAGAATCAGTCTTTCAGCAAGCAATTTATAATATTCAGATAGATTTTTTAATAAGACATTTCAATAACAAATTTACACAACTTGTGATTGTGCCTGCAGGTTCATGATATCCAGAAGACTTCTATAAAGACACAAAAATAGTATAACAAAGATTGCCCACTTTCTTATGACTTGTTCAGACATTTTTTCAGAAGAGTTAAACTGGGAAAAGGAACATGAAATCAATATAACTAGTTGCAGATAAATCACATCATTAAATTTGACTAGGCTGAAGTTACAGACAAACAATGCTTCTAGCAGATCTTAACAAAGTTCTTAACTATCTGAAGAGATATGATTTTAGAAAGCAAATTCAATTTTTTTTACTGATACACGCAAAAACATTTTTCAGGAAATGGTTTTATTGTTTTGTCGCTCGCCCTTTCCAGATGGCCTTTTTTTGGAAACGGTCATAAGTTCAAAATAAAATCTGAATTTATGCATTAAAAGTAAGGGTTGATGCATTTGAACTGGTTTTGCTTTTCTGTTTTAAAAGGCTAGATTTTTTACACAGCACCACGCCAATATTATCTACACAGTATTTCAGTTTATTGATCAAGCTTTGTGCTTGTTATTTTCTCCAACCCTTTATGTTTTAGATGTCCTGGTATAAATTCCTCAAATATTTCGAAAAATAGTAAATATACTTAATTTTTGGCCTTTTTACCGAAAATAAATATTGTTTTGTCCTTTCTCTAGTTCAAAGTAAAGACATAGTCTGTGAAAAGAAAATAAAGCAGTTAGTTGATATGGGTTTTGACGTGGTAAGTTACTTATGATATATAAAAGAACATATTTGGAAATGAGTACCAACGAAAGGATAACAAAAAAGAAAAAGAAACAAATTTGTGTACTATTAAATTTTTATTATCGAGTTGTCTTATTATCACCTATCAGTGAAATTATTGTCTATTCCAGGAGCAAAGTCGAACAGCCCTTTCGATGCATTCTTGGAACGTGGAACGAGCAATCGAGTCTTTATTTAACCAATAAGTTTGTAAAAGAAATGTTTAGAAAATTGTCTCTGGAGATGGCTGATTTGCTATTCAGTGAATGGATAACAAGAGCGTTATGAGAAGGACTTTCTAATAATACTGCGCTATAGAGACGACGAAATAATAAACAAGTACCCCAGTTTTAATCCAATTCCTCAACGAAGACTCCTGTAGCAACCATCGTGATATTGCCCTTTGTCTGAAAAGCCATGTATATGTCATACAAAAAATCTTAACCTTCTCTGAATAGTAGTCATTGCCTCATGAATCAGCTAAGATCCTTCCATTTCCCGTTTTTTGACGTCTGTTGATAAGTAACATTTAAGACGCCTCTGCAAATCCTGTGAAGACTGCATACTTTTATTTCTGCCTACCAGGGCTTCTATAAACGCTTCTAACTTCAAAGGTGTAATTATACTACTTTTCAGTTTATTCTTATACTAATTAAGAAGATGCTGTTTATTTTCGTTTTCAACAAATTCCATTAATTTATTTTGCAGATTTCACTCGAAAAATTGAAATCTTATTAAGATTTCTTCTAGTGAGAGCTTATACACGGAGTTATTAAGTGTGTACTCGAAGCTTTATTGATTTCCTTGGTATCCGAATGTTTCATTCTTTAAAGGGTTGTTTGAAGAAACTGTATCGATGTTGTTTCTAGTAATTTTTTTTAATTTGAATTAGCTGTCTGAATTAGAAGTACATTTATTAGAATCGAAGCTTAGATGTCATGAATTTTGTTACAAGAAATCTGTGAGCAATGTTTTTTAAGATCATTTCTTCAAGCGCGCCTGATTCATTAATCGGTTGGTCAACGAGTCTTGTTGGTATGAAGGAGAATTGTAACCATATATCAACTTCGAGTGTGTTTTGCAGTTTTTCATACCTTTATTTAGCAAGGTAAATGCATTGTTTTCAAAGCATTGGTAAGCTGGCATCATTGCCTACTATGAGTCGCTCTCATATCCGAATAGATAATTTTTAATGCTGCTATAAATTAATGAAATGAGCTGCACATTATTCTTGAGTGATAGTAAGCTGCATGTATTAATTTACCTGATGGTAAAAAAAGGTAAAAACTGGACTAAAAATTAGGTATTTCATATACGAGCAGCAAGCAGCCATATGATGGGAAACAGTCAAGCAACAATTTAATTAAGTTGCAGATATATAATGATATTCATGTCTTTGTTCTTACCCTTGTTCTTACCCCTGAATATATAGAATGGCCCGGCCTAACCGTATCACGATATGAACATTCGATGCCAACTACATGAACATCATGAAAATAAAACCATTTTAAGAGCATATTCTCGTAATACTTAACCACGATCAACTGGCATTTCAATATAGTATGCTTAAGACTTGTTATGTTCCATTTATCCTAACAAAAATTCCAACAATTCCTGGTTTCTAGTTAGCGTTGTCGATCTTTTATCTATATATTAGCTAAAAATGGATCATAGAATTGGAATGTTTATGTTAGAATTAGTCTGCGCCGATCGTTGTTTCGACACTCAGACCGCAAATTATGCTGTTTTCAAAACTTATCTTTTCCTGTACATCTCACAGAAATTTGCTGCTGCAGTGAACAAAAATTTCAAATCTAAAATCGATTTTCGACAAACTTCCGTAAATAGGGATGTGCAGAATGGATGAGCTAACCATTCATGAATTCCACGGGTCTTGCGTTGCGTTTTGCGGCAATTTAGTTACTGTTGAATGCATCGTTTCACAAGCAAGAAAGAAATGGCTACTTATACACGCTCGTCACTAATCTACTAATCTTATATAAACTATCATTCGGAATGTTGATACCCGATTTCCCATTCGTTTGCGGCCTTTGTATATATATTGTTCAAGCTTTGTCATCGATTAAAACTTTTATTACAGATATTTGAAAACCACTTGTAGTTTACTGTTTATCTTACAACCCTTTAGTTTCCATTTCAAACCATCAAAATCAGTCTGTTCCAAAGTGTTTCTTCGATCATATTGTGACCATCTTATTCCATCGCTTGAATTGTGTTTGTCCATTCGCCAACAAATCATGCGCTCAAGCAAAGCCCCTATTCCTTTGAAGGTCTGGAGATTTACTTTAAGTTCCTGGTTTTGCTCATTTTCTTTATTGCTTTTCTCGGATATTAACCCTATGAGTTCTTCAAAACACGACTTAGCTTCTGACTGCACATATATAACATTTGTTAGCGTGTCTTTTAAATCCGCTAGCGTCAAGAATCCATCGCGGTCTTTATCAGCGCGGATAAATGATTGCCTGTATAGCTGCTGTCTCCGCGAACACACGACACAGTAGCTTTTCAAGTAGTCCAACACTGTCATTTGCGATAAGCGGCATACATCCATTGGGAGCTCAAAACGGCAGCTTTCCTTCGACAACGCTAACGGTCCTTGCAGCCATGGCTTTGCCATCGTAGAGATTGAGTGGGAAAGATCCATTTTTGTGTTGCTAGAGATTGGTAACGGATTGTCCTTAACCGTCCAGCTTAATCTTCGATTGTCAGGTATTTAAACACGTCGAATTTGATCCCAGTCAGATTAAAACCACGATCTAATTTCATTTGTCAACTATATATTCCAGTCGAGGCAAGCCAAGTAACTTTTCGAGCCTTTGCAGGTAAATTTGGGTAAAAAGCTTCTCTTTACAACTAAACACTTTTTCCTGAACAATTGGTTTTGTCAAATCCAAAACAATCATTGTTTTCAAGACTTACGGTTTATTTGATCAAGTTTTCATAGCAGGTACTGTCTGCTCTAACCACTCAGATCATTCGTTGAAAACCGTTGAAAACGTTGAAAAATATGCTCGAGTGAGAGCAACATAGCACATTTCAGTGCAAACAGCTCCCATTGGTCATATTACTTGCTTTCTAAGGGTCAATGTGATGGAGAAAATTTGTGATTTTTTGTTTGCTGAATATAGTCCGACTCAATATTTTGTCATATAATAACAAAAGCAAGTAAACATCTTGTTTGTCGCATGTAAATTTGAGTATAATTGTTGTACATGTTTCCATGCCTGTCTTTCTGGGGCCAACTCTGTTCCGTGTGGAGGAGCTATGACGGCGAAATGAACAGCTTTGTGACGGCAAACAGCCTAGCCTCATTTACTTTAATACTTATTGGCGTTTGATTTCCCTAATTTCTGAAGACATTTGCAGACACAATCGTCTCAAATTTCCTCACTAAATTATAGATTATAATAATGATAATAATGTGGGTTCGACATATTATTATTTTATAACAGGTTTGCTGCGAACCATTCGTTCGCTTCTACCCAGGAAGGCTTTGTCAATAACTCATCTTACCAATAAACCAATTCTCTGCATTTCGAGCATTCTAGTATTTAGGGCTGGGTATTTGTATTCATTGCAATGTGAATGCTTCCAAGCGAATGATCAAGCACACTTTGGCGTCACAGACTAAAATGATTATGAAAGATACTGTTGACTGGTCATTTTTGTGCTGCTCGGTGTGACAGAGCCGTACGTATTTTGGTGTGTAGCAGAAGCCCTCACGAACATTTTTTCAAAAAACAATGACAAAAAACAAATAACGGTTATTCATAAATGTAAACAAGGGCTACACTTGCCCCCCCCGCTGGCTCTAGACCTCTGGTATATGGAACATGAAAGTTTCAAGTTGCTGCTCAAGCAGCTGCTCTGATAATCGCGCTAAGCATGAAACTCGGAGCTGCAACTCGATACCGTAATGTTCCACAGAGTAGAAACCGAGCATGGGCACACGAGTTCACAGGAGGTCTGTTGAACAAATCCCACTGCAGAATGCGTATGAAAAATAAGCCAAAGCAGAGGAAAAGGAGAAAAAAAGTTGTTATCAAATCAAATTCAAAAACATTATTGTCATAACTACGATCGACAAAAACAACTGCATAAAAAGGCATTCCCTTTGGGTCAAAATTTAACAACACAGCTAATCATGCATGAACTAAGGAGGACCGTCATTAGGGGTTGGGAGCGTGCGTGAGGGGTGCGAGAAGTGTGAAACCTCATTTGAAAACCATTCCGTTGCAAAACGGAATTTTATACTGCCACCTAGAGGAGATTTGTCGACAAATTTCCAAACTTTTTGGCAAATACACTCTTTTTTATAAGAACAAGCTGAGGCCGAGCTTCTGCAAAATGCAATTTTGAACAACGTTTTCTCTCAAAATCGAGGGTTTTAAGCGATGTGTGGGTGCTTTTTCGGTGAATATTCACATTTGTCAGCAAATTAAGGCTGTCTAACTCACTTTGTTGGCAAATGAGGCCTGAACACCACCCTAGAGCAAAAAAGCCAGCACTCGCACTGCTCACACCCTCTTAATTTAAGAAAAAATTAAGAACAATCCAGCCTCATCCCATTTTCGATAAAATTAAGAACAGTCAGCTGGTTCTTATAAAAAAGAGTGTCAAAAAACCGAAGAAGCAACCCTAGATATAAAAAACCGGCTAATTTTTGGGATAAAATGTTTAAGGGCATTTGAAAACTACATTTTACAGTAGCTCAGCTTCCACTTGTTCTTAATTTGTTCTAAGCTCTTGACCATTTTTAAGCTAATGTTCTTATAAATATTCTGACTATTTTTGAAGCTCTTGTTCATATTTAAAATTTGACTTTACATTCTACCGAAGTGTTTTATCATTATCATAGCCATGGCAGTAAGGTGAAATTTTTCTGAATGAGAATTTACTCAAGTGGGGGAGGGAGTGAAATGTTCATTTAAAGAACGGAAGATGGGGTGACAGTGGATGGTGGGGTTACAGTGGATGGCGGTGTAATTATGGTTCTAGAACTATCTTGCAGATTATATCTAGGAACTAGAGAGGGAGGGAACAGCTGGAAAATGGCTTATTTCGAGCAAAAAAAATTTTTGCGAGGTTACAAGGTTGGTCGGTAAAGATGGGTATTCGAGACTGTGTATTCGAGCATCTGAAATTACAATTAAGTAGAAATTGATAATATAAACAATCATTTACACATTGTTGATTGATTATCAAGTCTTTCTCAGAATAAGACAGATCAACTATGAAGTTCATTAGATGTACATATCGTTTCTTTGTACTATGTTTATACTAAGCTTTAAGCAATGTGATGTGTGTAATCTCTCCCTTGTGAAACAGCCTCAAAGGGGCGGCCCAAAAAAACACACCCGTTGACACGTACACATAAGAATATTTGTCAAACTTGTACAGGCCTTTGAAATACGGCTCGGACAGGTAGTGGAACAGCCCGGAAAGAGGAAACTGTCCTCCATGTGTATGTCCACTTAAAGCCAATTGGATGTTTCCATAATTGGTCATAGCTTTCTTTGAAACAGAGGGTCGATGGGATAGCAGGATAGTTGGGGCATTTGGATCCCTATCCATTAAAGCTTCATCGTAATGAGGCCCATGGTGATCTCCTCTATAAAAGTAAAAGCAAAAAGGGTTACGGCAGCTCTCGCATCTTTACAAAGGTATTCATTTGGTGCCTCCATACTTGTTTGTGTCTGTGAGTACTAGAGATGTGAAAAGCTAAGAACTCAATTCAGAAAACAGGCTCTCTGTGGTTTATCAGGGCACTTCAAGATTAACACGAATTTCAGAAATTTAGTTGAGAGGATAAGAAATAGTATCTAAAAAAGTAGATAGATGTAGCATTGACTCAGATATTGTTAATAAAATTATTTTCATTATAAGAAAATTCATTGTCTGAAAACATGATTGCCATGTTATCAATCTTTAGTTTCACACATAGTGTCACACATAAACGTAACTCAACAACCGACCTAGGCGTTCTCCAGCTGATTTCTGACTTAATTGCTAGATTAGGATGCACCAAAAAGATGGACTGCACAACATGACTGCACCTATGTGAATTTTTATATACAAAACAGTCCCACATCTTGCATCACAATATATTTCCAAACTACCACCATCTCTCAAGGAGTTCTCTTAACACTGAAATATCCATCGCTGCTTCCATTATAACCTTAATCATATCATGATAGAATAGAAGTTACATATTCCTTCGGACTTTCTATGAATACTTCTCCAAAACCTTCAATTTCAAAAGCAGAAGTGGTGCCACTTGTTGATAGTCAAAAAATATGTAGTCATTCAATAAGGGTGTAGTCAATGCTAAACGTTTAGGGGGGAGGGGGTTAGTATGGGTTTTTTTCCTGAAAATTATTTCTTTATTGAGATTGAACTGCCTAAACGGTGCCTGAAATGTGATAAATTTTGCCTGGTCATGGGGGGCTGCAGTACCTGTGATTCTTTCTTAAAATATGATGGCATCTAGAGTTTTAATCTGATTTGTTCGATCTGTGTTCAAAACAAACATTTTTAATTTACCTCACTGACCATCAAACACAAAATTTCTGTTTCAAAATTTAAATATGAATTATGCCCTCTACAGCATCTCAGAAATCACTTCTATAATTTGGTGGCCTCCATTATGGTTAACGGGGATGAGGAGATGGTGAATGTACATGCAAGTGTTTATGTATGAAAAGTCTTTCCAGATTCCTGTATACTACTTTGGGCAAAATAAATCGTTTTCTATACTACCGTATTTGCAAATTTATGTTTGAAAGTGACTGGGCACCTTTAAAATTTTATGTTAAAAAAAATAAATAAACAAAAACTATATAATACATGGGCACATACAGCACCAGTGCTATACTGATTCCAATTGGATGTGACCGCTTGTTAGAAAAATATGGATTAACATTCAAAAGAGCAAAAATTTTACCTGAAAAATTTCCCTTCTGTATCATCAATGCCAACCAACTGTAGCACATCATTTCGACTATTCTTAACTGAAACTTTTCGGTTATGAAGAACCACAAGTCCTTCTGACTGCCACATTTCTATGAGGTTGTCAATCTCAGCTGTGTAGTAATCATGGTTTCCTACAGGCAAAGAAAAGACCAATACAGAATAGTGTTCTAAAGTGTGACGTCACCATAAAACTATTTTTAGAATTTTTGAATTTTAACAAAATAACGTAAAAGATCACCACAAAATACTTCCAAATATACAAAATTAGTCAAATATGTCCAAAATCAGTTGAGATTTTTCCAATAAAAGATTTTAAGTTTTTTAACAAATCACTGTCATTTCGCTCTGTTCATAAAATTATGAACACAGACTAAAATACAGATGTCAGAGCCAATGATTTCACTGATTGTGCATTTTTAGAAGCATCTCATGATGCTTTTTTGAGGCTATGGCATCCAAACTCAAAAATTCTAAATAAAGATTTTTGTGACATCATCACTTTAGGACTCTAAAAGCAAACCATTTAACAAGATAGCAGAATGATTTTGGTGAGAATAAGGAATTCAATTTAATTGTTGACAAAGAATCAGACAAGGATAAAGAAGAGGAGGGTGGGAGTGAAGGAATAGGTGGATATAAACAAAATCTTCAGCAGCGAAAGAAAAAATTATCTTTATGCCAAGAAGTGTTTTCCTTAAGAGAAATTTTGGAACTAGCAACTGTACCCACTTCCTTGAAGGTATGTGCAGTAAATACATAATACCTTTCAAAGAACTTGTATCAAGATAATTCCATAGCATCATTTAATATAGCAATGTTATAATTAACTGTAGGATAGCCACCTTGCAGAATAATGCTGATGCATGCACAAGGTCAGAGTACTACAAAAAAATACCGAAAACCACTATTACAGAAAGGTTTCTGTTTGCATGCCATGTGACTGGTAAAGGGAGGTTTGGAGAAAGAAAACATGGTTGAAATAAATGTACATGTACAAGGTTCTGTTGAGATCATACTGTTTGTGAGACTAGCCCGTGTCCACCAGCTCTTGCATCACTGTACATATGCAATTTATTGCAGTAATGTTACATGTTTCCCCCATCAAACACAATACTGTTTTCTAATGTTTGCACATTTTTGGCATCACACATTACCTGTTGTAATATAAACACCAAATTTGGCTCTCAGGTTCCGAAGAGGCTCAAGGGCATGTCTAATTTTGCTTACTCCTCCTTCAGCAGTGTCGCCAGTAACAGCTATAAGATCTGGTTTCAAAGAATTTGCAATTTTGACAACTTTTTCCAGTGATGACCTTCCATTAACAACACCGATATGCATGTCAGACAGTTGAACTATCACTGTATTATTAAAAGAAGCCGGCAAATTATGTATGGGCACTCTAACTCTGACAACATCAGGAAAGCTAGAATTTCTCATTCCAAAGTAGAAGCAAACACAAGAAAGCAATAACGTCACAGTAATCATGACACGCTCCTGGGCATCAGTTTTTACTTGCGTGACTATGGATATCAGGCTTTTATTTCGTATTATTAGCCCCACGTGGTACAGAACTTCGACCACGATTACGGCAGCGATGAGGTACATGAGAAATCCAAACGTGTATCCAGTAATCAAAGACAACAGTTTTGGCTCTGTGGCAACTAATACAACATGTAGCAACATCTGACTTTGTCCAAGGATAAACACAGGTGCAAGCATCATTCGCAGGATAAATCCGGTTTTGCTTTGCCTAGGCCATTTGTCGACAATCCGATTGTACAAGCTTCGGGTAACGAGAACGAATAACGTCTCAGCTAAAATCAAGTACTGTACAAGCAGCAAGTGATACCTAACGGTTGAATTTACAGTCATAAGTTTTGAGGTTATAAAAAGAAATAGAAAGTTAATAACTATGAAAACACCGGGCAGGCGCCAAACACCTGCCACACTCCCCATCTTTAGTTCCGTGTTTCGACCTTTGGACAAGATGTTCTACTCCCAGTTGTTAAAATTTCGTTGTTGTGGAGGAGTTTAACTCCTATTGATTTCATAATGGTCTCTGCTTTTCCACGAGGTATATTTGAGTGACCTACATAGAGTAGAGGACTGAACAAACAAATTGGCCCTCTTGAAGAATGGTGAGTCATTCGTTTCTTAATTCTTACAAAGATGGTTCATGATTCATGAAGTTTTCACAAATATCTTCTATATTTTAAAGCAGAAAACTTTAATAACAATGATAATAAAGAAAAATGCTTGTTCACGCAATTCATCATCTCATCTGCTATTCTTTTTGACGAAACAAGAAAATCTATGGTCCATTCAAATTTTTAATTTATTTGAGATTTTCTCAGTTTTAAAAAAAACTAGCTTTGAGTTAAAAGTCAACCTAATGATATTAACTTTTTACAGGCCAAATTTTGGGTGAATGGGGAATGAATGTGATATTACTACTGGTGTTGAATTCAGTTAAAAAACTATCAGTTACAGAAGTGGACAGCTATGGGAGACAGTGAAGATGATGGTCTCATGCTGAATTTGAATCAAGATTTTAACTCCTTGGATAATGATGGTAGCAGTAAAAAGAAAAGCCGCAGAAACAGCAAAACCAGACATAGTAAGGCAAAGGTCTACAACAAAAAAGATAAGAAAAAGGCTGAATTTCCTAGAAGGGAGCATATAAATAAAGACAGCAAAAAAGTTGGATCTGAAAAAGGAAAAAATTTTCTTGCCTCATCACATAGTGAAAAACAACATACAGAGAAACCTTCAGAATTCATTTCTTCACTTTTTAGCAGCAACCCTGAAATTCCTGATGTCCCAGATGAAAAGTGCCAAAGCAAACAAGAATATGAATTGTTCTCTGAAAAACATATGACTGAAACAGAGCTTTCAGAACGGCTGATGAAAACATTAAAGGAAAGATTAGGGATTGAACAACTAACAAAGGTACAAAAGGAAACAATTCCAGCCTTTCTATCAAAATCGGATGTTCTAATAAAGTCACCAACTGGCTCTGGAAAAACTTTAGCCTATGCATTACCACTTCTACAACGGTTGCAACAAATTGTACCCAAAATCAACAGATCAGATGGGCCTTATGCCATGGTCCTTCTCCCCACACGTGAATTGGCTTTGCAAAGTTATGAAGTTTTTGATAGTCTTTGTAGAGCTTTTGTGTGGATTGTCCCAGGGTTGATTGTTGGTGGTGAAAAAAGAAAAGCAGAGAAATCAAGGATACGAAAAGGTATCAACATTATAGTAGCCACGCCAGGCCGCTTATTAGACCACCTTGTGACAACAAAGAGCCTGTCATTGAAAAATCTTCTAGTTCTAGTATTTGATGAGGCAGATAGATTGCTTGATATGGGGTTTCAACAGACAATTTCTAGCATTCTTTTACATATCAAAAGTCAATGTGATAGAAAGTTACAAGCAGCACTTCTCTCTGCTACATTGAATTCGAAAGTTCAAAGTCTTGCAAGTATTACTTTGGCAGATCCAGTTTTGATTGATACTGTGGATGACTCACACAAAGAAAAGTCTAAAAACATAGCTGAAAATGATTTGACATCAACAAACCAAAGTGAGAATGAAATCTCAACTCAGGAGGACAGTATTGCTGAAGGAAAGACTTTTCTTGTACCAGATACTCTGAAACAATATTTTATCATTGCCCCTGCAAAGTTGAGACTTGTTTCCCTAATGGCTTGCTTGCTAAAATTTGGATTTCAAGATGAAAATGGGAAGGTTATTGTCTTCTTCTCCAGCAAAGTATCCACTGAACTTCATAGCCAGCTGCTGGACAGTGAACCTATGAAAGAGCTTGTTTCAACAGATTTGTCTGATGTTTTCAAGCTACATGGGGATATGAAGTCAAGTGAAAGGAAAGATATTTTCCAGAAATTCAAAAAGAGTAAAAAGGGAATATTACTCTGCACTGATGTAGCAGCACGAGGCCTTGATCTTCCCTTTGTAAAGTGGATTATTCAATACTCTTGTCCAACCAATATCCAGGATTACATACACAGGGTTGGTCGAACGGCAAGAATAGGGGCACAAGGAGAGGCCTTGCTGTTTTTGTTGCCATCTGAAGCTAAATATATCTCTACTTTGGCAAAAGAAAACATATCCATGCAGAAGTTAGGCCTGTTTGATGTTTTAAAGCATTTGAATCCACAAAGCAAGAAAAAAATAAACCAGAGTATCATTCAAGTTGCAGCAACTGATCTACAGAACAAGCTGGAGAGTCTTGTAACTGGAAATAATGAGCTTAAAAGTGCTGCTGAGAATGCATTCAGGTCTTATATTCAGGCATATGCTACCTATCCAGCATCATTGAAAGAAATTTTTCATGTCAAAAGGCTCCATCTTGGTCATGTTGCTAAATCTTTTGCACTAAGAACCGCACCACAACAAATGAAGAAACTACCAATCATGCAAGACACAACAACTAAGAAAAAAGATAAGAAAGATAGACTGCGTGGTAAAAAGAGAAATGCAGTTGATATGAGTGAAAGCGGAGGAGGTGTTGTTAAAAATGGGCCACGACCTGGCGGAAAAAAGTTTAAAAGGAGAAAATAGCAAGAAGTTTAAGTTTTTTGTTTACACAACACTCAGTATATATCCTGTATACTTTGTATGTTATAATGATTTTGATAATAAGGAATTGTCAGTTATGGTTAAGGATTAGGTCATCTTCTTTACTTTGTTCTTTCTCGTTATTTGTTACTCCACCCAATTTTTAGCCAATTTGAGATTGTAACCCGAAGCACAAGGAGTATCTTTTAATTGGATACATTTGCATTGCAATAAATTGCTGAATATCTCATTGCCAATATTTCTAGTAGATGCATACTGTTGGGAACTCAATACATAATCTGACAGGATGTGCCATGGAACAGCATGTCCTTTTCATTTAAAATTCGGGGATTTCACTCTATATTACGTTATAGAATAAAGAAATACAGGAAAGTTCATGTCGACAGGGTATTTAGAATGAAAGAAATTTTTGTTCAGAAAAAAACAGATTTCAGTAGTCTTTCATGGAAAGTAGGAGTTTGTTGGAATGATCATGTATATAGATTATGTTTGCTGAGTTAACAACAAGTGCAATGAGTCAGGGTATAATCCTGATATAGCCTATTATCCAGGTATAATCCAGGGTATATTCCGATATAACGTACTGGTGTGCTTGGTCCCGGCAAAAGGTGTGCTTGGTTTTAGTCAATCTTTACTTACCCTGGTTACAACGTACTTCGGATATAACGTACTTAAGTTGCAATCGGAACGGTCAGGGTGATATTTTTACACTACAACGCTCTCCTTGCTCGTGCGTACTACTATTCCTTGGCCACAGTGGTGTGCGCTTTTGCAATTATTTGTGCAGTGCAAAAAAACCAGATTAAATTATTTCATGATTATGTACTGTTATAAATTTTATCTCAATGAAAACTGAATAAAATGGCGAAAAACAAAGCCCTTTCGATCCCCCCACAGCTTCTAATATCACTGCTCAAAAAAGGTGTTTCCGGACAGTGGCGGACTGGCCCACCAGTAACTGGGATGTTTTCTGGTGGGCCCCTGTTAAAAGATGAACTGCTCTTTTTAATAGATGTGGCCCTGCATAAAAAGTGTTTTTTCAACGGGCCAAAGCCAGAAGTAGAATCAACCAAGAAAGTTTATAAGACCCATTTGGTCCAACTAATAAGTAAAAGATCCTGTACTCTTGGTAACATGTAAAAGATTCTATACCATCAAGCAGTGATGTGCCAGACAATTTTGTTTGGGGGGGGGGGGGCGTTCAGAAAAAGAGTGACCAACTTTACTTTCTTGACCGATTATTTCTCCATAGAAAATTCATTAACAATGAAATAGATGATCATATACACACTTAATGATAACAAATAAGAGCAAATGATGGCATGAAGTATAAGGAGATTAAGTTTGCGGAAACAAACATTCCTGGAATTCGCGTTTTTGGGTGAATCCATGAGCATCCTTTTGAGAAAAGCCAATTTCAAGGAAATCTGCAAAAATGAGCTGCAGCTTCTTTCGAGCTCATCATAACAATAAATTCAGATCATAAAATGTCCTCTAATCTATAACATTTTATAAGAATTGAAGGGCAAATATGGCTGGAAGGCCGCCAAGAGGTTTCAGAGGCTTTGGGGCAAAATGGGAAGGTGGCGCCCCTGCGAGCGGAGCGAGCAGAAAATTTTTTCGACCACATCCTTCAGATTAGCTTAATTAAAATGCATCTCAGAAAACTTCTTGCAGTTATTTCTTGCAGTCATTTCTTATAGTCGTTAGCTTGCTCCTTATAGCAAGTTATTTGCAATACTTTTTTTGTAAGAATCAGTGAATTCGAGTTCAGGTTGACTGTTTTTTCAAAAATATGAGGGTGGATTGTTCTTAATTTGTTAGCAGTGCAATTGCTAGCGTTTTCACTCAAGGGAAGTGTTCAGGCCTTATTGCAAGTGAGTGAGACAGCCTTCATTTGCCCACAGGTTTGGATATTCACCAAAAAAGAACCCACATATGGCTAAAAGTCCTCGCTTTTTAGATAAAACGTTGTTCAAAATTGCATTTTTAGCTCAGCCTCAGCTTGTTCCTAACTTGTCTTTAACTTTTGACCAATTTGAGGCTCGTGTTCTTATAAAATTGTTCTTATGAAAGAAGAGTGTACTACGAAAAAAGAAAGTTGACTATGACCAACCATGACCAATAAAATGAATGAATTATAGGTTGAAATTTGGTCAAAGTTCCTATTTAATGCTAAGGTTCCCGCTGCATGACCAACTTTCTTGAAGTCTGCAGACATCGGCACATCCCTGCCATCAAGATAAAATAAGAGATCTTGGTACCATTGAAGGAACGGAATTGACAGGGTTAGGTGTTGCTATGGAAGGGATTATTTCGAGGAGTTGGGAGAAGGAAGAGACATGGGGTATCTCAATTATGTATCAGGGGATTTAGATGGTTAGGGTGGGAGTGAGCAGGGTTTGGCGTGGTTATAGAAGTGAAGAATTGAATGGACTGACTAGCTTGACTTCAACAAGGTTGGATTATGGAATTCTTGTATGATTTAATTTTGTTAAATAATACTTCAACTTTTTAAGATAATGCTAATTTTTTTAATGTTCATATTTTTTGTTTAACTGTGTTCAACTTCTTGCGCTTTAAAGTTTATTCTAAAACTTTGCAAGAACTTTCAAACTTCAGTTCAAATTCAAGCCAAAACTATGTGGCATAATTACAACAACACGATCGTGAATATTGCTTGGGATTTTCCTTGGTTCTTAATCGATCAACGTTCGAAATTAATGTTGTTATAGACTAGATTCCTTTTTTGGTCATCCCTGGAATGTCAAATTTTAAAAATTTTCCTTGCTGCGAACCATGGTGGTGGCCTTAACCAAACCTCTAGTAATGTTACTTTTTGCAACTTCCAACCTATTTAAACTCTCCCCACCCCAAATTGTGATGTCCCCCGATTGCGGTTATTATGCTTTCAAGCATAGACTATGTTTTAAGTGATAAGTGATACCAAAGAAAGGCCACCCTTGCATTCTCGTTCGTACGTCACATATCTCGCATCATAGCATTGTCTTTAACGAAAAATGCCTGTAAGTTTTCTTTAATTCAAAGTGAATTTTAGATCCATTCTTTCAATCAATGTCTTACTATACTGCAGCACCCTCCAATTGTAAATTAGACCAAATGCGCGATATGCAAGTTTTTTGGACCCCTAAAGGTCGATTTCCCGGTAGGGAATATCATTCCAGTCTGCCCTTGTTTCCGAAGAACTAACTAGAAGGTGTAGCAAAGGAAAAGTGTCTGTGTGCTGGTCAGGATTCGTTCTAGATCGATTTAGACCCGCCCATGACGACCCTCTCTTCTCAGAAAACTCACTCATTTTCAAAATGTCTGAATCATTTAATTTTTTTTTCTCATTGATGATTCAACATATGGCGCTGTTTATATACCGAAAGGGCGCCGGTTCACACATGTTTAGATAAAAACTTGAAACACTTGAATTTAATTTTATTTCTGAATCATTTAAATGCCTTTGATTGAAACCGGCCATTTGTTATGAATTTCTGATTGCAGTACCTAATTTCATGACGACACTTGTCAAAACTTGTAAAATTTTTCCTTATGCCAAAAGTAAGCCAATTTTCAAGATACATTCAGGGGGCCCTACAGAAGATCGAAATAAAATGACAGTTACTACGAAGAAATTGGCAGTAACTACCAGAACAAACCCCGAAGCAGACAACAACAACAGCGCCAGAGTGCATGTGAATAATAGTCTTCAAACGTGGCGGTTGTACTACTGTAGATGTCTAAAGCGACAAAATCATTTTGAATAAATAAATCAGTCCAGTATGACAAGCTTAGTTGGAAGTCACACAAAATATGCTGTAAGAAATTTGCGTGGTCTGGTAGGGGCAGCGGTTACACCGCTTTTCACGAGGCATTTTCATTATACTGAAGTTGCAAGGACCAAGAATGATTTCTCGTCAACTGTACAGGCAAAGACCCTACTTGACATGAAGCCCTACGAATTTGTCAAGCATATGAAAAAGAACAATGTCAAAAGATGTTTCGTAGTTTTTGATAAGGCATCAGACAGTGTTCTTGCTTCAAACGAAATTTTCAGTGATCTGAAAACATTTTGTGAAAAGGACAAAATAGATTATAAAGAACATGAAGGTTTCTTTCTCGAGATTGGAAGGAGAAGTGGTGCTTTATTAGGCGCTTTTGTCTGGAGAACTAACCGCGGACAAGCAGTATGTTTATCTTCTGTGAAAAATTATCTTTCCCTTACTTTTAAAGCCTTCTTTTTCCAAACATTGAAGGACTGTCTCATGATGCCCTTTTAAAAGGGGGTAGAACAGATCATATTAATTCCCTACCACTTTTAAAACTCTCTTCACAAACAAAATATGTTGAGTTATTAGAGGCTGTTGTAACATGGGTTTTTCCTGTTCCATTCGTTGATTTTTGGCGTTGGGAAATCATTATACGACAATTGCTAGTCCCCTGAGGCAAAGGTCAAGAGAGAAAACTGACTGGAACAGAATGGATCATTAATTTAAAAAACTAACAATAATATAGTTTTAAGTATATGGTGTGTGTGCAACTGGAAGCTGATATGGTGGCGTGAGGATCTTCCTCGTGCACTGCAAGGAATGCACACTTGGGGGTTTTTATCACTTTTTTCCGACACAGATAGTAACAAGAAGATCAGCTTTGCCAAACTTTGTTAGCTTGACTTAGCAGTCCTAATTCACTGACAAAGTAACCCAAGATACAAAAACCTCACTGGCTCTGTATGTAACAACAGCCATTAATATTTTGTGCTATTGTTCACTTATGGGTGTTTCACAATAAATCTTTGAACAATGAAATAGATAGAATACACAAATTGGCATTGCGAATTGCATATGAGAACATAAAAAAAATTCTTTTATTGTTATTTCCATTCAAGTGAACTTGAAACATATAGAAAAAACCATATGCTTATCCAAAATAATGTAGATTATCTATACAGATATTTATAATCTTGTTCAATTTGTTGTTAAATGCCATAAAGTTGTATATGTTTTTAGTGTGGAGGTATACGATTGTGGAACTACACGAGATTGGAAGATTACATCAGAGATGGACTACGATTAGCATATGGAATGGGTGTCAAATCAGCATTAGCCGGACTCTGGTAACATTCTCAAATCATTTCTTTATCACATTGCTATGCATGATTTCTTTGAAGAATGAGAAAGGTCAAACTTTAACTCAAGCTCAACAGTAGTCTGATTTTATACTAAATTGTGCTTCTAGGCTAATGAAAGCTGGAATGCTTTATCTTTATGATTGACTTTTATTGAACCATATCTAAGATATCTTGTCAATGTAGATGAGAGCTACCCAGACAGCTGTCTTTACACCACTTAATTAACTATGAATTTCATTTATGATTTCATTTTTCCTCAAATATATGATAAAGCTCAACAACAGCCAAATGTTGTCATAATCTTTTGACAAGTTCTAACAAAGTTGACAAACTTCTAACAAAGTTGACAAACTTTTGTCTGTACTTTATTGTATAATTTTGTGAAGATATAGGGTGGGAGTTAACACAATTGTACTGAAGAATTCCCATTTAGCTGTTGAGAGCTTGCCAAGTAGTTTGATGGGCAGCCTGTAATGTCTTTGATGGACTAATTCTCCTTTGCTCCAGACCTTAAGTAATAGAAAGGGATTGTTGATAAATGTGAAAGATGTTTTTTTATTACCACAACACCTTGTTTGCTCAATTTTTTGTGGAAAATTTCATATGTTGGCCTATTTTGTAACAACACAATCTCAACAGAAAAGCTCCAATGGCATACTTGCTAAAGATATTCTATTTTTTGCTCAAGTCTTGTCACTGTCACTTAAACATGTTCCCATTGTAAATTTAGAATATTTTGTAGGGCAGGTGGTGGCAAAGGTGTCATTGCCAGTCCAGAATATGATATTTCACATCCTGGGATAAGAAAGCAGATGTTTTTAGATTATGGAGATTTCCTTTCATCACTAAATGGTTGCTATGGTAAGACTGTAGCTTTGTTATCTGATATTTCAATAACAATGTTATTTCTCTGATTTTTCATCAAACGTCTAAGATCACCCCGTACATACTTGGATATGAATGGTTTTACTCTACTCATTTATCACTTGCAGTTGCTGCTGAAGATGCTGGAGTAGTTGTATCTGATGTTGACAATGTTCATATGAGGACAAGGTTCACTACTTGCATATCTGAAGAGCTTGGTGGATCAGGAAACCCTTCAGTTGCAACGGGCAAAGGTTTATACTTTATATAGTACTAAAATCTTGAAATTTTTTCATTAATTGTTGCTTTTGCCAAAATTATTCTAGCTTGCTGGACTTCCCAAAGGTTATAAATTCTGAGCTATATGAAATTCTGAGCTATTATAAATTCTGAGTGTAAGAAACAAGACCAAAGTTCTGTGACTAATTCTAGGTCTGTTTCCTATCTTTCCTTATCTTGGCTTCATATTTCAAATGTTTTTCATTGAAGAAACAAATTCCATTGACTAATATTGCATTGTTTAAAGCCTAAGTGCAAAAATTGATGACAGATTTTTTCTATATTGGAAACTGTAAAACCAAGTAAATTAAATGAGTTTAAAAAGCTGCCATTACAAATGTTAGAATGCCAAATGTTCAGCTCATTCAAATGTATAGGACCTATATGATCTTCTTATGATATGCCTATATTTTGTTTAAAGGTATAGTTTGCGCTATGGAAGCAGCACTGGATTATCTAAAAATGGGAACCATTGATGGAAAATCAGTAGTTTTGCAAGGAGCAGGCAATGTTGGTAAGCGGAATATGCTGCTTTAAAACATAAACTTCCTCGCTTTTGAGCATTAAGGGCTATTATAGAGTTGATCAGATGTGCTCCTTAAGTTAATGGAACATTTTTGTACACCACGGTGCTTAGTCATATAACATCATTCAAGAATCAGCTTATAGCATGCTTTTACCATCAACTTCAGTTCACTTGTGTGAAGAATTTTTGCTCAAAGATCTGTCTCGCTAACAAGTAAAGCTTGCTTGCTTAAAAAAACTTTAAAACCATTTTATATCTAGTTAAACTATTTTTATAGCTCGAGTTATCATTGATGGACTTCTAAGCAGAAATGTTGGGCGCATTTTGGCCACAGATTGCAATGAACAACAGCTACAACTGACAGAAAGAATGTTTGCTGGAAGAGTTAGTATTTTCTACAAAAATTATTTGTCAAATCTGTGTCATGTCTTGTTGCCATCAGAAAAAAATGCAAGGTTTATTATTGGCCTATGAAATATTTTTAAATTAACACTCTTCATTGCTAGATTTAATAAATTTGTATTTAGTTCTATTTAATTAGATACACTGTTGTTCTATTGCTGAAGTTTACATAAGTGCTTCCATTTCGTTACTACAAGATGCTTTGCTTCGATATGGTTTTTTAACATTGAAAACGAGTATCCTCAAAAAACATACTAAGGAACCGATTCCAAATGATTTTCATATTACGTGACAATGGTGAACGTATTCTAAATTAAAGACTGTATACGCATATAGTTATTTGGTGAGTGGTGCCAAGAAACGGTGTAACAAAAAATTACTGCAATAATTGTGCCCAAACTTACAAAGCTCCCCCACAACTTTAACAAGAAATAACACAGCCTACCCCAATATCAGTCTGGTAAGCTTCTTCGGATTCTATGAAACCATATCTTGCACATTTGGGAGCATGTTAGCTCCCTGTCGGAATGTCAAACATCAAACTTATTTTTATAAGACTGGAACGAGGAAGGCATTTTTGCCCCCTTTGTTGCAAGCCAAGCCTCTCCGTCGGATAATTCTAACAGATTATTCTAACAGAGCACAGGCTACAGACTTAACTATGCGGACAGATATAAATATCTCTCCGAATTATTGGAAATATTATCTCCAGTTGATTACACCAGTAGCCAATTATTATACCCCAAATATATAAGAAATAAAGTGCCGAACTTTCTGGTAAACAATGTCAAAAAAGTGGTGATAAAATTTCTTTAAAAATTGTCTTTATTATTTCTAAATCGAGTTTTTCATCTTTCAGCATAACGGTTTACTTGAACTAGGCCTTGTTCCAGTAAACGAGACAGAAACGTTGGCAAAGGAGTGCGATATTCTGTCACCAAATGCTCTTGGGAATGTGAGTATTTTGTTGATCTTGAACTTTTACAGATTGCACAATTTTGAAAGCTGCAAATAATTATGCCAATTTTGTATGTTATTTTATGGAACGAACTCAGCAAAGAGGCCTTTGGTACAGCAACATTTAAATAACTATGGAAAAGCGGAGTTGTAGAGAATATCACAGGAAATCAGAATAAATTCAGAACTTGTTTTTGTGGGACGAATACCTTTAGTTTTTGCTGAGAAATCATCTCAATTGCAAGCACGCTTCACTATCTCAAAGTAACATTGTTCTTTTACAACAAGAAATGTGTGTGCGTTCACACAATGTGAAAAATCCCCAGTGCTCTCGTCTTGATATCAGCCAATCTCTTTGGCTAATCTAGTAGACATGATTTGGGAGATATTCTGACATTGGCAACCCCCTTCCGTTTTTCTTTAACGAAGCATCAGAAAAGTTTCTGTGTGTCTCCAAGCTTTAGCAATGTTGGGGGCTGTGCCTGCACAATTGTGAACAAAAATGCTCCAACTCAAGAAGAAAGGTTGATTCGACCACTAAGACAAGACTGAAGCACTATGGCAATGTTGGGGATTTTTCCTGCATCATTGAGATCAAAATGCTCGAACTCACAAAAAAAGGTTGATACAACCACTGAAGACAATACTAAGGAAAATTATGTTTCAACTTTGTTTACAGTTGCTTCTAGCGGTCAATTAAAACTTTTTCAGGCTAGATCGATTAAGACTAGAAACTTGCTCTGTCATTCCAGTTTATGCCTGACTCTGGCAGCCCCATGTCTCAGCTCTTGGACCTGTTTCTTTAACGTTGTTTTCTTTATAAGGTGCTCAACGAGAAAACCATTCCCAATATCAAGGCAAAGATCGTTTGTGGTGCAGCCAACAACCAGCTTGGAAAACCAGATGATAACAAACTCATGGCTGACAGAGGCATCACATATGTGGTTGATTTTCTATGCAACCGAATGGTAATTTCTTTAATTTTGGGTTGGAAGAAAATAGGACAACACAAATATATACACAGCAGCAATTTTCTTTACAGCATAGTTGCAGAAAATATAGAGAATATATCAGTTCATTATTGCCAGAATCTCGTGTCCCAGTAAATATATTTCTTTGTAAAGGTAAATCCGGCTTCAATTGAAAGCCTCCAGGTTTCAATTGAAAGATCTGGGAATTCAACGTCATTATCTGTTTTATCTGTAATCAACTGTCACTGCGACCAATGTTATTAAAGTCACCAATGAAACTGTCAATTTAAATTTTGAATATTCAAGTTCGATGTCATTAAACTCTATGCCTATTTCTGTAGGGAATCGTCAACTGTGCAAATGAAGCCTATGGAAGGTTACCACGTGATCCAGCAATTGAAAGGCATTTCGATAAGGAATATGAGAATTCTGTAAGAGCTTTTTCTGTTTTTTTTTTCAAATTCTTAAATCCGAATCGTCATACATTAGTTTCGTTTAAAATCATGGAGCAGTGACGTATTCTCGTCTACCTGAATTTAGTGAATCAGTTACAGCCATTTCTGATCATTCGCTTACCTGATTAAAATGATAAGCTTTAAAAATTTAAGCCTGCCAAGTTCAGTGGTGCTGCGGCCATGAGGCTGTGCGGATATTTTGCCAACCCTAAAATATTGGTACGACTGTGTATCAAATTCAACTCTACATACTTCACTTAAATCATGTTTTAGTAGCGTAAGTAAATGCATCTCCTGTGCGTTGCCAAGATAAAAATCTTGGGAACTGCCATTTGAAGGAGCTTTTTGCTTGTATGGGTTTCTTTTAAACTAACAGGCGTTTACGTTGAAACAAATAATTTTATTCTGCACATAACTACATTTGATAAAACACTTTTAGAAACAGTGATGTTTTCATCTTTCTTCATCACAGCGGGTTGTCGGGCATCGGATTTTTAAACAACCATTTTAGTTAAAATTGATATTTTGAGGTTTCGTTCAAAACCTAAACAGCAGGATGTGAAGTTTTGAAAGATGTTAAAATTAGATAACTTGGATGGTTGGATGATTTTACTTGGGTCAACCCCATGTGGCATAACAGTTAGTATGACATATTTCATGAATACTCAAGGCTGGTGACCTCTATCGAGTCAAGAATCGATTGGGCCTAAATCAATTCAACGGTGTGCTTGTCTTCTAACAAAAGCTGGCTACTTATGTTAGAAAGGAATGCACTAAGAATTATTCTTGGAGCATAAGCAAGTTTTAAAACGAAAATGATAGTGGATGAGTCTAAAATACTATTCGTGTACCGTGGTAGTGCATTTTAGCGAGTGCATTTCTCTAGTAAAGGTGTAAGCAATATATATGAAACTAACGGGAATAGAAGGAATTCTATAAGAAAAGTTGCCTGTCAAGACTACCTCGACTTCTGAACGAGAAAAGGTGAAATTACTTCGCTATTAAATGTATAAGTCAAGACCTCATCCCTTTATATTTGTTAATTTTGCTAAGAAATATATTTTTGGCTTTTTTTAGATTTGGCAGATGACGCACAGAGTGCTACGTGCGGCAGACATTAAAGGTGTAACACCAGTTGAAGCAGCCACTGAAATAGCAGAAACGATGAGTCACGAACTTCACCCCATTTGGCCAAACAGAAGTCAGGAAATCATCGATTCCTTGGTACGTTCGAAATGGCACGAAAGTGTTTGAAGTGCTACTTCATAGTTGGTTTTTCAAATTGGCTTATTTATGGGAGACTGCTCTTATTTATTGATTTTAATTGCTCAAGTTTTTGTTTTTAATATTGTGTAATACGTTTGTAGTGTGTTTTCTTAAGTCAACTGTAACAGTGTCTTACGGTCTAACTGTAACTGCAATGAACGCCCAGCAGCAACGCCACATTAATCTTTAAACACAATTAATAAAAGGCCACCCAACGATCGATGCTAATACTTTGGTCCATTTTTTGCCAATCTGTATTAAAATAACAGTAAAATGTTTCAATTAAAGGTAATGTGTCCATATAAAAAGACTGCGTATACCCAACTTGTCAAGCCACCCATCAAAATGACGGTTTGCGATTGGTTAGTATTCTTGCGATGCAAAACTGCTCACATGAAAAGCTAACCTCACAGCAGTATCAACAAACAAAACGACCGTAATGGCTGGGGCGATGACATGAAAAATCACATGTTTCTAAAAACCCCCACAGAGTCGCTTGCTTTAGCTGGACACATTACCTTTAAGAAGTTGAATCACAGCTAGATCATGTAGCAAAAGAAGGCCTAGAATGAACCCTTGTTGCACACCTTGAACAGTATTTCATACCTTGAGCTAAAATGTCAACATGTTTTAAAGATATAGTAGTAGGTACGATTTTTAATGCCAACTTTCTTTTGTACCTATTTGCTTTAATTGAAGCTTCTGTCAATACACGTTTAATAGGTAAGGTTCTTTTTGGAGTACTGATTACCTCGTGTGGCCTTCTTTAGCAAAGCATTTTCATAGCTATGGAGTAGATAACAGAAAGTTTACCATGTTTATTTTGTGGCTAGATGAAAATATTGTCGGCCAGCCTAGGAAGCATTTTGGTTAATTGAAGGCTTACATGTGAAACAAAGCCTACGTCCATAAAGTTTGCCTAAGAACAACTAAGTGTTTAGCTGAACAGCAGGTCCATTCATTTTTAAACCCAGTCATAATCTATCAAATTATGCCTGAAGGTCACAATCAAGCCGCTGATTTGCTACCCATTTTCGTCATGAGAAGGTTAAGCTAGCCTTGTTGGCTTAAAGTAAACAGCTCTATTTTTTACAAAGTTAAGCTTTTTAAATGTAAGTATTTCTAGGTAACCGTCACGTCACGTAATTTGCGATTTTTTACCGATAAGTGCAGATATTATAAGTAACTATTTATAAATTTCGCCAACTTGTATTCAGAGCAAAAAATATCATTGTGTAGCTGAGAGGTGACTGAATGGATAAAAAGTTTTCTTGAAATCGACCAATACATTATTTTCGTTAATTCATTTATTCAAAATGTTTCAGCCTAAAATCACTTGTTTGTTAAACAAACTGATGTCATCAAAAGACGATCTTTACTTTCATCAGGTATTACAGGGAGGGGTCATCCTTCTCTACTGATTGTTATAGTTACTTATTCGTCAGTGAGATCTAAGAAGAATGGAATGACCTTGATACAACCCATACTCTTGAATAGTAGAAGATTATCTTGTGGAAGTCACCAGGGTACGAACAGCATTTTCATTTAATGTATTTATTATATTCGCAGTCTATCTAGATTGAGTTTTTACGCTTTTATACCCCCGTAGGAAGCTACTAAAATTTATTTAATGTATTTACGCTTTTGTCAGTAAATTGATAAGTACAGCCTTTCATGTATCTCCTGATTCTCTCTTGATTTTCCTGATTCTTGTCTCTCCTATGGAGTTGATGCACGTTGTTGTATCTTGCAACTAAGAGTATGGTTGAAATCGAACGGAATAAAAACATGCAGGGTAGGGGTACAAAGGGGCACTAACAAAATAATTCTTAAAATCAAGGGTTACTTGTATTCAAAGTGATCACAATAGGAGAACAGACTATCAGAGACCCTGATCCTAAATATAAATTTTGGTCCAAACAGATTCGCAGGAAGCATTTATAACTTGAGAGGGCACACCTTTTGGAATGGAACTTATCATGAGCACTAGCCAGCAAGAAGTTCTGGTAGAAAAGGAACTGTGACAGTAAGAATTCAACCCAAAAAGGGCCCTTTCATTTCTTGAAAGGACACTTGCACGAACTTTAGGGAAAACAAAATCTCTGTTCTATTACAGCGAAATTGTAAAGCTGCTCTAGTTTATGACAATTAGTGTCAGTATTTGGTGTTTTTAAACATTTAAACACACTGTCCATTTTTGCAAAGTTTCATACTGTTTCACCAAAGTACGACTGAAATATGATAATACCGTCTATTAAGGTCTTTGCAGCGTACCCCAGTCTAAAAATAGAACAAGGGGGCAATTTTCAGATGGGTTCTACTTCCTATTATTTATCAGATTTCCAACTATTGCAAAGTTTCCTGCTATTGTACCTACTTTCAGCGGAGATATCAAAATAATGTCGTTAGTGGAGTAATGCGGTAAAGCATCCTAGTCTAAAAATAGTCAAAGGGGGCAATTTTTAGTCGGGGTCTATATCCTATCTTTTTCCGCGTATCATACTGTCATATTTTGCCAGTGGCGGCTCGTGACTTTCACAGTTGGGAGGGCAGACCATCAATATTGCGATCATCGATAGAAAGGTCGAGTTTGCAAATTTTTCACTGTATTCATGGTTCGATGTTGATCGTCATGGAGCGCAGAAGAAAAAGCATATATAGATGTGGTTGTTGTTTAGCGATGATGTCATTTTATGGGCAAAATTTTTCTTGCCCCGAATGCCTCTAAATAAGCCAATCACAGGGCGCGTTTCGCAATGCTCGAGGTCGAAAATTAGCTTGTGCGCATGTCGGCTAGGGGCAAAATAAAATTTGCCCGTAAAATGACATCATCGCTCAAGGCACTAGCGGGCCAGAAGCGAGGCTAAGGACGAGACGGGATAGCAAGGAGCTTTTTCTAGAAGAGATACAAACTTATATAATTAACCACAGTAAGACTATCTTCAAAATTAAATATGAATATCATAGATTTCCTTTGAATTTTCTTGAGGGGGCATCGCCCCAGATGCCCATTAGCAAGAGCCGCCACTGTATTTTGCATAGTTTCGTGCTGTACTACTAAAGTACGACTGAGATGCGATAACGTCGTCTTTAAAGGTTCTGGAGCAAAGTACCCCAGTCTAAAAATAGAAAAAGGGGCAATTCTCAGTTATGTTCTATATCCTATCTTTTGTACCATATTGAACTGCCTCATTTTGTAAAGTTTCGTGCTATTGTACCTACTACTTTCAGAAGAGATATTATAATAACGCTGTTGGGGGCTTTAGACAAAGAACCCCGGTCTAAAAATAGCCAAAGGGGGCAATTTTCAGTTGGATTCCATATCCTATCTTTTCTGCGTATCAAACTACCCCTTTTTGCAAAATCTCATGCTGGTATCACAATTTGCACCATTGTTTGACTAACAGTACTGACTAAGTGGTATAGTGTGTTTGTTGTGAAGGCAGAACCAATTGCAAACCTTGGGACGTCACTGATTCTCTTGCTTTGTCACTCGCACCGGTTGTTTTTAAACACTCCAAAACAAACTTTACCTTGCAAATTTTCAAGTTAATTATTGTTTTATATTGAAGAAACATGTAGAAGTTTCAATTTTTATCAAAAATCTATATGTGAAATTTCATTTCATAGGCACCTTAGTACTTAAAACGGCTGACAATCTACTAGCCTGATAACTAGCCATTTATTCTAGAGGAATAATGGGCTGGTTATCAGGCAACAATCTACTGTACATGACTTCAGACGAAGAATGGGACGGTTCATGCCGTTGTCAGGGCCGCCGAAGGGATTTGGAGACTGAACCCCTCGCAAGCGAAGGGTACAGAAAATTTTTACGACCACGCCCTTAAGATTACATTAAAAGACCTTTCAAAATATTCTTTGCAGTAATTTTCTTGCAATCTTTCAAAATGCTTTACTATTTTTAGGCATATGTTTGTTACATTTGCTTAACTCTATTCTTATAGTGGAATTCAATACATTGTGAGGCCCCCTAGACCTCGAGGCCCTGGGGCCATTTGCCCCTCTCTCGGCGGCCATGGCTGTCAATATTATGCTTCAAAATATGGATAGATTGTATTCTTGTAAATTAGTTAAAACATGTTTTTTAAATGGATGTAGACTAGTGATCATGTTTACAACAGGCAGGTGGAAATCTAGAGTATTCCATCGATTTAAACATGATTTTATAAAAGTGAACAGCAATAAAATTGAAAAATGTTTTAAAACTTCTATTGCCCAACGCTACGGCCTTTGAAGCTCTCTAGAGGACTGCCGGTCTTTCACACCATACTCTATATTCTAAAATTTTTATGAGGCCCCTCAAACAACGAGAGAACGTGACGTCACCCTCTGCCCCTCGCAGCATCCGTGCGGCCAACGACATTTCCCGGTATTTCGTGCGACGTTCAATACGAGACAAAGCACGATATTCAAGACAGTCTCGTGACTTGATTGACAATTTTTCATTGTGTACTCTTAATACCATGACACTTCTAACAATAAAAGAATCTTAAAAGTTGCGGAAGAGGCAGATGACGAAGTATTTTGGAAGTGTAAGGAAAGCACTGGGAAGCTCAAAATGTCGTGGATTTTTCTCGTTGCGGTGTTGACCGTAATTGCTGGTACCGATGGCCTAAGCAAAAGATCATTTATGCCTGGTGGAGCTAAGATTTTGACTGAAGAAGAAATAAAGAACGACAAGATTCTCCAAAGTGAAAATATTTTCATGCAAATTGCAGACACCTACAACAAGATGTCAAATTCGTTGTTTGCTTCAAGAATAGCGGATACCGTGGAAGTAAAGAAGCGGATTGTCGCTGGCGTTGAGTATGAAATAACAATTCAGTTCACGCCAACAGAATGCAAAAAGAACGCGGACAAATACACAAAGGATGATCTGCAGAAATGCCAGTTCAGTGCAGATAACGGAAGGCCACAGACGTGCACCTTCACAGCATGGTTTAGGCCCTGGCTCATCCTCGGAGTACCACAGCCGGTGAAAATCGAGATGAAAAGCTGTCGACAATAGACAAATTTGCTTTCAGGTTAAAGCACTACATGCAAAACCTAGACTATTGCTTTTTGTATATTTGATTTGTTAATTGTGAAATAAAGCAGTAAGCAGTCTGCAATTTATAGTAGGAATAAAGAAAGGCTGCTCTAACAATAATATTTACCTTGTGTTGATCTTCGTGGCATTTGTAGAAGCTTCGACTGCGAAACTTTTTGTGATGTTAACTTGCTGGGAATTGATTTTGATCGTAACCTTTACTTGAAGAAAAGCCATGTTTGATACACTCTAGTACTTACTCAACGTTTCCAACAACTCACAGGTGCTTGACACAATGCGACGACGCTGGGTTCCCAAGAGAACGTGGAGGGCTGTTTGTTGGTTTGTTTAATCATTCCCTACAGACATTCCCCACAGAGTGGCATTTTTAAAAATGTGAGCTGCTGCAAAGTTCGTTGGAAAACGAAAAGAATGCCTCAGTCTGCAGCGAACATGGGAAAGGGGGTCTGTTTGTTCGAATCCATGGGAAGGAATATCCCCCCCTCCTCTAGTGACAGCTTTCCTTGGAAGCGACTGGGCTTCAGTGATGTGGATAAAGATTTAACTGTTGTCGTCTTTATCATCTGCAAATGATTGAGCAATTTTCAATCTTTTCAAAATATTTGCCTTTTATCAGAAAACCCTATAAATGCTTTTGTACTCGTAGGATTATATAAATTAATTCTTTAAAATGTTTCCTCCCCAAAAATTCTTTTCGAATTCCTGAATCTTTCGATGCATCATCAGGGACCGCGGAAGCGGGGAGCTACTGGGGCTTTAGCCCCCCAGTAATTTTCAAAATGTACTTAAAGCCATACAAAAATCGCCCTGCTCTCGGTTTTTAGCACGTTTAGCCCCTCAAAACGATTTAGCCCCCTCAAACTGTAATATGCCCCGCGGCCTTTGAGCATCATTCCTATTTCGGCAAAGCCATAAGATCGAATTACATAATAATAATAATAATAATAATAATAATAATAATAATAATAATAATAATAATAATAATAATAATAATAGAGAGATCTAACGTATTCTATCGAAACAATAAATGGAAATCACCCCCACTCCCCCGGCATAGCATGGTTGTTTTGATTTATCAGAGTCTATAAATTCATAAGTCGTGCTCTTTTTACTGTTAAAGACGCCCTTTTACCAATTAGCAAAACCTTTGGAAATTTGGGTTAATCTAAATCTTTTGAATAACAAAAAAGGGGGCATGGCCTCCTATGGCGTAGGCGCTGCCAAATACTTTTTGCCTAATTTTTTTTGTCTGGAACACAGGCTACATGGATAAGAAATTTTAGTTGGTCAAATTCTAAGCCTCTTTTTTCTAATATTGGTTGCATGTATACTGTTCTATTTCTTCAAAATGACAGAGGTGATGTTTGTGTAACTTTTTATTTACTTGTCATTGCTAACGCTTTTGAGTTTCAGGCTATGGCTAAGGCTAGTGCTACATACTTAAAACTAGCCCTGCTTGTCTGCCATAACCCTGCCCTCGACCCTGCCATCTGCGAAAGGCCCATGCGCGTATTCGCCGCGCTTTGCAACCATCTAAACTGTACCGAACCAACCAGAACATGATCGGCCCTTTTTATTCACCGTGTAGGTGCCTTTGATAGCACAGATGAAACATAAACCGTAAAAGCTCTATTGAGCCCCGTGGGGACTTTTTAGGTTTCGAGGTTCCAGATGGGTCTTAAAAGAGAAACAGGCTTATTAGAGAGCGGGGTTCAAGATAATGAAAAATTCAAGATAAAATTCACAAAAATGTCTTTTGTGTGTGTTTATTCTGCTATACATCTATGAAACTGCTGATATGTCCCAATCATAGCCAATAGAAAAATATATCATTTTCTATCCAACGATTAGTTTGATAAAAACTAAAGGAGGCTTAATAAAGAGAGGGGCTTATTACAAGCTTTTGCTTCAAAAGGGGGCTTAATAGAGCTTTTAACGTAAATATGGTTTTCTTTATGAACACAATACAGATAATCGCACTCATAATGGCACTGTCAAAATCATTTTCCCTTTAAAACGCAACATAAATGTTTCACTGTTTTAAAGGGCGTGGCAACAGCAATTCCATGGACCACATCCCACCTTTGTTTTTTCCTTTCGAAACTATCTGATGTCATTTAATAGAGTTCAAAGTTGGTGTAGTCTCAAAATTTAATAGAGTGTTTACTCTACTAAATTTTGAGACTATACCTACTTTGAAGGGAATTTGAGAAAATCGCTCTACTCTCTCACATTTTCCAAAATTATTGAGTTAAATATACTGGATAGCTCCAAAACCTTTGCTACGTTCCCGGAAGGAGAGATTAGCTCCGCCCAAACTCAATAAAAAGAATGACTACAGGGAAAAATTAACAGGCTTTCGGGGGAAAGGGGCTGCCCTTGGGCGACAATTCCTCACCACGATTTCTACAACGGTCAAATGAACACTAAAGAAATTCAGGCATGGTTTATACAATGAGAGCTGAAACGCAGAAGGATTCTAAAACTGAAATTTTAAATCGCAGAACATAAATGGTGATATCAGTTGCTAAGTTTCCATATCAAAGTCGCCTTCGTCGCTACTGGTGTCCTGTGACTGGAACACTGCTGTTTCGTCATCCGATAAAAATTCGTTGCCAGGATGTGGTGGCTGGGCGGGGTCCTTTCTTCGTGTGTAGAACAAAACGTAGGCAGCTTTTGACTGAAATGCAAATGTTCTCAAACATACAAAATAGAAATTTGAAGAAGGTAAAATCTGTAATAGTGGAGGGAGAGATGGTTTGGGGAGTCATTCAGTGTTAGCTTATGATGCCCAGACAACTTTTAGCTAATAATAATGATAAAGGGGTAGGTAACGTGAGATGAGGACACCTAGCCTTGCTAACACTAAGTTTTCTATATTGGGAACACCTACTAACACATAATACACCTATGAGTGCAAGGGTACGAGGTGGGGCAGCTGGGAGAACGCAGCAGCCCTTGCAGAGCTGAAAAACCCTACATCGGGTAGAAAGATTGCGAGCACTCCAGCAAATTTTTGTTAAAACGTACATTTGGAAAAATGTACACTTTTCCCCAAGAGCAATGACAGGGCCCCGCCAGTCTAATACAAGTGCAAATTTTAAAATACCCAAAAACTGGCCGCCTTTCTATAGCAAACCAGTTTTGTAACAAGCGTAGTCTTTATATCATCGATGTCTTTGTAAATGTTTGCTTTGAAAGAAAAGAAAATAGGCTTTGCTTGCTTACCACTATTTGATTTTCATCAGCAATCGATACGCTACTATCGTCAAAGTAGTACCATTTGCCATCGTAGAAATTCTTGCAATAAGCAGTGTCTGCAGTAAGAATATAGCCAGCTTATGATGTACGAAGAATGAATCCGCTCAAGGGAGGCGGAACACTATTTTTGGGGGGAGAAAATTTTAAAACCAAGAGCAAGGCGATTTTTGAATGGTTTCCAGTTCATTTAGGAAATTACTAGAGGGAGGGGGCTAAAGCCTTCAGCCTCCCCGCTTCCGCGGTCCCAGAGTTCTGCCATTGCACTGGGAGAATTTATAATGATGACTGGAGGTTGATTATTTTTTAGAATTAAAGATGATTATGTTTGCAATTTCCCAAGATAAAAAAGCATTCACACTTATAGACTGAAACCAAAAAAATTATATGGGGCAAAATTTCTGATTTCTTCATGTCCGAAAGTTTGTCCCTGCAAAATATTGTCAACAATTTTTCTCCTTCTTACGTTTTTCGAAATCATGATTCATATACCTGGCTCATTCTTTAAGCAATGAAATAATCTACTCGACTAGCTTCGCTTTAAGGGTTGACAGATTCACTGATTTACAGAAAAATTAGCAACGAAGGGTTTTATTTATTAACGAACTGAAAATACCCTTAAAACCCTCCCTACCAAACACTGCAAAGCAAGACGCTATTAACCCAAAAGTTCATATCAAGTGATTACTTGTTTTGCTTCTATCACATCAAATATACGGATAAGCTTTTTGATATCAATACAAGAAACACCCTTAATAAGAGCCCATCACTTCAGAGTATTCACTTTATTCTGTATACAAAGTTTGCTCAAATTTTTTTTTGCCCTACATGCCAGTGTTAAATAATGTAACTTGAAGTGTTCATTTGTAATTCAAAAATCTGCGACAAAACTTTCATACAAGAGATAAAACACCATCAAAGCACTTACAGTGGCCTCCACCCATGCCTCCATAGTGATTCTAAGAGAAAAGATAACAAGTAAGGCACCTCTTTAAATAAAACTCAGATTTATGGCACCAGACATGTGATTGCAATGAAACAAGACTACAAGGAGGGGCTATTAACTGAATATTCACTATAGTAATTAAGTCCGCAAAAAGCAAGGATATGAACGAGTCAAAACAGTAATATAACCAACACTAGCAAAAATCCGCATGGTGTCTTTATTCATTCACAAACTACAACATCTAGTTAGAGAACGAGCTACACGAATGTGATGATTATTAAGGGTATCGCTCTTAGACAGCAAAGTTTTAACTGTCCACCAAATACATTATTAGTTTTTTTACAATAAAGCTTTCATCTCATCACTGAGAAAGTTTTCCTTTTGCTAAAACAAATTCAGCTATAAACAGCAAAAGCAGCTAGCAAATCTAGGAAACCTTTTCATAAAATATTCACGTGAAAGGGTTTCCAGAAAGATTACGTTTGTTCCGAACAGCTCCCATCTGAAGAGCGAGTCGTGTATGAAGTGGAGCTGCCCTCTTCCAAGCCAAGGGGCACTTCAGCATGATCACTTCCCACAGCCGTCTTTATGTCAACATATACAACTATTAACAACAAAGAACAGATTTGTCTTCAACTCACCGAGACAGCGTGCAGATCATAGACTGCCGGGGGATGCTCTTTATCGATAACATACGGGGTCAAGTTTAAGTCCCTGGAAGTGTTTTTAAAAAATGTATGAAACCACAGCTGATACAGACAATAACAGCAGCAAGAATATAACTAGCATCTAGTTAATGCTTTACTTATCAGAAAGTTTACATGATACCGTTTTCGTGACATTAGCAACAATCTTAAAAATTAAATGGATTGATATATCCATCTAACGAAGACCAAAGGAGGCATGATGGTTTGGTTATAGTCATATAAGAATCTTATATTTTCAGAGTGCAATCTCAACTAGAAAAAAGTACAGGGATTAGTTTGGGCAAACGACTTCCCTATAAGTTGGTCAGATAAAATGACATAAATAAGTGGGAATCGTGTCACCAATATCCTTTTTTGCGTCATAGCTTTGTCACAAAATTATGTGTCCCTTTTGACTATCATAATGAAAAAAGGCCTGTATTCCAGTGAGAAAATCCTGAAAAATTATGTAAATAACGAATATATTGAGTTTCAACCAACCTGATAGGAAAATCTACAAGTGAATCGATTTTGTCTCTCCACCACCTTTAAAAGAATAAAAAAGTAAACTGCATTATTATTCTCAGGATACTTAAAAATAATAATAATAAAGGCATTTATACTGCGCCATTTATCCACGCGGCTGAAAGGCGCATTACATTATGTTCATAAAACTAATAGAGTGATATAATATACAGTATAACAAAGAACGCTAAAAATGTTCGTAAAACAAATAAAATCTAATTAAAATATTCTTAAAAAAGATGCGTCTACTCCTAAAAGCGGCAAAAGAATCCACTGCTCGCAACGTGTATGGCAGCCTGTTCCAAAGAAGAGGAGAGGCACCTGTAAATGCACAATCTTCAGCGGTCACTAGCTTTGTCCTTGGTGTCTCGTGAGTCAAGTCATCATCAGCAGATCTTGTCCGTCGCGCTGCTGTTCGTAATGTGACCAGCTTAGTAAGATATACTGGTGCAAGGTTATTGATGCATTTGTAAGTCAACGTTAAGATCTTATATTTTATCCTGCATTATATTGGCAACCAATGAATTGTTTTAACACTGGGGTCATGTGACTGTCTCTCTTCGCAACGGTCAACATCCTGGCGGCAGTATTCTGATTTTTTGGCAACTTTTTAACTCGCACATTGGCAAACCATATAAAAAAGAATTGTTGCAATCTAGCCGAGATGTGACAAAACATGGGTGGCTTTTTCAGCAGCTTCTTGAGTGAGATACTTCCGAGCTAGGCGGATATTATGCAAGTAGTACCTAGCTGAGCTGCACAGAATTTACATGTGACTTAAGTGACAAATTAGCATAAAAAACTACACCAAGATTTCGTGCTTTTTAGCTTGGTTTAATCGTACTATTTCCAATATTGAAAATCAGGTTTGACAGTTTTGCACATTGCTTTCGCGTTCCGTTCACCAATACAATAGTTAAGTCTTATCTCCGTTTAACTTTAGCCTGTTTGTTAGCAACCAGGACTGAATTTCTTGAATACACCCTTCAATTTGCTGTATTGAGAGAGTTGCACATTCTGGAGGTGGTGAAAATGACATATAGAGTTGTGTGTCATCAGCATAGAGGAAGAACTTCATGCCTCTTTTCCGAACAATTTCTCGTAAGGGTAGAGTGTTTACAAGAAAAAGTAATGGGCCCAGCACCGATCCTTGTGGAACACCACAAAATAGAGGCACCTCCTTTGATTTTTCATTTTTAACTTTAACCATAACAATGTTCTAGATATGAAAAAAACCATTTCAAAGCTGCCCCTTGAATTCCGCATCTGTTGGAAAGTCTCTCTAGTAATACAGAGTGGTTTACTGTATCAAACGCCGCTGAAAGATCTAACAAAACAAGAATAGAGACTTCTTGTTTATTCATTGCCATCAGTAAATCAATGTGAACTGTCAGTAATGCTGTTTCTGTACTGTATCCCTCTTTATATGCGGATTGCAATGGCTCAAAAAGGTCATTCCCTACCATATGTTGAACAAATTGATTTGCAACTGCCTTCTCTATAGGCTTTGAGGCATAAGGCAAATTGGAAACTGGTCTGAAATTGGCATTTATAACTTCCTGACCTGGCTTTTTCAAATGTGGGTTTAATATAACTAACTGAAAACCGTCAGGCATAACCGAAGTCAGAAATGACGTGTTAATTATTAGAGCAATGATTTTTACAAAAGGTTTCCCACAACGTCTCAAAATCCACGTTTGCACTTTGTCTAGATCACATGTTGTTATTAGTGACCTTTTTATTAGTTTCTAAACATTATCTTCGGTTTGGTGACAAATTGTAGTCATTTGGGTCTTATATTTGGGTTCTTCTGGTACAACATTACTATTTTCATCCCTATTCATGGCCAGGTCAAAATGATTTTGAATCTTCTCAATTTTCCCCACAAAGAAATCTACAAATTCATTTGCAAGCTGCAGAGTAGAGTCATGTTTAGGAAGGGGAGACTCTGTCTTTTTATTCAGCATATTGTTCAGAACTTGGAATAATCCTAATAATACTTATATCAATCCAAGTTGCTACATCTCAAATTTCATTCCATTTCGTGAAATTTTCACCATGGGCATCAGATTTTGCCACATATAATCAATGTCAACAATACTGTGTTCCAGTACCGAACTAGCTTTCTAGGACGGGATCACGATGAAACATGATTGATGGTTTCCATTACGATCAAGAAACAGGGAATGGCTACCAAATGCTAGAAAATATTATACATTGAAAGAAGTTCTAACACTGATATTTTGTCTTGGATTGCGTTTTCGTTTGCATTCTGTCTGCTGGAATTACTCTAGGAAACAAAACGTGATGGATAAAACTACAAACTAGGTACTAGGTAGGTACCAACGAAAAAGGCCTATCTTCAAACTGACATACCTGTTATAAGAAAATCGCTTCAAGTGGATAACTAGAACGGTTGGAAGTCCCCATAAATCAAATTTCTTTGATGCTTGTTGGTGCTTTTTGCAAGTTGGACAATACCTTTTAAATAAATGAGAATTCATGAATTAAGTACATGGATGCAACAAAGCTAATGTTTATGAAAATTATTTTGAAAGTTTGCAAAGACAAGTGAAAGCTATCTATAGCAAGTGTATTTCCAATCTGGCCTAGGAAAAATTCCTTTTATTTTGGAAATATATTGTCAAGAATTTTATAATGGCATATATCGCAAGGAAAACAATACAAGGGTCAAAAGGCTCCGTGTACAAGTTAAAAAATCAAGTAAAACTACTGGAAAAGCAATCAGAAATAAGGATAAAACAAACGAAAACACAGATTTGATAAAGCCGGAATGCTTTTTGCGATAAAAAGAAATACATAGGCTTCGAAAAAAACTGAGTACTTACCATGGGTCCTCTGCACCTAGCTTTTCTTTTGTTAAAAACAGTTCTAAGCAATCTTGCAACTGAATCGTTTTCTCTCTCGGGCCTTTTTGCCGCACACTGGGATGCTCGTCTATATCCTTAAAAATACCGACAAGGAAACCAGATGAAATTCCGAGCACGACACAACAGAGTTAAGTATGTAAATGCATAGTTATACTAAAGAATCATTCTTTGTCAACTATTTTTCTGCTCTATTTTTTGAAGCATTCCTAGACGACAAACAGGGGAAGGCTCATGACATCTTCTAAAATTCTGCACTGGTTGATAAGATTAACACATTGTTCCTACAAAAGTAGGATCATGTTGACCTACAAACTCTAACTTAAAATATAGATATTATTTCATGCTGCCTGAAAGATAATTTTTTGCATGATTGGTGATTAACAACGATTTTGAAAGGCATGGCTCTCGTCGCAGTGAACTGCAAATTATAAAAGTTTCTTGGCTCTTTTCAATTTGGGTAGGGTTGTTTCTTAACCTTCGACAAATTGAGCCTACCATTTCTTATAACCTGTTTTTATAAAAAAATGCGAGTGACAAATTTCGAATTGACGAAATACATAAAGTCATTGATGAAATCTCGCGAAAAAGATTTATTCCAATTAATCTATATTTTAAATAAATACAATATATCAAAATTATGTTAAGGTACAGGCCACAAACGGCTTGTATAATGAAAAAAATCACTTATAGAAAAGAAAAATTATGCCGTGACCCGGGATCGAACCAGGGACCTTCAGATCTTCAGTCTGACGCTCTCCCAACTGAGCTATCCCGGCATGCCTACTAAATGTCTGAAACTGGGCAAATACCATTGCCAATACTAACGGGTGACATCCACCCAAACGGCGTTTTTGCACCTCCCTGTTGCCATTTTGTGAAGAGTCTACATAAAAAATGTTCTTCGGCTCTGTACCTAAGTTTTGCGGCCTATCATAAAGGGCCACTAATTTCTGTCACTATTTTTAAGTTCCCAGGTTTGACTCTAAAACCACGAGTCTCAACGGTAAATATTAACTGAATATATACTAACAGCTCTTTTTCTGTATGTTGGTACACAGTAATTTAATTCAAACAAAAGCAAACACACTAAGTAGGAACACACCTCATCTGCATCTTCATCAAAATATAGCTTTTTCCACTTCGGTTTCCAGTCAATCGCCAAATACGTATTGTCTAAAAATGAAATTTGAATCTGTAAGGAAACTTTAACTTGGTTTAAAAATTTCATATATATATAGAATATCTAAATATAAAATTAATTGCTATTTTTACCAATAAAGAGAGCACTTTCTTTCCCTGGTTGGATCTAATTAAGGAAGTGAAAAAGTAGGTAAGACTAATAAAGGAAATTTTTCAAAGAAATTGTTTTTCAGTTTCAATAATTAAGGATTTTTTTAGCACAAATGCATTTTCAATTGCATTTATAAAGGGATTTTTTATTCAGTTATGGATTTTAAAGATTGATCATACAAAGGCTTTTTTAAAAAAGTATCATCTTTTTAATAACAGTCACCAAAAATTTAGTCCGTGACACGTGCTGCGTAAGTCAACATTCTCAGTAAGGCAAACTCAACACAAATGTAGCACAAAAAATAGAACAAAAAAATCGTCAATTTAGGATTCCGAAAATAGGATGCAAAATTTCAAGGAGTTTTTTAAGGAATTTATAAAGTGGCATTCCTTAATTACGTCACACCCGTAATTTCGTGTAATGAGGTACATTACAATTACCTTAACTTTCCTGAATAATCAGCTTACAAACAGGCTGATAATTTTGTAGATCAAGAGCTCATAAGAAAACTCTCAAATCCAAAGCAAATAACACAGCTTGTGATTCAAAACAATGGGACTTTTAAGAAAAAAAATTGTCGACAGACTTGTTAAGCGTAAGTCGTCATCGTCATCAACAGCAAACGAATGCAACTCCGAATTGCCATATGAGTTCACAGATTTTATACAAAACAGCTTGCGATTTTTATTGTTTTTGGGTTGTGTCTCATCATTTTCAATCGGTTCTTCGTTCTTATCCTAAAAGAAAAACAAAACATCTTGAAATCGATCTGTTATTAAAGATGCATCTACAAGGGTTAGGTGTATATAATGTCTTAACTTTCAAATTAGCAAGGAAAGCGAGAACAAACCACGCTAGTACTTTCTTCCGAGCGTGTAAACGTCGGTTAAAGACCAAAAGGTGAGCAGAAAATTATATCCAGTTGCGGATCGAAACGACGCGTTCGATTGTTAGAGAGAAAACGACGCGTTTGATTAGTTTCTTGTTTTTGACCAATCAGTAACCGCTAGCACCTCATAAAGTTGAAGATTCCAAGAAAGAAAAAATTTCTAAAGAGAACAGGAAACACTACAATAAAGTTAGGGAACTGAAACAACAACTACTTTGCGTACGTCACTTGGATGAAGCAGGTATGCCAGAATGGAAGGTAACACAGTTTCATTATGTAGTCTTTTTACGACAGCGGTAAATTGATGGATTTACTGAGGAAAAGATTCAAAGAGTTACGTGAAATATACATATTTTATAAAATCAACTCAGAGCCGTCATGTTCTACCGACCAAAGCGAGCATATTCCATTATGAAACATTTCCAAAAAATAACATTCTACCGATTCTTGGTTGTATCCGTCTTCTTTTATTTTCCCTTCATCGTCTGAAAAAAGGAAGTAGAGCGAAAATTCAATCTTTTTTCAATGTTGAAATTACATTTTGAAGGAATGCAAATGTGGTTAGCTTAACAAATTGTGCTGCAATTCGACCATCAGTGCATGTCGATCCTCCACACCCAACATAAGATGTTAGGGAATTTATAGTTAATAGCCTATTTAATCTAAAGACAAAACCTTAAATACCTCCACTGTCTTCTCCGTTAACCTCGTCTTCTGCTTTGTCGTTATCGTCTTCATTTTGTGGTTTCATTACCCGTCTAAAATTATAAAACCATGCTTCTAAAAACATCATAAGTGTGTCAACCATTAAAAGAAAGAAATTTCAAGAAAGTGTGGCCAGATTTACGACAAGATTCCTGGCACAAGGCATAAGGCAAAATGAAAATTGTTTCAGACCCAAACATAGTAAGCTTCTACTTTCCACTGGATTTCCTGGTTACAGCTTTTCGAAAAATGCAAAATCCCTAAATTATAACCAACATTCAGTTTTTTCTTTTAACAATAAAACGTTAAATCTACGGTGAATCTATTTAAAAATTTATATAGAGCTAACAGGTTCTCTTGCTTTGACTAATCATCTAAAATTTAGAGACCCATTTAAGCTTGAAAAGTCTCCTGAACCATATGTTGTTTTTGGCACCACTATTGTCAGCAGTAACCGATCAAGTTCGTCATCAAAATACACTTTTAGCCAGAGACATCCAGATGTGGCCCACGAGGGCATGTCCTGTGGCCCGTGCTAACTCAATAAATTGTTTAATAATTTGGTCCTTGTGTTTGTTTATAGCGGGCTATCCCCTCTAAAATGTCCTTATTCATTATTAGGCATACTTCCTCAATATTAGGCATATAGTCTCATTATTAGGTTTACTTTTTCAATATAATTAGAAGCTGAACAGAGCAAGTCAAAGGTAAAATCTAAGCATGCAGAGGAAATTTACATGACTTTCCTCGCGTGTCAACTACACGTTTAATGTGACATGAATAAACTTTTTGCAAACGAGAAATGTAACATTTCATATAAAATTTTTCATGTAAATGAAATTATTCATACATTTACTGTTCAATACAAAATTTCCCGATGATTTACCTAATTATTCATCAGGCCCGCATGTGCAGTAAGGTTTTGTCTATGTCGCTTTACCAAAAATAAATCGGACACCCCTGCCTTTAGCTATAAACGTTATATAAGAGCATTTCATATAACAAGTCCTATATGCAACTTAAAAACACGTTGGTTCTTCTTTACGGGGAGTCAGTTAAACTTTGTTTATGTCAAACTCTCTTTAGGCAATGTATTATAAAAAATTCAGCCAACCATGAGATGCAATTTTCTCTTTGTCTCCATTTTACTGATTCCCCATAACGTTATGTTGCCAATAAAACAGAAGAAAATGATATGGATTTATACATTTCCTTGATTTTGAGGGAGGTTCTACCCCGGGGAAAAAGCTTTGAAAAACTAAAGTAGTCCAATCAATAGCGGCTTAAAAATGCTTCGCTTGAAATAAACACAGGGGCATTTTTTCGAGCCATTAACTTGGGTTGCTTTTTTCTACTCTCTTTTAATTGTAAATCAAGTAAATGAAGACTAGACATACCTGGAACTCTTATTCAAGAAATATCAAGTGTGTAAGTTTCAACTTTGTTCACGTGAAATTAAAATGTACAGGCAACAGCTGTACCCTCGGAGGTAAAGGATTTATGTGACAAAATCACTAACCTTAAAGATCGTAATATAATCTGGTACAAATCGTCGTAATTAACACCCTTTCTTGGCACAGGAACAAGCATTGGTGTACCGAACAATGTCGGCGATCCACAGTAGGTGCTGTAGGGCAGTGATGATGATCTGATGAAGAAGAGGTGTGAAAAATATTACAGACATCAAAGAACATACGGCTCTGAACAAAAAACTGACGGTTCTGAAAGGTGGATATGATTTTAAAAACATCGAGGTTATTTCAACACAGCTTACTGCACGTAGGGACAAACCTTTCCAGACGAAGGTACACAGGAAGGACAACCAGTTCTGAGTCTCGAGTGTCATCTTTAGACATGGGAACCTCAAACCTGAGAAAGGAATCACCGTTTCATATCAAAAATAATCTAACATTTCATAAACAAACTGACAGTAAAACAAGACATAGATTTGCTGACTTCTTTTTAACTTAACACTCATTCTACTTGTGCTAGATACAAGGAATGCATCCTTCTACTAAAAATCCTTGACATTAACAATCTACAGTTTTTTAAAGTTGTTTCCCTCCCTCTCCATTACCATGTTGATTAATATCAATATTGTACGATTGTCAATGACAATTTAACTAATATTGGATGATAAACACTTCTAATGAAAGAATTAGAGAGGCAGGGGAGGCAGGGGATTAGACGATAGCAAAAGCGCTGATGACGTGGAGACGTTGTTACATCCTGGGGTTGTCAATACAATGGTATTCAACTTAACAACTTTTGAAGGTGAAACTATTTTTTTCGATATTTATCTAGAAAACTGCTTTACTTGCAGTTGTACATTTCTGCTTATACGGCATCGAGGACTACACGGCAGAACGAACAATAGTAATTTCTTCACAGACTCACGCATAGATGTGATCCTTTTCTGTTATGTGACTAAGTGCGTCTCTCCTTTCGAAAAACTTGTGAAACCGATGACTGTAGACCTCGGCGATGACCAGCTAAAAAAAAGAGGGGATTCTCAATCTCACATAACATTATAACATTGTATTCATCGGCGCATTAGAATAGGAATATAGATGACGCCCCGCTTTGTGATACTTTGTTCGCGAGCAGCATGAAGCAATGAATAACGCAACCAGGGACCATTTAAGCGGCAAAGATTGGAGGGCTTTAAGATAATGATTGGTTTTTTGTGTCACAACCCTAAGGTGACTGGAAACTGATGGAAACGCCCATTTTTAAAATTCAGTTTTGATGAAGAAGATAAGAAGATAAATAAAGCAACTTTTGTGAATCATTTTCTTACTCCTGACTACCAAAAAATGCTCTTTACCGAATCGAAGCAAAATTTGTCAAAGAAAACAAAAATATTGGGGGGGGGGGGCTGTCACGCCACCCACACAACCTGGTAAACCCGTCAATGGACGCAATGCTAGGCGTAAATTCAGCTCGTAAGCTATGTTACCTAGAAAGTTTCAAGTTACAACTATAAACAGTCAAACTGCTGCTCACCTTAGAAGCCTCAACACCAGTCATCTTCGCAACAACTACAGTCAAATCACTAACAGTGCCGGCTTTGGGGACAACAACTTTCATCTGGAAGTGATAAAGTCAAAACTAGCAAAGATACAACAACGCGAAAGTATCATGCACACATAAGCATCTCTTATAATGGGAAAGGTGTCGTTACAAACCAGTGTTAATTTGTAACGATACCTTTGGTGGGAATTACATTCAGTGAAATTACATGGCACATATCATCCAATCAGTGATTGAGTGATTAAATGACAAAGTAATGTGGTTATCGAATGAAGCATTTCTTATCAAATGCAGCTATCCTGAGAAATAAAGTTAAATAAATCGACATAGATGAACATAACCTGAATAAAATGTTTTCAAAATTCTATCTACGTCTGGCTTCTCCGTCCTTTATATGAAAAATGAGGAGGAAGGAATTTCTAATTTTGATCTAGCAAAAACCAAAATAGAACTGCTTTGTATTACCTTCAGGTAGATGGGCGGATCTCCATTTTTTACAATAGCAGAGTACTTACAAGAACAGGCCTTTTGGTGGACTCCAGTGGAACGAAAACGATGCTGAGGGATCTTTCCTTGACAACTGGCAGTGGTAGCGATAGATAACAGAATGGATCGAATGTCACAGAGATCTGAAATACAATGAAAATATCGAGTTATATTGGCAAGTTGAGGACAAAGAAATGAAGTCTCCAACATTTTCCTTGAAAGAAGCATACGAGACTGATATTATCGGTAAAAGAGGAAAGACCTTCTTACATAAGGTGTAACGAATGTCAAGCTAAGTTGCTTATACACTGTATCACTGTAAACACGGTTGGTTAAGGACAATTTCAGAATATATACACTGCATCTTCAAAATTCAATGAGCATAGGCTTTATAAATAACAAGGACTTCTAAGCAGGTAGAAATAAATAAAACTGTTACTAAAATTCATCACTAAGGAAAAATTGACCATTTTAAGATAAACTTTTTTTCAGAAAAACTCTTACCTTTGAGCACATAGGACAAACAACAGTGGATTTGAAAAGACCATGAAACAGATCTACGATTATCGAACAGTTCCGGAGCTGATGATTTGCCCATGCTTCGTGTGCTAGTTCCTGTAACAGAAAAGGGTCATAAAATGGAAAAGAATGGTCGAAGGCTTGGCAGCAAGGCACTTTTTGTTTTGGCAGCCTATTGGCTATGGCAGCTATTTTAATTTTGCAGCAATTTTGTTTTGGCAGCCATTTTGAATGTTATGAAAGATCATCATCTTAAGTACTGGCTTCTCGACAATCGATCTTGTTCAGCCACTCTATATAATTAGTTTTCAAGACTGCCTTCCTTTTGACTAATAAAAGACGCATTGAAAGTGATTGAGCAATTTATACTCTGGCGTATTTTGACGATTTTTAAAATCTTAACACGCTATACTTGCGTTAAAGAGTGCAGTTATTATTAGCCATTAGTCAGCATTTCAATATCTGAAAGCTGTATGCAAAAGCTGGACAAATTTTTCCTTCAAAACTAATTTTATTTTCTTGGAAATTCTAATTGAAATCCTGATATAGACGTGAAAGTTTTGAATTTTCTTTCTAAATGCTCGAAAGCAATTTAACCAGTCAAAACATATGGTTGCATCAAAAAAGGATATATATATATATAATCATTTAAAAATCGTCTTTATAAACGGTTTGTGATCATAGCACTTGTATGATAAATTTACAGTATTAACAACGTAAAATTTGTCTCCTAAAGAAATTCATATCAACGAATAACATTTCAATTAGCGAGTCGAACTTGTCACCTGCTTTCAAGCCGAAAATGAAATGCCTGGGTCAAATTCATTTGATGTGATCTGCTGGTAATTCAGTCAAAGAAACCAAACATTTAATCAAAATAAGCAAAACCTATACACATTAAAAAATACATGCAGCACAGAACGTTGCGGTGTTGTGGATTCGCACCACTTAATTGACATGACACCAAACAATATCCACTACATTGACAACTGAGAGAGGGCCTCTCTCTTTATACATACGTCATCTGGGCGTCCATCGTGGTCTGGGATTTCAACATACGGCTTCTTTTTAACACGATTCAAATCTTCGTGAAGTCCATCTAATAAAAATGCAAGAAGCTCATGGGAATCCTGCTGCTGATACCCTGAGAACTGTGGGGCAAATCTTCCGACTGCAACCTGTGTGGATGAAAATTTTTGTAATTTTAAACTCTTAATGTATGGGATCTTATAATTAGGTGACAGGGGATGCAATATTTTGGAACGTCCGGCAAGAAGTCGGAGAGGTATTGGATAGATAGCACACTGGCGAAACGTAAAAGTAAAGCAAAAAAACTTAAAAGGACAAGAAAAGGTAGTGTTGGGTGGCTCTAGTTTTAAAAGGGTTAAAGTGAACATGCAATGGAAGAATTTAAGTTTAATGCAAAAAACCTTGAAATTCCTAGGAGATACAAAACTATGGTGTCCGGACCATATCTGCAGCATCAGCTCAGCATAGGCAATGGCGATTTCACCCCTCATTCCCAACGGATTTTGAGGATTTAGTTCGTTTTTGTAGTTACCAGCTAAAATTGAAAAAAAAAACGTTACTGCTAACTTGTGTAATGAATCGGATGATGACGACTAAAATACTACCGACCACAATGGTGATAATGGAGTTAGCAAAGATAATGGCGTTAACAAAGATCATTGCAGACGGTCGTAATGACATTTAAAAGACTTTAGAATACTGGACTCACCAGGATGTTAATAATGACGCACAATAAAGGTTATGATACACGACAAAGTTTGTGATGTACATTACAGGTAATGATAATGCATGATAACGCACGATAACGACAGATGATGCTCATTATAATAATAATGCTTATGATAATGCTCAAATTGATGACCGGGAGGACAATCTCCGAATATCAAGGTAATCTTAACCTCTCATTGTTTGACAAAGCTTAGTTTTAAGGTAATTCTCGAATGAAAGCTGGCTGTAAAGATTTAATACTACTCCTAAATGGCTAAGTGATAGTAGAAAAGGATTTGTAAAATTAACTGAGAGAAAATGTGGCAAGGCAACTCAGTTGGCAGAGCAGAGACTTACATTGTCGCTGGTCGGGTGACCGAGTCCTGCCATGGTCATGCCGAATGCTAACATTTTCAAGCTGTTAATAAATGGATTGCCTTGGATGGTTGATCTGGTCGACCAAAAGTTTAATGTTAGCGATGACGACGATGGCAGTGAAGGTGCTGGCGGCGATGGCATGGTTGATGGTTCACTCTGTTTTGGATGCCCTAAAGGCCTAGCATAAGGGTAACGATTTAGAAAGTAAAAGGACATAGACGATGGTTACCTATAAAATACTTGGCCAATGGAGCTGTGTTACTCAAGCACTGTAATGCTGAGTTCATAAAGCAAGTGTTGCCAAGATTACTGAGGCCACAAAGACCCGCTCTGCCGGATCCACTGCCACTGGAAGTTCGTCTTCTTCTGGTTTCATCTGAGTATCCAGAGTACGAGCTGCCGTAAGACAGGCCGTAAGTACTGCAAGAGTTCGATAGAAATGAGTGAGATTCGTCGAGAAGCTATTCAATTGACGAATGAAAGGACAAAGTGAAAGAGGGGTGATGAAGTGGAGCAGTAAGGGCAGGGACAAAAGGAACAGAGGTTTTGGGGTAAAGTAGCAAAGGCAGAAAGCATATATAACGTCCCAACGAAAAACTACGCCAAACTAAGGGTAATCAATGACTTGTCAAGGGTAACCTATGTGTGTTTCAGGTTGCAGCGGTTCATATAAATTCAACGTGTAAAAACACAATTCAATTAATTGAATAAATAACTGTATTTTTATAAAAGAGTTAGCCTGCAAAAGGGGACAAACCTTGAAAAGCTAGATGAACCAGGCGACCAGCCAGATGCAAAAGATGATGACTCCATTGCAGTTGGAGAAGCCTTTTTAAACAAAATGAATTTTCATACGCACGATGTAAGTAACTTGGCATTTTAATCCAACCTGGACCCAAAGCATATTGCGGAGAACAACGTAAATCGATAGTAGCGCTTACGACAAAAACATATCTGCAAACACCTGTGTACCTTTAATGGTTAATGGGCAGAATTCTATTACTTCGGCATGAATAATAGCAATGAATGGGGAATAACAGAACAAACTTCTTTTACGCATTCCCAAACATATTTTTTTCCCGACAATCTGGATCAATTCACCATAGAATATATCTTGAGCTGATTGAGTTGTAACGATAAGAACTGCCCCATTGAATTAAGAACTTACTCAATTAGGCTACAATTTGACAAAAAAACAGTTACTTTTTTTATGAAAAATGAAGTCAAATGTCTTAACTTCATATCACAAATATTGGTAGCCCACACCACCTTCCCCCGGTGGTCAATGTTGGGTGATTTGATTACAATATAGTAGGAGAGCATACAAGCTAAACTACCCTCACAAAAAATATTGATCTGGGAGGAACGGGGCTAGGTGATTCAAAACTAGTTTGATTTTTTCGAGTGTCCCAGAATTTTTTGCCAGGACTGTAGATTTGAAAATAGATTTAATGGTTGCTCATCTAATAACTTACCCCTGATGTATTTGATATGGAGCTGCAAAAGAACAAATTTCAAAAATTATGTCAAGAGAAGTTAAAAGTCTTTGATTCAAAGATACCGTGGTCTCACCTATTGAAGCTAGCAAAAGTCTTTACCGGGCATAACAAACGAAGCAGGTGCGATTTTCATGACAGTTGCTGTGAATAATTGAGACAAATATTCTGTACGTATAAAAATTGAATGATCCAAGATAATTCCATCTAATTTAAAGAAACTCTCCCAATTCAAGACAAACAAACATCAGAAATTCCCAATCTCATAATTTTTCCATTTTTTGAGCCTGTCAAATTGTTGAAAGCAAAGAATACCAGTATATACATAAATGTCTTCACAAAGAACTGGGAAATTTAGAATTGTTGACTACACAGAAAGCTAAGACACTTAATATGTGGCCTCAAAGTAGTGCCAGAGTCAAAGACCTTCCAGGATAAGTCAGGAGAACACAGAAAGGGGGAAAGGGTACTGTGCTAAATGTCACTTTACCTTGACCTTGTGTGTCTAGGCCAACTGCCATCATCGTTCTTTTGCTCCATTACAACAACCTGGAAAAGAGGCCATGAACACTTCGTATAATTTTTCGTCTACAAAGTGTAATTCTTTGTGAAAAGCAGATCCTCAATGAAAGTCTAATTACGTAGGTAACAGTATGAGACCCCCCCCCCTTACAAATTTGTAGTTGCAACCCCTTTTTTGCATAAAATTTTCTTATACTAGTGGTAGAAATCAAGAGAAGCAGACCCAGCTAAGATGGTAAATGACACAACTTGATTAACGCAACGCAAGTAACATCTACTAATTCAATTTTCTAACAGCGCAGAACTGGTGAGTAATTTCGGGAAACATCACTTATAGCGGTTTAATTTGGCTGAGAAAGAAGGTAAGACCTTATAAGTCTCGCACTTTTTCTAATGAAATACATAGCTTTAAATATTTATCAAATTTTCTTGAGAACAGTCTGTTACCGAAACTCAAAAGAGGCTAGAGAAATTTTTAGCCAAAAGCATTGGAGCCCTCCATCGGACAGAATCTAAAACTAATAATGACTTTCGTTTAAAAGTGATCTTCTACTTTAATTCAAATGAGGAAAAGATAAGAGTTCGCACCAATTAAATGACGTTCGTAACGATGTTGTCACAAAGCTCAAACGCTGAAATATTACATGTGAAGGTAGTATCGAAATTCATCGATGAAACCTTGAAAAAACCCATCAACCCGAAAACAAAAAGTTACTGACATTCGATGGTGGCCTTCTTTTAATGATATTCAACCATAAACTTACCGGATTGTTGCCCATCTTCCTTTACTAGTAACAAAAGAAGTGGCCTAAATTTTGGCCTGGATTCACGTTAGGTTTTATAATTTGAAAGCGCTCGACTTATCTTTGTAGGTGCTTACAACAAATTTTAGAAGATTCGTGTCCTGTTTGGAAGATGAAAGCACTGCAATCACGTTCTTTGGAGGCTCACTGCTATTCCAACCATAAAAATTAAGCATTTCTGACAATACCATTTAAAGGTTAATCAAAGAAGTGCTTTAGGTCCGTCTGAAACCCAGTGCGTCGAAAAACAATAAGGCAATAAAATTGTCAAAATAACATACAGTTGCCGTAAAAGAAAAAAGTCAATGCTTTTTAAATACAATGAAAGCTTACTACATAAAACAGTTAAAAACGACCAAATCTGAAACAATACCTTACATCTAAGCCTAAGTCATTCTTTCCAAAACATCACCAAACATTCTTTTTAGTTAATTTCCACAAAGAAGATAAGATTCCTAGCCGTTTATAAGAGTCTGTGATTGCAAATCTGGCAGGCCTGTAAATATTTCGGAGTATATGACAACAGCTTCCTAAAGATTTGCGTAAGACATATTTTGTTCTCCCACTTTTAGAGATTCCTCAGTTCCCCGTTCCCTATTATTTGGTTACCACTTTAGGAAAAATTCTTTTCAGACATTGTAAACGTGATTCTAGAAAGCGAAGGTTGATCTGTCTTACCTGCCCATCATAAAGTCCTGCGTCTTGAATAGTCGATGATGTATTTTTCAAAAGCTCATACGTGCTACTCATATACCTATTCCAAATTCTAATATCCTTATCTTCTGGTACGCTGAATGCAATTCTCATCTCTTGCATAACATCATCTGTTCAACAATAATTCAAAATCTATAACTATATATAACTTTCATGTATATCGAGGAAAAAACATTCTAGAATACGTTAATTGCTAAATTCAATATTTACAAGACGGATAAAGTAATTTTAGTAATATGTGTGCTTTCCAGTTTTATAACCCTCTGTGCTTTAAGTCAAGTAATGCTGTCTTATTTATTTCATTTTAATTCCTCTATAGCTTTCTCACAGGGATTCTCTTAACTATAGCAGATCAACTTAATATTCCCCTGCTCGTCTCATGAAAATATGGATCAAGATCATATTTTGTCACACGTAAGACAACCCTTAACATGACAGTTACATTCAAAGGAATTGTAAAATTCAAATACAATACACAAAGTGTGGTACAAACCTAAAGTAGCTGTTTTGCTAAATTCTTTCACGACACAGTTCTCCAATTCTGAATTGCGACAAAGCTTCAACTTAGGGAGGTACACTTCTACTTTCAAATCTTTGACATACTGCCCATGTTCTTGTACCTTCCTGGCCAAAGTTTTTGAGCCGTCCACCATACCATACCATTTCATTAGATCTTCCCATGCACCAATAGGCAAAAGGTGATAATCTATTTCTTCCATCATGTGATCTTTCAAATCATCACTTTTTGTAATGTCTTAGGAAAATAATTTAGAAAAAAAATTAAATATATCAAACAATAAATAGTAGATAAAAAGTATTTGACAAAGCAATACAAAGACATTACAGGCCTTTCCCGGGAAAGGCGGGCGATGCACTCACACGTGCTGGTACATGCCTTCCCATACATAGAAGTGTGTTTTATCGCACGCCAATTTTTGTAATCATTCGTTTGCTCTTTACGGCTGGTTCTTGTTCTAGTCAAACACGCGATTACAAGAAAATCTCCTATTCTTGAAGAAAAAGTTATTAAAGCGTAGGTCGTTTGAATCGTTTGAGTCGTTTGACGGTTTCCACTTGCAAAAATCATTCATGCGTGGGTATTTTGGGTCGCGGAATTTTTTCTACCTCTTCGACAACTGTCGTTTGAGTCTTTCGGGTTGTTGGAAGGTACGTTTCCACTGAGTCTTTTCAGTCGTTTGGGTATTTTCCATCCAAACGACCAAGTGGGAACCAGGCTTTATCCAAAGCGCTGAAAACTAATAAGGTAACAAAAAAACAAGAAATTGTTTTGTGTTTTTTAATTTTGATGTGTTTCATCGGTCTTGTCTACCGTACTGGTTCACCGTAATAATTTTGAAGAGCTGTTCTGTGGCTGTTGTGACGACATTTGAATGCAATCAAACACGGACCGTAGCACCGGGGCTAGAGTAGCCCGGTTAATTTCATTCTTACATCTAAGGGGGGCCCTAAGGCTGCAGAATTTCATTCGTACATCTTACAATTTGCAATCATCTTCGAGCCCAGCAATCGTAAAAACTAAGTCGCATTTTAATTATAGATCTGTGTTAGCATCCACATGCTTCCAGAATACCATTCTCGAATGGTAAATTAAATCAATTTTTCAACTCAAAGGCTTCCAGTTTGGACAAGATTTGTGCTGCATTTCTTTAAAATTTTGCGTCTTCCGCAAGAAAAGTAAAAGGGTTAAAAAGGAGCTCGCCATATTCTTGAATTAGTACAGCGATGAAATTTTAGTCCATAATTTATAAGTCCACGACAACAAGCAATATGTAACAAAGATATGGTGCAAGTTGTATGCGAAATATAAGATCATGCATCCATCTCATTCTAAGGAGCTGCAGTTTTTGTGTGAAAGCCTTTGCCGATGGCCCAGGCTGGAAAGCTCGCTTTCTGTATGCCATTGGTTTTACGCCAGTGATTTCAGGATCCAGTTCCTACCACCAGCTGAGATAAGTGGAGAGCAACGCAACGCTAAAAAACCCTCCTTAGAAGGGCTTACGCAACAGGGCATATTTGTCCAAAGAGAAGGTTGTCCCCTTCTTCCATAAATTGTTCAATTTTGTATCGTTTAAATATGAAAACGGAAAATGTTGGAAAACGGCAGGTTGTGACAAAGGCATTAAATTTTCAAGGGTTAAACTTGGAAACAGAACGATAGCGCTCTGGATTCAAAGAAAGGGACATCTGTAATAGAATTATTCTGTTTCAAGCGTCTTCATTGAAACTTTTCCTGCCGTTTTCAAATCGTACCATTTTCAAATCGTACCATTTTCAAATCGTGCCATTTTCAAATTGTGTCGTTTTCAAATCGTGCCGTTTTCAAATCGTGCCATTTTCAAATTGTGTCGTTTTCAAATCGTGCCGTTTTCAAATCGTGCCATTTTCAAATTGTGTCGTTTTCAAATCGTGCCGTTTTCAAATCGTGCCATTTTCAAATTGTGTCGTTTTCAAATCGTTCCGTTTTCAAATCGTGCCATTTTCAAATCGTGCCGTTTTCAAATCGTACCATTTTCAAATTGTGTCGTTTTCAAATCTTGCCGTTTTCAAAACTGTTTTCAAATCCCTATTGATGAGACAAGATTGAAAGTAGGGGCCAAAATATTAACATTTTCAAGGGTTTCATGAAGACTGCTACCATGGTTGGTGGCAAGAGGGATTGCCAAGAACTGCACCTAAGATGGATTGATGATAAATTCGATAATAAATTCTAAGATGATAAATTCAAGATGGATTGTCAAGGCACTTGGAAATACATTGATAAAAGGAAGTATTTGCAAGCAGCACTTTATCACCATAAGATAAAAGAACATGCATGTTAACATAACTAATAATGTGAGCATGACAATGGTAAGAACAAATTCTGTCAAAGGTTGCTAGATCTGCTACCTTAGAAGCTGCTGGCCAACAAAGGATTGAACCAAGATTCTTTTGTGGGTACTTAAGCAATAAGATCCGAGAGTGTTGGTCTCAGGACCTCTATATTCAAAAACCACACAGCTGAAAAACAGTTGCTTCTATTAGTAAAGTAAACAGGTCCTTGACCTTGCCCCAATTGTTTGCTATTAGATCTGACTTGGCATGTTGCTAGTTAACAGTAACAGTAAATCTTCAGGATTGCCATCTGCAGTTGGTTCCAACACCCTTTTGTTACTTGCTTTAAATTTCCTCCGGAGATATTAGTAAAATAGAAGCTAAAACAACTATACCTTTGAACAGGGGAGTGTTATCAATAGGGCCAGGGAACGAAATCTCTTTGCCTTTGTCTAAATCACAATAATCATTAAAGCCAACATATGACTGCCATTGCTTAAACCATCTTGTGCAGATGAGGTACCTGAGAGAGGAAAAAACCTTTGAAATATAGACAACCACTAATAGGTCCTCCAAAAAACGATGATGTCATTTCATTTTCCCCTACACATATGACAAACTTCTTGGATTAAGCAAAGATAAATGCTGCCACAGTCAAAGAAAGATTTTAGATTTGAAAGAACTGCATCACTTTGATTAACAATAGTTCTTGTAGAATGCTAACAACCATCCCTTTCAATCCAGTGCAGATAAGGTCTGCATGAAAATACTTACCTAAATCAGCCGTGGGCTGGCAGAAATTTTCCAACTTTTGATAACTCTTAGGTTGCCAATGCTTGTGAGGTGAGTTTATGGGTTCACAAAATAATTCTTCAAAAGCAAGGCAATTTTTTGAGGAAGTGGTTATGTTTAAAGCAGGGCTGGAGAAGAGGGGGCTCAGCCCCTTCTATATTTCAAAGAAAGGTTGCAACCCCTCCTCTTTTTTCTGGCTAATTCTAAAATAACATATCTAATTTCTGCCAGGATGAAATCTTTGATTGAACTGATATTAAATTTTCACATTTGCATTCATGAGTGATCTCAAAAGCCCTCTTGATAACTGAAAACTCAACAAATGCTGGCAAAATACCCAAGCGGTAGGTAGACATTGGAAGATGATTTAACTCTAGAAAGAATCAAAAGGTAAATAGATTGATATTGAGAAGCCATGCAAACGAAAACAACTGAAACATTCATTTTGTATACCACATAGAGAAAGCTCTATGGCCCCCCACATTTTTTGCTACTGGTTTAATGATGCAAAAGTTTCTTGTTGGTGTGTATTTGGCATCAAAATTGGCATGTATTCAAGGACTGCCATATCATTGTGAAAGGTAACCTGGTCAATCATTCTTTGAATATAAGTTATGATATACCCAACATTAGTAATGATAGAATAGAACTTATAATAACAATAATGGATAGAATCATGTGCTATAGAACATACCCTGCTTCCAAATATGCTATGGGCTTTTTATGTAATGTTCAAATTTAAAAAAACATTGCCAAGCAAAGGCATTTCAAATACAGTGAATTTTATAGGACAAAAAATTCCCCATTGCAAAACCAGCAATATTTTCTCCAAATCAGGTTTAAATGATGACTTCTGGGTAAATATAAATTTTTTTGTGGACTTCCTTTATTTTTGCAAGTTCGTAGCAGAGTCTTGTTTAAAGAGACAATAGACTTTAAAAATTGGGGTATACATTTTTGACATCCCACTCCATTTCTGGTCTGCTGCGCAGAAGGAAAGGGTTTGATGTTATCTTGCACTTCTCTTTCAGGGCTGGTTAAACTAGCTGACTCAATCGGTGACTGTCATTTCTTCTTCTTGTAAAGGTAGATGGAGGATGCGATGGACCATTGTAGTGGAGGTGGAAGAAAAAGAAATGTCTTCGCTCTTGATATAAACGAGCAAACCTTGTTGACTACATTTTGACATGCTCGCACACTCACATCATTTCTTGCAGCATTGCTTTCATCAAAATCATACCCCAATATTTCTGCCCTTGTCTCGTTTGACACAAAATTTTTGTTCCCACAAAGTACATAATCTCTACATAGACTGACCTCAATGCATTCAGGAAACACATAATAATTATAGTTTTTGCATAAGTGCCTCTTTAAGAGCACTTTCACTGCTGTGAGAAATCTTACTGTCTTTTGGACCAAAATAATTCAAATGACTATATTGCCCTGCAATCACATACACTAGTATAACCCTTTTTATCCTTTCAAGCTTCTCAAAACTACTGCTACCATAATAAACTTAAGAGCTGGATGCAACAAATAAAGTTTTTTGGAAAAAGTCAAATTCCAGCTCTCAATGCCTAGAAAACAGCAAGAGCTTTTGTTTTTCAGTTGAAAAAAGTGATCACTGTCTATGAAAAACAAACAATGTTAGCTAGCCTAGCCCCAGCAATTAGAGTTATTTGAATCAGGAAAATCTGAATTTGTAAATCAGCAACATGCCAATCTTTCAATTCTGTAAAAGCACCCCCTAGCTTTCAACACCAAAGAAGACCGAAATCAGTCAAGTTAACAAAGAACATTTCACTCAACCCAGTCACTCTATACCAAAACGTTGAAAGCCCTTCTGGGAGTTTGGGTAGACTAATTAGCAAACAAATTGCTTCACTTCCTCCAGGCTCCTATAAAACCCTCCTTTCTTGCTTTCAAAGATTTTGGTAAATGCACAAGAGACGTATGAATTAGGAGCATCTGCATTGTAAAGTATTTGAATTTACCAGGTTTCTCCTTTTTTAAGAGGCTCTTTCAAATATTCCGAAATAATCTCCTTCTGCTCGTCAATCGAAGGTGGCTCCTCCAGGCTAGGCCCATCCAGTCTCTCGTTCTCATCCATACTTTTCGGCGTTTCCTCTGAGTGTATAGTCATTTCAGGGACTTAAATTTCACGTGTTAATTTTAGAAGTAAATTGCTTTTCTCAGCTCGGCACAGCCATTTGCTTGATTGCAAAAGGCGACTTCCACTATTACGCACTAAACCTGCGACAACCCAACGAGAAATCAATCATTGAGGACTAGGCACTAGTATCGCTGGTGCGTCGAAATCTGATGCGAGGCCATGTGATCAAGCTCCGACATTCCTCGAAGTTTTGCATTGGTATTCTAGGCTAGTACTTCCAGGGTTGCAGTGGGAGCTAATTTTTTGGGGCTCGAGGTGAAATTTTCCGACTTACCCCAAAAATAAGCAAATTTTTCTGAACAATTTCGTGATTGAAGAAGGCACACCCCCACCCTTCGAGCCACCGTAAATCTCCAGTCACAGTCAAACTCCATAAATACAGTATACAAGGTTGCATGCTGTACAATATTAATTATTAAGTCACAACGTGCTATGCTCAAAATTTCTCTAATAAATTAGCTATTTTTTCTAGTACAATTTTACTTTAATTCCTACTTATAAGCATTTATGACGTTGGCCCATGAATGGATCTTTTCCGTGTTTATGAAAAGAATGATGAAAATAATGAAGATTTTGACGAAAAAAATTCAAATTTACTATTGACTTTAAGTAGGAAACTAAAAATTTTCTATTTTAAAAAGCTTCGATCGAAATAATTTTCCAAGAACCTGATTACAGGAATTTATTTTTGCTACAAGCGATCTGGCTGTTAAAAGTAAAACAATGCTCCCTTCAAACGAGCGAGTCACCCGTATGCAGTCACATACATACAGGCAAACGATTAAGATTCGGACAATTTATATTCCATATGGTAATACAAACATTTCTGAAAATATTCATTTTCATAAGAAACATTTTTAAAAAACACATAACTGAGGCCGGTGAGCAGTTAGAAACTTTCAGTAATAAGGCAGCAACGACAAAAAAGCAAATATATTTTTGTCGAAGGTTTTATATCAATCATGCACACAATACTAATACAGTAAACCAGAATATCTTTATGTAAGCGTTTCATAATCAATAAAAAGCATAGGTTTATGTTATTTATAACTACCAATACCTGTTAAATATATGGATGGGTGATAAATTTGTGTAAATTCTTCTAACTCGGTTTTGTTAAAAGAGCGAAAGATATCAGTCAAAATATTTAAAATGGCATTGATGGGTTCGAGGAGCTCCCTGAGCAAACAAATAACTGTGAAAAATTCGCATGTTTCGCACACAAATTCAATTTCTCTCTTAAAATATAAAGGATCCCCAAATTTGCTTTAGTCATTTCCCCATAGAAGTAATTAAAAATCCCTTTTCTTGGAAGGGTTGAATATTGCAGCTAGATACTTAGATTTTCGTCCAGATCCACAACGAAAGTTCTTAAGCAAAAATAAAAAGCCAGCACGTGCAAACTGAACATTTCCTTGTCCTAGTGTTTCCAGTCTCCTCTAAAAGCAACAAAATAGTACTAACAATTGTCAATGATCGCTAGAATTATTCTGAACACAGAGCCATTGGGAAAACCCAGAAATGTCGATAAATGAAACAAATAGGTAATTGACGGTTTCTTTCAAAACTCCGCAGACGAATAAGTACCTAAGAAGTTATCTAAACTAATTTTGACGTAAATGAGTGATTGTGGCTAAAAATGAATACATTTTCACGATCCAATCATTAAATTGACAAAAGCTTGCCAGTTTTACATCACACGGTCCAACAATCCATTCTTCTTTGGCTCTAGTAGCTCATCTATTATACATTTTACCAAATCTTCCAAAGACTTCTTCACCGCATCTTCTTCCGGTCTGAAAGTAATAAAAATCCAAACTTACTTCCTCCTTTTCTCTGCTGATTTAAAGGCTGTGTTAGTATTACTTCTAAACAGCAAAAGATTACAGAAATAATCTGCCAATATATGACAAGAATAAGAAAATCTATCAAGCCGTGTAGTCCATTGAAAAATATCTTCAGCCAAAATGGTACTGATACAGTTAAATGTTTGTTCACACGAAAAGGAATTTATTTTTCGGACAAATGTTAGCGACAATCATTATTGCATATCAAGAAGATGATGTTAGAAGCTATGTCCTGAATTCGCTCTTCACATATTCAACTTATTCACGGTCACTGCAACACATTCACGGTAAATGGTGCCACAGAAACACTAAATCCCAAATGCAAAGCTAAAAATTCAAATAAACCACTGCAAAAATTGCAATAATTTTTTCTCTCTATTTTATCCCTTTTTTAAATTTTTCAGCTGCAATCAAAATATTAGAACATACTTTTCGTCTGGTTTTGAACATATTTCCGTGTAGTATTTGATTTTTGGTTCTGTTCCACTTGTTCGAATTGTTGCTGTGACGCCATTCTCAAACACAAAAGTTATCATCTCGCTCGATCTACTTGTAGGCAAAACCTGTAAATCAAAGCGGATATTCAAACAAGAAAAAACAGCTATAAGATTACAGTTTCGAATCAATTATAGAATTGAGGTACAGATTATACTCGGGTATGAAGAATATCTTACTTAAAGGCAGTTAAAGCCGCAGCGCCAGATAACAAGCTACGTTTCATACGAGAAAAAGCAAATTGAGATAAGTCAATACGAGCCATAAGATCGATTTATAGAGTATCTTGCCTATCCCTGATTATATCAGACGAATCAGGAACACATTGGTACTACGACCTGGTTTGCGAACAATTCTAAGTATGTAACAAGTTATTAATGCAAATAATCTACCATCATAGACATTATAAGGACTGCAAGACAACGTCGCAGCCATAAAAAGTGACAGTCGCTTGACTGATCACCAAGATGAAGGTTTTTGAAAACAAAGAAATTTAGCTGCCACAACCAAAAAACCTTTTTCATTATTTTTGAAAAGAGGTTTCAAAATCTTGGCGTTTATGCCAGAAGAGAGATGGACATTTCTATGGACTCTGACAATATAATGGCTTTCAACAGAATCCGAGAAAAGGCATGGGTTCCGAGTGAATATCGAAAAATGCGAAAAAATGCGAAAATCAAAATAATGATCAATGAAATAATAATAAAAATAAAAATAACAATAATGAAGTATTCCAATGACTTGTCTATCAAACGGGTCGATTTCCTAGCTCAAAGTCAAATCAAGCATTGAAAAATTATTTATTGCCCGTTTGGAAAATATTGTAGACAGATAGAAACGCCGAATTCAAATTATGTGGACTAGTTTGAAGAAACAGTGTTTGAAAAAGCAAATGCAAAGAATGTAGAGACCTTCATGAAGTGATAGAAGAATAAAATAACTGAGATATCATGGGAACATATTTTGCGCGCGTTGGGAGGAAAACAAGATGAAAGAAATAATATGACAGCTGAAGGAATTACTCGTACCGGTTTTTTGTCCGAATTTAACTGAGATATCATGGGAACATATTTTGCGTGCGTTGGGAGGAAAACAAGACGAAAGAAATAATATGACAGCTGAAGGAATTACTCGTACCGGTTTTTTGTCCGGTTTTGTGGAGTCGTAACCATCACCAGAGAGATCCCTGATGCTTGAAATCTTAACACCACCGATTTGGCTAGGATACTGGAAAACAAACAAAACGGGTTTACAGAAGCTGCAAAAATAGATATGAGATTGAATACAGTATAAATATATATCCAGTGTATCATCAGGGTTTTCTACACCAGGGAGTAGAATTAGGATTCGCCTTATTTGGTTTTCGAAGTTTTTCACCCTGCTTGCTTTTGCTTTTGGACTTCAGCCAGGCCTAATACTCAAAACAAAGCATGCTTTCTTTTTTTGTGTTTTGAGTAGTAGCGAGGATAGCTCAGCCGTAACGGTCGCGGACTACAGATGAAAGGGGCCTGGGGTTCTAGTCCTTGACATGACAAAACTTTCAGGGGAGTCGCCAGCTCTCTGCAATTCCTGGCGTAGGAATCACGAAGTGTGGACACAAGGAGAGGGAGGACCAGGACACTGTTCGATAAGCATCGCTTCTCAGTCTCCTAAAAACTACTTTCGGATGCTAGGTAGAAACAAACAAATACAAATACATTACTTCTAAATGGGTTGTAAATCACAAAAAGATTTATAACTTGAGCAGAAAAATAAGTTGGCTTGTGGTAGCCTTGAAATGATAGCACAAAATCGATGAAGTTATATTATTTAGAAAGAGCGACATTTGCCAGTAGTTGGCAAAAGAAAGCAAATGACAGAAGAAGGTTACATAGCTAGAATTCTACACACAGTTCTGTGAGCACGGCACTGAGCATTTTTCAACAGGCCGGTCAATATTAATCTTCATTATCTCAGAAACTAGGTCATTTCTGCGAAGTAGTTGCAAATAGACACAAAAATTCCCCTTCTCTTAAACGCAAAAGCTGTTTGATTGTTCCTTATTGTTCACTGTTGAGCTCCTGGTTCGTGAATTTTTCATGCCTTTAATCTCCTCAAAACCACTAGAAAGTGGTTTATGATGTCACGCCCAGTTGAAATGCTAACTTGATACGCGAACGTTGCGTAGAGTGCTTTTCAGCTGTTTCTCGCCCTCCAGGTTTCATTGAATTCATTGTAATTTTTCCGCATCGTTTATCAATGCTACCCAATCAGTAATGAGAGCTGAATGAATGTTTGAAATTACTTTTGATTCCTGGGGATGGGGGGGGGGGATATAAGACGTCTCAAATCTTAATTTATCGCAAAAATGCCACATGGTTACGCGAATGGCTTCGTTTTTGACGGAAATGCTTAGTCTCTGAATACCAACATTTTTACTTCATGTAGCATAATAGATTTTTGATTACAAAAAAACTAATCAATGGATAAAAAGGATACCCACAGAGCCATTTTCCATTGTTTTGATTCTTTTAAAAATACTATCGATTGTTGGCTTTGAGTGACATATGAAGTATGAGTTGTTGCTAATGTGTATGCCATATCTGAAAAATGAGTCAACATAATAATTTATTATACCTGAATGATGCGATAAATGGAATAGAAAATCACCGTACTTTTTCTTTAGGAACGAGTTACAATCAGTGGAAACAAGCTGATATATTTCCTACCATTTTCTGGTGAGGCTGAGAAATTTTAAGGAATTGTTATATGGGATCTTAAAAACGTGAGATAAACCTTTGTCACTCGGCTTGTTGCAATAACAGCATCAAAATCATATAGAAAGGAAAGAAGTTGGAGGATCAAGAAAAGCACAAATCTTACTTTTGAAACAAAGTTCTTAAATGTGAAGTTACTGTTGATTTTTCATTATAAATATAGGAAGCCATCTCAGCCATGACTGCTGCAGCACATACACCATCTTTATCTAGAACTTGAGTGCCGTACATAAAACCTGAAATAAAACAACAAAAATTTGTAATTTGGCAGTTGCTGAAAATGGACCTGAATACAGTATAGATATGACAGTCCCAAATTTGGAATGGCCGGATAGGATAAATATTTTCGTGTAGCAAGTTAGAACCGTCCCATTTAAACACCAAAGGGTATATTATATGGTTAGTATCTAAACTGTGATTGAAATCCAATGTTACGTTATGAAATAATTTATCAAAAAAGTTTTCATCGCTCTGATGTGCAACGACGGACGAGACATTTGTTCAAAAAGCTTCAAACGCTGAAACATACTAGAGAAAGACACCCAATTTAAAGATCTATGCATAATGCTTGAGATTAACCCAAGGAGAGGATCTCAGATGCAGAGGAAAATTCGACGAAATTGTTGAAACTACTTAAATCTCAGAGAACTACAGACTATAGATCATTGAAAGAAAAGAACATTATTGATATATGAATATTCGAATGTACCTATAGCCTCTTCAAAGGCAAATAAGACGCGCTTCCCTTGGCTCATCAAGTCAATTGCTTTGTTTGCCATCCATTTAAAACCAGTTAGGGTTTCCTGCATACATAAAATTTACTTTTAAATCTGCCTACGGTCTTTCGAAAAATATCATTAAATACCAATGGCAGGAGAAACACACGAAAAGAGCTGAATCGAACCCTTAATTGAGTAGAACCCTGCCCGAAGTTCTGAAACCATGTATGAAACTTTCCAGACAGAAGCACCCCATCGAATAATCCTCCCCTCATTCATTTAGGCACCCATCCAATTAGCCCCCCATTCAATAAGCCCCAAAATAGCCAACAGCTTTAACTAGGAACTCAAAAAAATATACCTCCACTTTAAAGCCTTCGACAGCACCTATGGCCTGTAATATCTTTGACGAAACGGTACTGTGAACCATGTAGACAGAATCACCTTCGTAAGCAAGATTTTGAAAAATCATAGCATGATACTAAGATTGGATAGTTTGAACAAATTCACATTTTTATGCAATATAACTAGGTACAGCATTGCTAAGGATCAGTTACTGTCAATAGATATCTATGTATTGTAACGAAAAGTAATTGATATTAGTGCCTTATTTGCCTTCCCAAAAAACGCAACATTGATGCAGGCTGTTCAATGATAATATTGATAGCACCTGTTTTTAAGCTTTTTACCTGGGTAGGCATCGGGCATAAGTCTCTTGTGGTTGAAAACTGCCCACCAGCCCAATAGACATCCGATTTCATTTCCAGTAAAAATCTTCCAAGCTCCTCTACATGAAGAAAACCATGAGAAATTGTATTAAAGCTTTTAAGTTGAAATATGAAGACAAAACAACAATTCTCTTAAATATTTTGAAAATTTTTACTTCAAAAATAGTGTTGCTTTCTGTACCCAGACAAAAATAAAATCTAAGAAACTTTCTTGCCAATATTCAAATCTCAACAAATCCTTACAGTTGTAGTTGATAAATTGTCATTAGCTGCAAATGTACTGTGCAAGTGAAAGAATCTTCTCGAGTCTTTAAAGCAATGGTAATTAATCGTGTTACATCTTACACCAGTAGTAGACATTTGGTTTACATAATGGTACTTTGCATAAAAAGTGCAGGAAAAAGACTTTCAAAAACAGAGAAGAAAATTGTAATGAAAAATGGGAAACAATATTGGAGTCGAAATTTTCCTTTGACATGGACGATTCTGGATATGAGCGACCACGATCTACGCGCACGCGCGTCATCTGTATCTCTAGGATCACTTCTGGCATCTGAATCTGACGGATCAATTTTTCACCAAATTTTGTCGACACGCAAGATAAATAGAATAGAAAAAATAGAAATAGATAAATAAAAAGCAACTTATGAAGAGAATAGAATAGATAAATATAAAGCAACTTACGAAGGCAACTTCTCAGCTATAGCAAGTCGGTCTGCATCCGGATCATTTGCAATTATCAAAGGACTATTGCACTCCTCAGCTCTTTTGATGGCCAAGTCCTAGTGAAACAAATAGGTTGGAAAGAAAGACATTGCCCAATAGCAACCACATTGGCTTGTAACGTGAAGGTTTAGCCGAGACTGAATGCTTTGAGAAAACAGACAAGGTTCTTCAAAAAATATCGCAAACGTCAACAGCAAGAGCCGAAATTGATCACATTTTAATATCGACAAGGGGCCCACCCCCGAACCACCCTTGACTTTAGCTAATTATAATCGGTAATACCTAACACTGAAGTAAACTGCATTATCTCTACATAATATTTAATTCTGATTTTAAAAAAAGTCAATGACACCTTATTCGCGAAAATATTGCCAGAAAAAACAAGCAAACTATTTGAAATATCCTACTAGTGCACTTTTGCCTTCCTCTGGGTTTGGAAATTTGACTGTCGGAAAATCAGGATCTGGATCTGCCTGGAAAAACAAGAAAATACGGGCTATGAAAAATTTTATATTTGTTTATTTCCTTTTCCAGAACCAGAGCCAGAACAACAATTAAAAAACAAATTTTTGAGCGTCTTTATTTACAAAAAATCCAACCAATTAAGAAGTGCGAGTGTACTGCACGTCGTTTGAGTTTCCATGAAGCTCACCTATTTGTGATGAATAACAAAATTTGAATAAGAATTGAAACAAGAGAGGTTGTAAGGCGAAACCTGTTCTCCAACAGTCACGAACGGCTTCAAAGAGAATGCTCTGAAGGCATTTTCAGCAAAACGTTGTCCCACTCCATGCATAGCAGTGTACGTGATTCTCAATGGAGTTTTCGAGTTCATTTCCCTAAAACGCAAAATGATTGCTAGCTAGAGGTAAACTATTCAAGTAAGCAGGAGAAATATGGATTGACAATAGCATAGCTACAAACATGATAGGATATAGAAAAATGTTCACTCTTTCCCGAACAATAACAGGTTATTTTGAAAGTCTTTCAAAACGGACAAGGAAGTGGCAATGCGATTACCTGCATGCCCACTTAAGACATAACAAAATGCACTTGAGAAAACATCAGAAAACATTAACTGAAAGCTACCAAGAACAGATATTCTCAAACAAAAATAAACTGTTCTTCCTTTTCGAAGAAACATTTCAAGAAGATTTTTACACCAACTGTCGCCCAAAACCAACAAAACAGGCGAGATTCTGAAGGTAAACAGAGACGAAATAGAATAGTATGGAAAACAAAACAACAACAGCAAGCCTGTCGGCTATCTACCTGAAATGGCAATGTTCTTGGATCTCCTTCATGTAAGATTCTAGAACTTGATATAGTGGATCAATACACAGAGGACTTGTCTGATGGAGACCCTCATCCCATGATTCTTCCCAGGGCTCGAGATTCTCCATTATACAATTCGATATTCCTTTATCGTGAGGAGATATTATCTAGAAGAAGAAAAATAAAGAAAATATATTGGATGTACTTAGTGGCTACTCTGAGTTAATGCGATCATCAGGTAACTTTAAAGCTCTTCCTATGCGACATTTTATCAAAGACTGGTAAACAGAAATTTCAATATTAAGAAAATTATGTTTAGATAAATCTTTGATACACTGTAGTAATAACCCAGCAAATGGAAAGTCAACAGTAAGTTTGGGCATGCAGCTTAGCAACCAAATAGGATCTTAAACACCATAGCAGCAATGATTGACACCATAAGCTTCAAACATTCTACAAGGTACCAAGGATTATATAATATTCAAAAATTGACCTGAAATACGTATGAAAGCGTGACTTAAAAAAGTATGACGAAACCAAAGATCAGATGCTGTAGGTCAATTATACCATACCCTGGCACCCAAATTTTCCTGGTTATGATGAAAACTTTTAAAAACTTTTTGCCACCCTTCACTAGCGACATAAGAATATATGCACTTGAGACATATGCTCTATCTTCACTAGCAATATATGATAAGCGTTACTTCAAATTTCAAAGAAAACTATACTGAAACTTTTTACTTATGTTATCTACTAACAAAAGTCTTACTTTAAAGCAAATAAGAAGTTCAACAGATTTATAAAGCAACAAATAAGATGATCGCTTCTTTACCTGGGCACCATTTGAATAATAAACCTGCAAAAACAAAGATTGATTCATTGGACATAAGCAATTCCCATTTGATTGTATCATTAAATGCCATGTTCTCGATAATCTAAATAATAAGAATGCCGAAATTTTGTAGTATAAATTCTTTGAGTAAGCAAATTTTCTGGAGAAGTAATTAAAACATATGTGTTGAAATATACGAATATAGAACTATTTATATATTTATACGATAACCAATTTCAGATTTATATATATAAATATCTATCTTTAATACACTAGCTGTTTACTTCCTGATCTTATGCCGTTCGAACATCATTTGGAAATGAATTATACATAAATATCATTCCGACTAAAACTTTACATTTTCACAGTATTCAAGATAAAAAAACCTTTAAATATCTAACAAATCAGCAACAATACAGGAAAAAGGTCTGTTAAATCGCTTTTTTGGTGATATCTCCAAAAAGCGACGCACATAAGTTTCGGAAGATTCTTAAAGAAAGTCATTAGTATAATTGGCCTCTTCTAAAAACAGAATCTTCCCTAATTGCGAGGAGTCTTTCCAACCACTAATTCTTCAGAGCATCTGTTCTAAGGGAAACTTGAATAGAACCTACAGGTCAGCACCGCATTTTCAGCTATTTCAAAACCGAGGTTCACCTCAAGACATTACAAAATCCTAACCTTATAGCCGTTGTCTTCTTTGGGATTATGGGATGCAGTAACCATGACACCAGCTACGCACGAGTACTTTGTTACTGCATATGGCTAAAATGTAATAGAATTCATGTTCACTTGTGTAACCCTACAAAAAGCTTGCAATCAGCTTGTAAAAATGGAGGGAACATATCATTCTTAGATAGCTATACTTGCTCTTCAAATTGACAATAGGAACTTGCAAGAGAGAAAGTTTTACAGAATTATTGTAATAGGGACTTGTAAAAAAAGATTGAGCTAACAAACGATTATAAAGCCTTGAAAAAGTGCATCAATTGTTTAAGCTTATCGAGGTTCAACCTGCAAAAGACGAGATTCCATAAAAAAACACCAAGATATAAGTAAAAACGTAATAGGCTAGATTATACGAAGATCAATTGTATGCACTGAACAAATGAGCAAAATAGCATGAGCAAATACAGACTTACCACAAATGGAGTAGGAACGATATCAGAAAAGAGATAAACTTTGATATCTTGACTCAGGAAAACTGCAGAACACAAGCGAGCAAACCTACAAATTCAAAATATTTAAATTCAAAGTAAAAATTCATAGTTACATAGATAACTCAAGGGTTGTCTTTTTTTCTAGACAGATCTGGGAGGCACAGAAAAAATCAGAACATTTGATTTTTAAATTTCTAGCGCTACAGAAAATGAACAACTGTGATCTAGGGGCACTCTTGTTGCAAACAATTTATTTGCTGATTTTGCTTACGAAATTGGAAATAATGACCAGAGCCGTCGCTACGGCGAGTTGTGGAGGAGGGAGGGGGCTGAAATCACCTTTGGAAAAATATTATGTTGCAAAAACGAGGAGTTTTTCGCCACGTGAGGGTTTCTTCGTCTGCAAAAAAAGGATGGCTCACCCACTTTGCCAGAAAATAGGATCTGAGCACCCCTTGATATCAATAGCTGGCGACAGCCCTGGTTATGATGTCACAGGAATGAAACATTGAAGAGACACATTACTAGCTAAACAATTTAATTTACCTAGCCAAACTTTGCAGAGAATCCCAGTTCAGAATAGTGTTTGAAAAGCAGATCAAACATTTCATTATCTACAGCCCTTTTATTTTTAATATATTCTTTTCACAAGATGAATCTATGAGTGGGGACTAAAACTTGACCTCTCTTTTGCATTTAGACATACAAACTTCTCGAAAAATCTAACCACTTGAGCATGACTAATCCTTTACTGGGTCATGTTTGACGGTAAGTGACATTATTCATTAGAACTTTGGGGAATCCATGTGAATGATATAATAGATGAGGTCATAAAACAAAAGATCTTAAATACCTGTGGCTACCGTGCCTTGCATCATGTCCAATGACTATTCCTCTAGAGCTGATATCATCAAATTCCTTCAACAAGTATTTACAAAGACCCTGAAAAAGACATTTAAAATCATCTAACTAGAAAGCAACATTTTCTTATAAAAATCGTTGGAATTGTTAACTATTTCTTAAGAACTATCAAAAATTGCCAGAACTATTAAGAATTTGGGTACAATGAATCTATCTTTAAGAGATAATACATTAAGGATATAAAGTAAGTAGCATTAACATAAATAATTATCACAATGGCCAGAGAAATACTACATGCAAAAGGAACAAGCAGATTTATGTACTAAGAGTTTCATCATGGGAAATTAAACAATGTACATTGTATACTGTATTACCACTTTCATTTGGAATATGCTGGACAAAATGTTGACAAGATAAAATTTAATTCTCACTGCATTAATATGTGCATAGAAATGTGAATACTAATTAATGCTTGTAAAGAAACAGAGGATCTAGCACTGTTTCACATTATAAATTATGTATACCAGATAAATAGAGATCTAAATCAAGACCTACAGAAGATCTTAATTTAAAGATGAATCCTAAGCTGTCTTAAAGTTAAGACTTAACAGATTAGCTTCCAAACTTGGCAAATACTTTGAAAAAAATTGGCACAGACATACTCAACTAAGGCAAAAGCCATACACAGATGACTGAACATTATTAATTCAAATTTCATGATATTTCGACATGTATTCTTTATGTGCTAGATTTTATTATTTTTTTAAAGCCATTTTCAAATTTTGTACCACCAAAAAAGGTTCTAGCTCTATGATGGATGTACCCAAATGAACATTTTCAGATGTTGCAATCATATTTTTTCCGCTCTAATGTTTTATAATACCTTCAAATTGATTTTTTCCCCTGAACTTTCACTTGTTAGATTCTTTCAAAACCAACATCCTAAGAAGGAGGTTGACTAAATACCTTTGGCTATTGTCTGAATTTTGGGCAGCTTGAGTCACTAACTACCATCTCTTCGCAAATAATGCTGTTCTGTTATAATTTGGAAAGTTGACAAAAAATAGCTTGACCAGCAAAAACCTCAGTGTAGGTAGTACTATTGTTACTTCAAACCTATCACCTCGCCTCCAAAAGGGGTATTTAATTGGAGGTGAGCTCTTGCACACTCATGTATAGATGCTACTGGGTTGATGACATTAACATATTATTTGTCTACCTGTTTACTGATGATGGTTCAAAGCGATTTAATTCAGGATGTCAAAAAATATGAATAAATAGCAAAAATGACTGTTTCATTTATAGGACTGGTTTGATATGAATTTAGTTGTCATTAGCAAATGAAGAATGCATTGCACAAAAATATTAACTCTATACTTTCTACTTGATTTCCATAGGACTTTGAGCTCCATTTCTATCTTACAGATGTTGGCTTTATATTGAAATCTAAAGCAATAATCAACTAAATCATTGATAACAAAACTGGTTGCTCGAATATCATTCCCAGGTTTGAAGCTTATTCAGTCAACTAATGTCTCTGTTGATGATAAGAATTGACAAGCAACATATCAAGAAAGAGCATTTGCTGTTGATATCAAGCCATTTGGTAGAGCATTTGATTTAAAACCTAGAGATACAGAATTTATGCAATTTTTTGGTCTGAGCCATCAGTGAGTACCTGTTTCAACTGCACCACTAAAAGATCTCGAAACTGACAAAAAAATTGAAGAAATAAGCATAAAAGAGGATTACTAAGGAGACAAGCATACAAATGATCATTGCAAGGTTTGGAATCTATTTTAGTAGATAACAAACTTAACCCAAACCAGGAATTGACAAAATATATTTTACTTGGGATGTCTGAATGATGGTGAGGTCATTCATGCATGCAAATCCTGCTCCAAGAGTTGAACGCAGTCCTAAAGAAAATATCAAAAATAATGCACGATTCAATATAAATTGATAATATTTACTCTGTTGGATACAGCACAAAAAATAAGGACTGTTTCTGACAAAGTCTAAAATTATGATTCTCATTTATCACAATCTATTTATATGCATTAAATGTCAACATTTTATATGGCTTGCTAAAAATAAATCATTTGATGAGAAAAAATAATATAATGCAAACAAATTAAGGAGCTTAAGCTGAAAGATAAATAAAAATAATTTCACAAAATAATTCCACATTTTCACATAAGGAATTAGCAAAGTTCACACATCACTAATTAAAATGTATGAAAGATTTGCCCACAACAGATATATTCTTGTTGAGGGATGGATAAAAAAGGATCCATTTAAGGCAGAGATTTGGTTGGTCCTAAAAACATGTCATTTGGCACAAACCACTTATATGATAAGTATATTTTTACCAGCTGTTCCAAACTCCATTCTTTTCTCAAATATCTTTGCAAGCTTTGCATGGTTCTCATCCCTAATTAGAGACTTTACTTCTTCCAAGGTTTTTGGGTTCTAAAGAAAATTACAAGACTCAATATATATGAATATAAAATCAAATTTAAAAAAACACTGCACTTCTTCTACAGTTTAGGAAAGACTTTAATGAATGATTCATTTTATCTATTCAAAAGCCCTTAAAATGTCTCGGTTATAGTACAAAAACTTAAACAGGACTCAATCCTATTTTGATTGTTTTAGACACTTTCCCCAGCCCAGCCATGCCTATCTTGAAATTAAAGTTGTGATTGAACCTTTCTGTTAAAAAAATATGTGCACGCCTTTTGATCAAGCAAAATTAAGCTGTAGAAATGTTAGAGTGCCATGTTCACCGAATGTTGATTTGTTCAAGTATGATTTGTTAATCATTTTGTTTGAATCGCTACTTGTGTAGACAGACATATTTCATTGTCAGCAACTTTACTTTCTAAGCCATTTATGATTCCTGACCTCATGTAATCGTTTTTTCTATGCCAATGCTAAAAAATCTTAAATGACAAAAAATTTCATCAAGACAAGTAAATAAAACCAGGGAATGCAAACTACAGTTGCAATATCCAGCTGATTTCTTGAAGGTTATCAGTGAAGTAGATCTTAAAATTATGAAAAAATTATGAATTTTTGTTGTGTCGTTGTTTTGTCATTTCTGAATATGTTCACCTAATGGATAAGGGATTATAAATTATCAACCACCTAACTTGCACACTGTTTTCTCAAAAATAATAAGAAACTCTCCACACTTAAACCTAAATTTTCTAGAAATCTCTCCCATTTGCACTTTTCCAATGTATCATACAACTTTAATATGAACAGGGAAACATTGTTATTAAAGAAAAGTGCAGTATTTTGTGTGAGAAGAAGTGCAGAAGCTTTTGTTGGACTTAGTGTGCTTATGTTGGGGTTATTCTATCAAACCAACTAAGCAGCTAATAAATCCGTATGAAACTTTCGTTACCAACAGCGATTTTAGAAAAACGTAAACTGGCCAGTTGTCGAGTTCGTAGATTAAATGGCGTTATGGAAATAGAAAACTTTGTGACGAAGAAGGCATAAACCATACTGGCATTATATTATCATTGATAAAGGAAGTAGGTGGAATATAGCTGACGAGCAAATCGAATTTTTCGGCGATGTCTGTATTTCTGACCGCATTGATGACAAGATCATCATCGACAAAACAAAGAAAGAAAATAGCGACCCGATCTATATTATGTACTACCCAGACAGTAAATTATATCTCTTTGCCTCATACACTGCCGTGGTGTTTATCTTCCGGGCTGTTTTAAACACGGACACGAGCCCTAGAAAATTTTGAAATCTTATTTGCTTTTACAGATGTATGCAGCAAAATAGAAAATACGCATACACATAAACTCATATTCAAAATATATCAACATCATAGTATGATATAATCACAAATTACAACCCAGTTTTTCTAATAATTTCGTAAAAAGCAAAATAATTATTACACTGAGTGCAAATCAAGCAGATAAATCCTTCTTGTTACCTTGTCCCAATTAAGCCATTCTTTGATTCTAACGTCTATTTCGCTGTTCCCTGTGCAAAATTTAGAAATCAGATCCTCTTCCATGCTTTTATACCCCTCGTCGTTCACTCCGATTCCAACACACACCTCCCCAAAGAAACAACCAAAACTTATTGACACATAGCAGAATTAACGCACACGAGGTAGGAGCACAGAATTTCGCACTCAAAACGAGACTGAATTCAGGCCAGGTGGAGAGAATCAGTCAAGACGATTTATTGCTTTTTGTTCTAAAGAGATGGAAAGTTGATTTTCTTGTCTTTGCTATGTTGTTGATTTGTTATTTGCCTTTTACTTTCCGTTGCCATCGAAAGTAGACTTCTTTTGCCCGGCAAAAGTCCTTCATGTGCCGACGGACAAAGTTTTGCGGGGTACAGCGCCCCCTTTGGTGACACCTCTGCTTGATATGAATTCTTTATAAGTCATTTCTTATTGTTGAATTAAGATCCAGATCTAAGTAACATACCAAATCTAGCTCGTTTTGAGCTTTTTCGTATATCTGTTTAAAACCTACAAGTTAGTCTGATAACCAGCCCATTATTCTAAGGATAATATAACCAGAAAACTTATTCCTTTAGGATCATGCTACCCGCAAGTTTTATTCATGCTAAATCATTATTGAATTTTTTTTTATTATTTTCAAATAAAATATTTTATTGGCATATTTCAGTATATTTTATTGAACTTGCTAAAAAAACCCTGAATCAATTTCTGTGCAATTGCGTAACAACCTGTTAATCATTTATATCAGCTTCTCGTAGAAAGCCAAGGGCCTGTAACACCAGCACAAGTTCTCAATCAAACAATTTTTCCCAATTATAAGTTCCAATATACTAAGTTGCATTTATGGTAGATTGATTGACCCGTGCTATTTCTTGAGATGGAAAAATGTAACATGCATAAATAATTAAAAACTTGTTCACATGCGAAAAAGGATTGAAAACAGGCCTTTATTGATCAAGCAATCATCAGTTTGAGAAGAATTTTGACAAAAAAATAAAAAAAATATGTTAACGAACTGTTACAATCAGAATAAGAGCAAGCTACAGTTTGAATTCTGACTTTGAATCTGTCAAACTTGTTTAAAGAATTTATTCCTCGAAATAGAATTCATCAATAAAATCATAAGCATGGCTACTCGATTTAAAAATTTTGCTGCAGTCTTATTGGGAAACCGAGTATGACCCGACTGCAAAGGCATTATTTCTCTGCCCATTTTTTAAAATAAGCTCCACTTTTTAATAACCATTTCCTCGTTGAAATTCCCCTAGAACTCCCATAATTAAAGGAATAAAGCTACAACTTGAACCCAAAACATAAAAGCTCGATTCTGTAAGTATTTACTTTATAAGTATCAAGGAGAGCTTGCAAGGGGAGCTTTCAAAGTTATCATCAGAAGCTGAAATATTGGAATGCAGGTTAATTCGAGTACTCGGTCGAAAAATAATCCTTATAGCTGAAAAGGCCCATCGGAAGTGTCATGTACCCCAATCAGCTTTGGTACACATTCTTTTGTAATTCTCTATTCCATTTATTCGAATTTCTTCACTTTGGTGGTTAACGGTTAATTTTATGGGAGTGTTAGTCGATAAATTTTTGGAAAAAATGCAAAATGGATGACTTTTTAGAAAAAACTGTAGAAACTGAACAACATTCGCTGAAGAACGGTCAGCCTTCCAAATTGTATACAGTTTTTACCCTAACGAAGTCCTGGGGGTATAAAATGACCGTTGGCCTTCAAGTCTTTTGTCGGCATAACGATGTTGGATAGGATTTGGATAGAATTGGCTAAATTAAACAAAGTCAAGACTACCAACCACTCCTCAACTGCTTCAAAGGTGTTTGGCAATGACACAGTTATAGAATTGGTTTATAGAAGATCAACAAAAGTTCGAAAATTTAATCATGGTGCAAAATAGAATATAATCACAAGTATATCTAAATAGCCATTAAAGCATAATATAAACATCATTTCAATACGTGTGCTATTTTCAAATTAACTTGGTAGGGGCTTCAATTGTGCATAACTAAAACTTCCAAAAATCAAAGTGAGTATTATATTATCTACTGCAAAACATGGATCTTAAAAGGATAAGGGTACTAACGAGGCTTTATCGAAAGATTTGTCAAAACCTTACATTATTTTTTCCCAGAAGTTCGAATTTGTTACTGGACTTGAAGGAGTTGCAGCAGGAGTTATATTCGAGGGGTAAAGGGGGAAGGAGAGGCTAAAGATTAAATATTTTCTAAAATGTTGAAACTGAGGAGCAAAATTTTTTCGAGCCATTTGACCGCTTCAGTCTAACTAAATATTTATCTATGCTGCTAGAAGGTGGCACCCCAAAAGCAATAGTGTAGCTTCTAAGGACTTCTAAGGACGAAGAAGATAACTCTGAAAAAACCACGTAAAAGTGGAGGGGTTAACTAGTAATTATTGCAGATTGGAGGAGGTCCTACCCAAATAAGACGCTCAAAATTATGGCCACAAAAACTTTTACAATTTTCTAAAGGAAAATGATTGTGTTGACGTTATAAAATAGGATTGTTGGCTTTGGCTTCTACACGGAAAACAGTTAGCCTCAGTATTGCAATGGTAATAGGAAACAAGCTGCCAGATGACAAACCCTGTCCTTCTTCGTAATAGGAGGAACTCTATGCTAGCCTAATGGCTGCTTTGTCACCATATAAAATGTGCAAACAAAATAACATGTAACGTCAAATTTGAATAATGCAAAAGAAAGCAAAAACAGAAGACTTCCAAAACGTACTGAAGAAAAGAACTAAAAACAACTTATTTTCACTTGGCACTTGAAATGCAAAAGTTACCAAGGTAAATATACAAAATCTTTGATAACAAACCACCAAATACAACTTAATCAATAAGCAGAAACCAGAGGGTGGCTTAAACACAAAGACATAAAGAAAAGAAAGTCATGGAGGTTTGGAGTCTTCAAGAACTTTGACTCTGGATTTGTGGCGCATTTAATCTTTTTTTAACCTTTTTTATAAAAAATTATCGAGAAATATGCGCAATAGAGATACACTGGTGCTATGGGTGATGATACAAGTGAGGAAAATGAAAATTTTGTCAAAACTAAAATCATTGACAGAATATAAAAGGAGAATATATATAGGGAATATACATAGCAACTTTGGGATAGCTTTAACTTGGCATTTTAGCAGTTCTCTTAAATCATCAATGCGGGAATAAAACATATCGATTTAGTGCACAAAGGACAAAATAACAGTGATGAGAAATACAAAGCTAAAATCGATTAAAAACACAATTACATATAATCAAGAGATGATATAGACGATTACAGATCTTTTCACGGTACTGTGACAGTCCCCGGGGCTGGTGGTATAAGTATTTAGAAGTATTTAGAATTTCATTCACTTGCCATTTCAATCCCCTTGGAAACTGTAACGTACAGTTCTTTATTGTCTACTACATAAGACCATTAAAAATATCATGTTTGTTATCCTTCTCCATGAAGACATTAAGTCATGGCAACCGTCTCATTGCCGTTCTTCTGGGTCTTACGATATGATTTAACGTAAGCGAAGTTTGATGACAAACACATGAGGACATGAACCTTAAAGGAAATGAATATGATTAGTTAACGTAAATGTCGTTAAAAAAATTTCGCATGGGGAAAGCGGGTACTAAACGTTTATGGGGGCTTAGCATGAACCTTCATTGACATAGCACTGCCCGAATGGAGCCTGAAATGCGTTAAATTCTGCCTCTTTATCTCCCTGCCTGGGAGCGCCAGCCTTTCCTGCTTTTAGATCCCTTACGCATATAAATCTACCTGGATCAAAGGATAGATATTTATGAAAAATAGTGATTGGGGGTGCTAATAGAATAAATTTTGGGTAAAGGGTCTAATAAATACTTTCCATCCAATCCAGGGTTATCCCATCACAAATCCAGATACCCAGACGACCTGAGCAAAAGAAAAACATTAAACCTCTCAATGCCAGTAATTTTCATTATGATGAAAGCATAATATCATGATATTACAGAAAAGATTTATAACTCACCGTTCCTAGAGCAGCCACCAAAGTGCCAACTAGCGAGATAATCAGAGGAGTCCCTGCCTCCTTTACCTGCATGTATAGGACAAATATTCCATGAGCTTTAAAAGCAGATGCCCCAGGAGCATTAAAAGAGTAAACAATCAATGTTGGAAAACCAAAACCTTTCTTCACGGGCAATCATCACATTTTGATGAACAACTTGCTTTCTTCTTTTGAGATGAGTACAATGCCACTGGTTAGGGCTGTCAAGGGTCCCATCCTATTCAAAGAAATTAGCCTGAAATTTGCTTGATATGGATTTGAATGCGTAAGATCTTTTTTTATTTACTTTCTATGTTTGTCAAACTATCCAAATACAGATATGATTTGAAATTACAAATACCTATATAATAGAAACAGTTTAAGGGGCTCCTCTTTCCTGGTAGGTTCATGGGCAGTTACCCCTTCTTGTTCCCCCCTCTTGGTGGGCCTGCCACTAGCAACCTTTGCGTAGCTTATCTAGAAACCCATCAATTTTTGGCAAGAAAGCAAACACTATTTACTCACATTACTGCAAAAGGCCTTCAACTCATCTGCACAAATTTCTGTGTTAATGGTACTGTTCTTTGCATACTTCAGAAAAGGTTCCAGGCCTGAAAAAATGAACCAGTTGAAAAACCAGAGGCATAAACAGGCCTTCCTGGCAAAATTTGGTTGATGATTTTTTATGTGCTTTAAAAATTTTATTTGCTCTGCAGAATAATGGGTATAGTTTTCATCATGTTTGCGGAATTATGAATAATTATGCAGAATAGTCACATTTATTCAGACATTTGCGGAATTATGAGTCCAAAATTTTGGCCAAAATGGCACGTCCCGTCCAAAATTAGGCATATTTTACCCCCGGAGGTCACAACCTGCCGTTTTCCAAATTTGTCTGTTTTCATATGAAAACGATCTACATTTAATGATTTGTGGAAGAACGGGACATCCTCGTCGGATAAATCTGCCCTATTGCGTAAGCCCTTTTGCGGAGGGTTGTTTAGCGTTGCGTTGCGCTCCGCCTATCTTTAACCCAGCTGGCGGTAGGAACTGGATACTGAAATCACTGCCGCAAAACCAATAGCGTACGGAAAGCGAGGTTTGCAGCGTGGGCCTTCGGCAAAGGCTTTCACATATAAACTGCAGCTCCTTAGAATGATTGATGCCTGATATTCTGATATTTCACACACAACTTGCACAAAATTTTTGTTACATATTGCTTATTGTCGTGGGATTGAATAGTATAGATTAAAATGTCATCGCTGCCCCATTTCAGGAATATGGCGAGCTCTTTGTGACCACTTTACTTTTCTTGCTGAAAACGCCAAATTCACGAGTGTAGATCAGAAGAAATGCGGCACAAATCTTGTCTAGACTAGAAGCTTTTTGTTTAAAAATTCAACTTAATTTACCATTCGAAAATAGTATTTTGGAAATATGTGCATGCTAACCCAAGTCTATGATAAAAAATGCGACCTAGTTTTTACGAGCACTGGGCTAGAAGATGATTGCAAATTGTCGTATAATAGTGGTTTCTGCAGCCGTAGAGGTAAGAATTAAATTTACTGGACTACTACAGACTACTACTAGCTCCGATATTACGTCATTTGGTCCGTGTTCGATCGCATTAAAGTGTTGTCACAACAGCTCTTCAAAATGATTACGGTGACTCAGTACGGTGGTCGGTGGACAAGACCGGTAAAACACACCAAAATAAAAAAAATAAAACAATTTCTTGTTTTGTTGTTGTCACTTTATTAGTTTCCAGCGCTCTGGTTAAAAAACAAACGAATGGTTACAAAAATAGGCGTGCGATTAAACACACTCCTCGGTGTGGGGAGGCGTGTACCAGCGTGTGCGAGTGCGATCGCACGCCTCTACCGGGAAGGCCTGCATAAATACTAAATGAATGCATTTTCAGGTAAAGAAAATATTATTTTATAATATTACTTTATAGTATTATGCTTGCTAGGTAATGTGACACCTCATATTACAAATCTGAATGCTTATTTATGAATTTTTATTGAATAATAACAAAACTGGGCTTTTAAAAATGAGAGAAAAAACACTAAGTAATATGGCTGGATATTTGTCTAAGCAGACAAAAATAACGAAGCAGTGAAGAACAAAATTATATGTGAAAATGTCATCAAACATGTTTGTAGTTTCCATAATTGGCAACAGTTATCATGTTAATTCTTGTGTTCTTGGCAACAGTAGCACTCATCCAAGAGTGATACTCATTCAAGAACAATGCTCTCTCCAGACCATGCTCTCTATCCAGAACATGAGAATTTACAATAATCCTTAACAATAATTGCATTGTCTGTCACATTATCATACAATGCATGGGATATAATGAATGAATTAAGTCACAATATTTTATTGCAAAAAGAGACAGTGATCTCAGCTCATTAAGATCAAGAAATTGTTATGTAAGTAGCTGTTGTGATTGTCCATAGATTTAAATAAGATGTTCTAAAATCCACTTACCAAGACTATGAAGATTGATGCATTTAGGAGTGATTCCACAAAGAGCATTGAGCATTATTTGCAACAGGACAGGCAAAACCATGAATACAGACAAGAGTGCCCATGCCAAGTACAAAAGGTACTCTATTATAATCAGCTATAAAGAACAATAAAAATTGCATTGACATTGCAACCACAAATTTGGCTTGAGCCTCGCACATTCCAGGAGCAAAAACCAACAGGAAGTCTAATACATAAATTATAAGGTGGACAAAATGTCATATATTCTTAAAGATAAACTTGATAGCCGTGAGATAAAGTTTTTGAGTGAATTTTTGTTGCTGTTGTTGTTGTCAATTCATACAAAACAGGAAGCAGTTAGATGGCTCCTGTTTCCGTTTTCCACTGATACTAAATAGAAACAGAAATCATACTTGGATGTAAATAATGAAACACACTTGCATGAATGAACAAGAATATATTCCATACATACCAAAGAGCTGAAGCACTTTCCAAATAGTTTTGATTTCCAGCCGCTGTAAACATTATCTCTGGTATCACCACTTGTACAGCAGGCAAAGACAAGAATTAGGAGACCAAGGAGGGCTGATGCACCAATAATAACACCAGTAACAGTGTAGCCAAAATCTAAACTACAAGAATAAAATACAATTCCTCTAAAATTAATTGTTTAACATCAAAATCATCAACATTGAAATTGAAGAGCTTTTGAGTTTTGCAAAAATCTATTGTCAGATCAACATCTGCCTTCATAAGGGGATCAATGTTGATTCTATATCAGAGGCAGACTCTTAATTCTGGTAACTTTTTGCAAATCTCCCAACTAATTGCAACACTTTGATAAAACCATAATATTAAAAAACGTAATCATCAAGATGAATTTGCAGTTGGAAAGAAAAAAATTGTCCCACAATGATCTCAAAACCTTTTTAAGGTGATGCCTGCTTATACCTAGCTTAGAAGCTATTCCATAGTATAGCTTTACTCCTCTGTAGGATAAATATTTTCATCCACTTGCTGAGTTTTTCCTTGGCAGCCACAGGTCTGTCATTTTATCACTGAGACTGTGGGCAGAGGACTGTGAATTATGGCTGGAAAGGTTACAAAAGAATTCTTAAGCAACCTCATGCAAAGATTTGAAAACCATTGTTTTATTTTCACAAACTATTGGTTCATCTATGGTTTTCCATCCAAGCTCTTGGATTTAAGTTATCTGCCTTGGGCATCAAAACAGCTGCTTGTTATAAACATAGCAGCTCCATTTTGGAGTTTTTGCAAGTGATTAAAATTAAGATATATTTTCTTTTCATATGATTATAAATCAAGGTATTTTAATTTTTCAGCAATTATACCCTACAAAGCAAGAAAAAAAGCCTTCAATTTCAGAACAAAGGCGTTTTCAGGATTGAAAACAGGACATGGCTCATAAATTTGGAGCCGTCCTGCCTAGCAGCGGAGCTGTTGGCAGGACTGGTTTCAGGTGTTGAATAATGTGTAAGCTTTGGCAGAGAATTTCATGGTCTACTGTGCCAAAGGCTTTTCCTGGTCAATGAATAGTCCCACAAACAATGAATGTCTCATAGCATGATGTTAATACAAGAGAGGGGTTTTTTTACTTCATATAGTCGCTATGCCCTTTGAAAAGAGGAAAATTAGATTAGAAAATAGTCCCCTAGTTCAGGGATGCCTGCAAAAGATGAAGGCAGGAGGGGCAGTGTTAGTGCTGAGGGCAAATCGTAGGATTTTCTACTAACACAATCAAATATTCTTTTTGGGGGGGGGGACATAATAAAATATACTAAACATGGAAATGTGCCACCCATACAGTTGAGTTTTTATACCATCAAAGATTCTAAACAAAGAGAAAATGTTGACGAAATTATCCATACATACAAATGGGTATTAAATGGCAGCTGCCCCTCCAGCCCCCCCCCCCCAAGCCAGTGTAGGCGCCCCTGTTCTAGTTGCCTTGCTTGTTCACAAGAAACCTCTGTGCACTAGAGCTACATTTTAGTGTTTATATACTTACGCTCCTTTGATGTTAGCAAGTTTATCAATGGACTTGAGTGATGTAACAAAGCCTCCAACAAAAACTAGCATGCCAGTGATGGATAAAACAAGCCCAAAAGTTGTTCCATAAGGAATTCGTGAAAAACAGGAACAGCAGCACCGGCAAAACCTTCCACAACATTCACCACAGCCTTGAAAGGATTGAACATAAAGAAATTATTTCTTTTAGTGAATAAATAGAGGTTGCAAAAATAAATAATTAGAAAGATAGACTCCAAGTTCAAAATTTCAATGTTTTGACTTGCAAATTCAAAGGTTTAGAAAACGAAAGTTAAACGCTGGAATGAACATCATTTCTTCTTCAGTCTAATGAATATTTGGTCTGATGAGCTGCCGTCCAATTCCGCACAATATGTTTATTGGAATGTAATAAAAATGAATTAGAGAAACACAAATTAAATCTCGATAATATCAATCAGTTATCTTATCATGTACCCACCCATTTTCTGTTAGTAGATAAAACAACAGTTTCCACGCAAATCTGTCTTCGAATTCCAAGCGCCTTCACTGAGACGATAACAATCTTCGCAGAGTCTTCGATTTTTCTAACCAGATTCAGAATCTTAATTTCGATGCAAAGTGATTTAACCTAAGACAAATAGTTGAGCATGATGAATGGGATGATGTTTGATATAAAGCATAAATATTTAATAGATTCTCGCTCCCAGCAAACTAGCGTTTTTAATAATGGTTGCCACTAACAACAACGGACAGGTGACTTCTATCTATCAAGCCCTCTAGTTCTTAACCACTCAATTATTGAAGACAATTATTTTGCCTATTCCCTAACAATACGCTTCCATGGTTCCGTCCATTGATGCTTCTTAGGGTTAGCTCCCCAAATGTTTCAGGGGGCATGCCCCTAACCATACCCTTAGTCCCTACAAACATTTCCTTTTAAAAGAACTCGTTTCAAGAGTTTCAAGAATCTTCAAGCCCCTCGGGTGGGGGGGTTACTCCCATTATGGCATAACAGGGGGTCCAATCAGGGTCAAAAAGGGCCAACGCTAAAATTTAAAAAAATTACCTTAAAATATAGTATTTTTTGACAATAACCTTCAAATGGTAGCATAATAAACGGATATTGTGTCCTTGGTAGCATTTATTTTCTTGGGCACCCCTGGTCCTTTTTTGACACTCACTGACTGTTGTTGTTTCCGGAAAAATAAAATCTTGCTCATTATCTATAATAAGTCGCAAGCTAAACTGAGCAGTTGAGTTATTATCATTATGGGCCAAATGGTAGCCATTTGGTAAGGCCCTCAAATCGACTGGACCCCCCTGTCAGGCCTTAATGGGAGTACCCCCTGGCTTCGAGCGAACCTTGATCTTGCTGAGGTCCCTAATTACCTTGTTGCTATTGTTTCATTTATTGAACACCTAAATTGACTATGAAAGAAAGCAAAAATTGTCTTTGAAAAGCATAGCACTCTCTAATCTTCAGACAAGAGTGCTGTATATTTCACAAGTTTATTTAGGTGTTTATAACACGATTATGTTTAAAACATGACTGGCTAATGCATCTTGTAAAGGTCCCACTACATGGGGAAGGTGCTCCAAAAATAGAAAACCCTACACTCTCTCTATTTTCCATCTGACATTTTATTAAAAAGGCTAAGAATGATTTAACCTCATTGGCTGGGCCGTTATTTTCCAATGTCCCGATGGTGCTAATTAGCCTCTAGCTAACATGGGCTACAGGTAATGCCTATACACTTTCTTTTTCATAAAAACCAGTAAATTTAAGTTCAGATTCACTGTTCTTAATTTTTTCGAAAATCGAAGGCTGGATAGTTCTTAAATTGTTCTTAAATTAATAAAGATAGACACAAAATACAAACACGCCAAGCAACTTCTGGCAAATTTTCTTTCACAAAGACTAGGACTAAATACGAACATCATTTTATAACAACATCAGGGGTCAAAATATGGAATAACATCCCCATTGACACACGGAACTCTCCAACCAAAAAATTATTTGGTAAAGGTTACAAAGAAATATTATTAGAAACTTATTGATGGATGGATATATCCATTGGAAAAAGATCCCTTTACTACACTTTTCAGCATTTATTTTCCATTACCCCTCCCTCTCCACCATCTTATTACCATTTATTATGAATAATATCATGTATATTCAAACAATATCTTACTGTTGTAAACGAGGGCACATGGCTCGAAAGCTCTTCCAGAGTTCTTTTCATGTGTTCTCTTCAACTTATATATTTGACTTACCCTATATTTGGGTGCGAGCAGTGCGATTGCTAGCTTTTATTGCTCTACGGAAGTGTTCAGGCCTTATTTGCCAACAAAGTGAGTGAGACCTTCATTTGCCGCCAAGTTTTAATATTCATCAAAAAAGCACCCAAACATTGCTAAAAATCCTCGTTTATGAGATAGACATTGTTCAAAATTGCATTTTACAGTAGCTCAGCCTCAGCTTGTTCTTAATTTATTCTTAACTTCTGACCGATTTTGAGGCTCTTGTTCTTATAAAAAAGTGTAAAGGTACTTGCTTTTTTCGGTGCTTGTGACGTAAATACTTCAGAAAAAATGTTGCTGCGGTGATACATCATCCCTTTCTCTGACGAAGTTTGTTAATTGTGAATATTGCAATGATGCATATTGCCTATACGAACATATTGCCTATAGGGAAGTTCATTAGTTGGGTCGAAATTGCTTTCGGTAATTTTTTTTAAGTGCGCTCTACAGAATGAGCCACTGATTCTGAGTCACTGTCTGAAAGCACCTCAGACTATGATTCGGATTCATATCACGTCATTTGGAATTGGTTGCAATGTTGACAGAACTTTTTCTAGCAGCCCTGCTGAACTGAACTTCCATCCACGCGATAAAGGAGATAGGGGAGGCCTGCTTTGTGAAATGTCTCTAAATGTAACATTGGTTATTTGCTCTTCGACATAGTTGTGCCAGTAAACCCTTATCAGGAGGAAGCCCCTGTATACTCTTTCTCTTCATTGAAAGCCATTTTGATGATTTTACTGCTCCAAGGGATTGGCTTGATACATTGCAAAAGGTACATTTGATTGGTGAATTTTTAGTTAAGAGATTCCACTGTAATTGTTTCTAATTTTAGCATCTTTGGGTCAGAAAATGGAAAACTTAAACATTTTTGCATTCTACAAAATTCAAACAACATTAAAAATATATAATTCAATAGTCTTGAATTTTTGCCGCATAATTTTGGATACGAAAGTTACACCAAGGTAAATACTAAATATTAGTCTGAATATCGAGACCACATGAAGGAGAAACAGACATAAAAACCAAACATGTAAGTGTAACGTTAAACAAATAAATGTATGTTTAAAAAGCTACTGAAAGCAAAATCAGTGATGGTAGAGAATGTCCTTCATAATGATATATCAGTGCAAAGTGCACTGTAAAAATACATTTTAGTTTTAAATTTTTACATAAAATTAAAATTAAGAAAGGAATTCGTCATTAACATGACCCATGACAAGGCCATGATCTCGTAGAACCTTCTGTTGATGACGCAAGTCCTTTTGAGTCGACTGCGCTGTATGTCTTTTCCCCGAGCCTCGGTACATGCCACCCTCGCCTCTTTGCCGTAGGTGTTCTTCTCTTTCTCGTCTCTTCGCATCTTCTAGTTGACGTTTTTCTCTCTCAAGTCTAGACTCCTCTTCTAGCCGCAACTTTTCCTCTTCCTCCTTCAAAAAACATATGCTTATTTGTCACACGACTGTGAAGATTTTACCTTTCATCTATTGTGTTTATTTGAAGTCAGGCTTCAGCCTCTAACTCTATTTTTACGAATAAAGCTACCTTGGTAGTTAGACAGGGTTACACGCATATTTTTACCTTTGCATATATTCCAGTCCGAAACGTTTTTGTAAACGTAGATTATTTCACGGTTTTCCGCCACCGCTCAGATTGTACCACTAAAGCTTTTCGAAAATGACTGCCAAACTGTAACTTTTTCGAAAGTGCGGGAAGAAAGTTTAGCTTTCTGAAAAGGGAACATCTCCACAGTTCTCAGTGCTGTCAGAACGAAGAAACGGTGGGGGTAAGTTACGTTTCGCGGACATGGTATGTATGCAATTCAAGCATGCGTAGAACTGAAATTTTGAATCATATAGGAAACGTAGTCATTGATAGGGCACTTGTCATCCATAGATAGAATGAAAATATCCAGATACATGAAGAACTGAACTAAACGCGGCCAAAAAGCCCAATACTTTCAACTATTCTGGCAAAAACAAAAAAGATCCGAGTTACTATAAGCTATTACTAAGAGTTATTCGCGCAATGAATGCTCATGAAAAAAAATCTTTCAGAGAGGAAAAATAGAAGAATATATTCTTGCTTTTGTGAGATGTAACCAACCCGGTGCAACAGTCACCTTTTTTTCCATTAACTTTTACATTTTGAGATATTTCGAATGTGATAGTACCATGATAGTACTAAATATCATTTAAAATTAGCTTGAAATAAAATGTCAGTTTGGTGGAATTTATCAATGTAGTTATTCATTTAAGGTCAGGTAAGATATAAACTGCCAACAAGATAAATGAAACCCCGAAATTGCATATGCAAACTCGTATTTTTTGAAGTGACAACATTCCCAGATCTGGCGCTACAAGTGAACGCAATATTACCATCCTTTTGGCTATCCTTTGCCTCGCCTCTTGCTTTCTGTCAATGACTCGCTGGCGTCTTAATGCCTCCCAATGATAAGCTGCCATCCCTTATTATTTCTTTCCTCTTTATTGTTAATAATAACGTCTTCTGAATAAACGGATTTCTTTCACATTTCTTAATCGATGCAGTTTTGATTAAGGTATGAGTCTTTACAGCTAAAACATATATGCGTGATCAAATGATGTCTTCAAATCTGACGTCACATTAAGCACAGCAGTATCAAAGGTTTTCATTTTCGGTTCAACGGCAGGACTCACAAGGATTATGAGGAGTCGGTGGTCCAGGCAAATTTGTGAACAACTCGCGCACATTTATTTTTACGAAATTTCTAAAACTTTTTTAGAAGATTTTGTTTTTCCAATTTGCTACTTCAAATCAGGCACTGCACACAAAACCAAAAATAGGAGGGCTGGGAAGGGCTTGCCGAAAAAAAATTTTTAAGATCAGAAAAAGTCCCTTAGAAAATACCTGCTTGTTTCCACTTACTATTTATAAACAGTCCACTGGTTGCGCTGTGCCTGCTTAAAATTTCCATATAGCTTTAAAATGTTTTTTTGAAACAAATATTTCTAAAAAGTATTATGCTCAAAGTTTCAATTCTGAAAAATGTTATTTTTTGCCGACTACAGGCTTTGCTGAGGGGAACTATGCCTACAAGAAACTTAGACAGCGAAACTCCAGAAATATTTCTAAAAATTTTAATACAGCGCTTTATAAAAATGATTGTATCCAGTGGAATGTTCAAAAATTCGATATTTTGTACAGGTACTTATCAACTGAGAAACCTCTATCAATGTACCTTTGACCACCCACACCGCCCCCCCCCCCCCCCCCCCCCCCCC